TCTCGAAGGTGCATGGGTAGTAATGTGCATATGAATGGTAATCACATAGTGGATGATGATGATGATGATAATAATGACACAGGGGGTGAAGGAGATTTTGGTTGGCATTTCCAGCTTTCGAGGCTTGTAGTTTTAAAACGGCCAAATTATGATGGGCTTCGTCATAAACATAAAGTCAATAATAACACCAAGACAATAAAGCGCCCGAATTTTTACAGGCTATTTTAAGTCCGCTCTCGGCACTAACTTGTGATTATAGTTTGTGTCCGTTGTTCATGCCTATAGCTTTATACTTGATGTACATATCTTGCCGTGGACATTCGGGTGGTGATTGACGGCCCATTTTTTTTTTGTAAATGTGGTTATCAATTTCTGTAAACAAATTATTTAGGCGAGCAAATTTTATTTTTTCAGAAAAATTTCTAACAAAGGTGATTCTTTCTGACAGGAAGAGAATATTTTTAGGATGATCGGTTACATAATGCAATGAACAACAATGCGGACACATTTCACCTCAATCATGCTCGACGACAATGATGATGGAGATGGTGGTGTGGTGCCGTTGATCCTGATTTGATTTGTCTCGAGAGTTGTTATGATTAGACTGATTATTGGTTCCCATGCTTTTTGTGGCGGAGAGAGACAAGGGACTGTGAATCGACACATTTGAGTTTTTTTCGTGGTCAAATTGCACCAAGTTTCGTAAACGTTTATTCCCATTCACTTTTTGCCGAAATGATGATGACTTTGTTGATGTTGATTATCGGAAGAGTCGCAGTGAACCGAGACTGGCGGACGGGGAAAAAGTTAACCGATTTAAGCTTTCCCATGAATATTTATATTCTGTAATTTTCAGATTCATTTGCCTCTCCTACTTTTGTTACGTAAAGAGCGGACAATAAACGCTCATCATTGCGCACATTAAGCAGGTCGTAGGCATCTTTTCACTGCGATTTCTTTGTTTTATACAGGCCCCTACCTAAAGGTTCGTTTAATAGTTTCAAAAAATATTCAGGTAAGACGCAAAATTAAATGGAAACTAACTTAACTTATTGAACGTTTTCAAACAAATATTCACTAAATACGTTACTGAACTGAAGCGTTATGAAAAAATAAAATAAAGGACAAACTCATGACCATTGTTAACTTTCGGGACAAGAGGCAAGAATTTTGAATATTTTCATCATTGTCATTAGAAGATTCAATATGTGAGTTGATATATGTGCACATGCTCGTCTTTTTTTCATGCTGGCCAATGTAAGCCCAAAGTCCGAAGATAAGAGAAAGAAAGGGGTACTTTTTTACTCTGCTGCTGGTTGTCTCCGGTGGCCGGGAGAGACATTTGGCCAATCTCTCAAAATAAATATACTCGCTCGACGACGACCCAGACTGGGTATTTAGTGAGAACGGGAGAGTTAGACCGGAGTCAGATCAGCATCTCTCTCTCGAACCAAATCTGTTTTGGATATTCTCAGTCTCATTTTTTGAAGAAGAAGAAGAGATAAAAAACGAGTCCATGTGTTCTTCTTGGTCCGGAAATCCAGGAAAAAAACAGCGAAAGGGTTGACAATTACTCCCGGGTATTTTTAGCCTTTCCTCCTCACTTCTTGTGCCGGCTTTTATCTAATCTCCCAGTGCATCCAATTTCTTCATCGCCACTACTGTATACTTCTCAACTGTCGCAGCATCATCGCCAGTCTTGACTTCCAACAGTTCCAAGTGCACGGCGAAGAGGATAATATCACATGTTTTCAAAATGGCGTAAAAAAAACTCTGCTGAGCTGGTCCCTGGCCCTTCTCGACACGGGAAATGATGAACAAAGTGATTTGCATCAATTTATCGCAGATCGCATGACTGGGACGGGCGAAGCAACAATAAAGGTTCACAATTGGTTTAGCCATCACTTGCAAAAAGCACTTCCTCGTTGGATTCCTGGGAGATGAAGACGACATAATATGTCTTAAATATATAGACGTAAGAGTTGTGCGGTATGATGCTAAAAAATGCAATTCTTAGAATGATGGGAAACAACTTGTCCATTTGTGGTGTCCAACCGTCTCCAATCTACACGGAATCATAATCATTCGTTCTCAGGTTCAACCAAATATACAAAAAATTCTTGTCCCCCATCACCATCCCTCCGTCTCTAGATGTCTTACAGTAATAATATTATTTCTGTCACACGTTATAAAACATCGTTCTCACATCACTGGGAGTTGAGCGACTTTGAGATTCGCTTGTGCAATCATCTCATACAAATATCTCTGTCGTCAATGATTATTGGAAAATGATTGATTACACAGGCGTGTTTTAAGTATTTTTAATTCTTATCATCCCGTACTGCTGAGGTACCATGAATCCTCCTCATCACCATTGCTTACATATTTCAATTATTAATTTATATATACTTATCATCATATTTGTACAAAACCCTACGTTTTCAGTGTTCTCGTTGTGCCCCCGAATCCTAACCCTAAATGTCCATTAAACAATTTTGGTGTAATAATGAACAAATGCCGGAGAAAGAAACTCGTTTTAAGGCAAAGTCATCAAAAAGTGGTGCTGGCAGTGGAAGAAGAGTGACTCAAATGTTAATTGACGTGGAGAGTATAACGGGACATTAATTACCCATTTCCTCGGTTTGATTGCTCATTCATTCATTTTTCCAGGAGGGCCATTTCAAACGACTTGATATCATCTTATCTTTCCTCACTCGCTCACTCACACTTCAGGAAGGAAGCACTTTGGTCTTGAGCACACCATCATCATCACCACACCAGCCCGACTTAATACTCGTTGTCATACCTGAAATTGATTTTTAACTGCATTTCAACAGTCAATGGATGAGTATATGTACGTATGTACACGTACGTGGGAGATAGCACACGTAACGAGTAATCAACCAGTTAGGTATTCCTACTGGTAGAACTCCTACATATATGAATACACACCACTTTGATCTGTTTTTCTGTCTTGTGAAAACTGACCCAAAATGTACATATATTTCAAATATGAGGGAACTTAATAATAAATCTTTTTAAGCCATGCAAGCTAGCAACAGCTGAAAGTAAATTTTTAGTTGTAAACCAAACCAATGAATGATAACGGTTTTCTAGTCCAGATGCTTGGAATTATCCACAAAAGAAGGGGAATATGAAACTGAAACATCTTTACCATGTTTATGCTCACATCTTGTCTGTTCAGGTCATTTTTAGGAAAACTGAGGAGCAGATCGTATAAACAGCTCGACAACCACCACAAACACCTCAAGAGTTCAATTAATAGACATTTTAGATAATAAAGGTTGTAGTCTCAAGTTTCCTCCACTTCAACCAGTTAAGAAATCACAATAATCACAATAGCAGAAGCTGACTTGGGGCATGCACCCATAAATGTGCGTATGTATTCCTAGGTCTGCCACGGGAGCACAAACTGAATGAGACAATACGTACAAATACATAAGGTTAAGGGGTAGAAAGAGATCATAAAAGGAGAACAATTTGGAATTTTCTTTTAATAAAAGCGTTTTTTGCTTGTGGAATTGAAATGACGTTTTTAAAGAAGAACGATGAGTTTAATTTTATTAACAAAGGGATTCATTCCATAACTTTGCCTAATGTGATCTCGGCCTGGCTTTGGGTGCCAGGTTGGAGATATTATTAGTACGATTATTCAGCCAGAGGATTTCAGTTTTAATCGTAGCAAAAAAGCGTTTTCGGAGGGCAAGCGACAGATATGCACGTAAATATGCACATGTGACAACCAAGGGCTCTTCACTAGCCGACCTATTCCTTTTTCTTCTATGGTAATGAGACGTTTACTTTTGATGCATTTAAATTAAGTATGACAGAGTAATATGGTGAATGTTATAATAAAACGCTTTTTCGAGATGATGGGACTTGTTTTTGCCGACCTGTAGGGCTTTTCTTTCTTCTTTAGTTGGTTTCAGATTACGATAATTGTATTAACTCATCTAACTCATCTGTTAAGAAAAAGTCATATGATCATATAACCAAGCATTTGAAAAGTTACCTATATTTCATAGTATGCCATTAATGTGATCAAAGAACCAACTGGGCGACGACGCCTAACGGACACAGATATAATTGGTCCGGACCATTTTAAAAATATTTAGAAACAAGTCGGAGTAGATATTTTTGTTGAAACGAATCATAATTTTAATGCTTTTAGACTCTAGGAAGTGTCATGGCTCACTTCTTCTATTTTCACAAGTTAAATTGTGAGGTTGGCTAACGTGACGATGATGGTAAGTCATTCAACCATAGAGGAAAAAAGAAACAATCAATTTTAAAATTCTCAAATTTAGTCCGAAATTCGTACGGTTCCTCAATTTAACAAAAAATGTGGATAAAATATATATTGATGGATGCATTTTGGTGCGATTATGAGAGATTGTTTTTGATCGACATTTGATCGTTGAGAAGCAGAGTACCGTTAATTTCGGAAGCAGGTGAGACGTACCAGGACTCTCGAGCCTGATCCAGCACAATGAAGTGTTTCAAGCCTATTCTCAGTTTCCAAATCTGAGGAAAAACGAAGAATTGTCTTATTTTATATGTCTTGCAGAACAAGTCCAGCCAGATGCATGCATGCAGGGGTTTATTACATTATTCTCTCAACTGGAGCATCACCGTTTTTTAACGGTGCACAGTAAGTAGATATATTTGAAGAAGAAGAGGGTGGTAAAAAACTCATCCGGTTCTTTACAGAAAGAAAGAGTGCCCTTCTTTGGTCAACCCTCTTCTTTCTTTCTCTCTCGTTGTCATCATCGCTGTCTATTTCCCTAACTGGGCTTTGCCAGTTTAGACGATACATATCCATCCGTGGCCATATGGACACAATTCTAACCTTAAGCTACTTACATGCATCTGAACATTCGACATTTTCATATATGCTCAAAACATGCTAAAAAATTTAGGATGGGAGAATGGAATAATAGCTATTGCACCAAAGCAATAAAAACACTGTAAGGACAATGTATTACAAATGTATTTCTTTTATTAAATAACATTACATAATGAATATAAACGTTGACAATGTTATTAAGAATTTTCAGATATCAAATAAAAAAACTGGATAGATAAGGTTGGGGAATCAACGCATTTAAGATGAACGGAAGAAATGTTACATTTTAGTGGTGGTATACTCCTCAGGGAAAGTAAACCGATGATTTCCTTTAGCCACTAAAATTGGTAAGTGACCAGCATTGGGTATAACGTTCCAGGACAGCGTTAGCGTCACATTCTTGTTCCCCCTGAAATACAAACATATCAACCAATGAAATACGTCAGAATAACAATATTATCATCATCGTCATAATAACGATGACTATATTTACAGGAAATACTGGCAATTGAATTAAACACATAAAACAACAAACATGACTCAAATAAGTTATTAATGATAACAAACAACTCACCTAAGCCCATTCCCATCATCCCAAAAGTAATACTTTGGCCTAATGTTCTTGTGATCCAACACTGCATTTTCTCCTCGTTGGATAATCTTGTCCCAAATAACAACTTGATTAAGCTTGTTACTGGGAGTTTCGTACTCTGCCGTGAGATAAAGAAAGAGCTGTTTCACATTCCAGTTGAACAATGGTCGGAGGTCAGCCTTCAAGTCAAAGATCATAAAACCCATGTCGTTCTTCTCTCGGGATGCACTATAGTCTGGAACATTTCGTCTATAAAAAAGTACTATTATTAACTCAGTGGCACATTCATACACTTCATCTTGACTCATATTATTATCACGTGATTGACTTACACAAGGACTGTGACCGTGTTGATATCTGCATTGGCGGAGTAGTCGCGGAAAGCCGTAGTTACAAAGCAGACGAACGTAAGACCAGCCAGAACACTGACGGTGTACGCTGCGAGTGCGTGACACCGGGTGAAAGCGCTGTGCATCCTGACCTGGTGGGAGTGATCCTGTCGACAAGGGAGGAGGACGTAAGTGGATATCTTCCTTTTTGGGCGAATATATTCCGATAAAGAGTGTTTTTAGATAGACAGATTGGATGGATTGGAGGATGGGTGACACGTCGGAGGTGTTTTACTTTTGAAAACACACTCAGCCCCGCCGTCTCCACCGGGAATGATGCTCTCCACTCACCCCAACCACCTCCACCACCACCACAAGTACAAAACCTAACAAAACCTAACAAAACCTAACCAATCCTGGCCTCCTCAAATTAAGCCTCATCAAAAAATTGCATATTAAATTATTAATATTAGCCAAGAAGAATTTAGCAAAATATCCTTATTGTTTGCACTCATCAGTGAAAACAACATCAGTTGAACTATAATAAAGTTGCCTACATTATTTGATAACTGATCATAAAAAGTTTACCTCAAAAATGCATGAAAAATATTAAGCTCATAAATAACTCACCCGTATTATTACGATACTAAATGGACCATCATTAAATTGAATAATATGCATGCAGAAGAATTAGTTGGCCCTGGTCCAATCTGTGTGTGATTGAGGAATGAATGACGGTTATTTAGATAGCAATGCGTGATGCGATATGATATGATATGAATAGTGGGTGGGTTGTTTTTTAGGTTTAGGTTAACATTTGGATGTGACAGATACTTACCGATTGTTACAATTGATCTTGACCACCTTTGAACTTACGTAACAAAATCATCCAACTTTGTATGGTCTGTTTATTCCTTATCAAATCTGAGAAAGAAAAATGAGGGGTAAACAATCGTTCGTGGTGGGAATCTTCGTTGTCTTGATTTCTTCATGTGCTTCTTGTTCTGCAAAGTTGTCCCAATCATCCAATGGTTTTATTTATTCAATTTTCAATCAAGACAATTCAATCGTTGACGTAGAGGAGGAGCCAGAAATAAAGCCAAGACAACAAATGGGCATTCCTGTGGTCATCAATACTTGGGGGTTTGACGCTGGAAATGCAAATGGTAATTAAGCATTAATTGATTTTGCTTGAAATTGAATTATTAAAATTTACTCGTTGTTATTATTTATTATGTATTATACAATCACTTATATTATCAATTGTGTTGCGTAAGACAGCCTGGAACATGTTGAATAGGGGTGGATCGGCTCTGGATGCGGTTGAAGTTGGGGCTACCACTTGCGAAGTCCTCCAGTGCGACAATACGGTCGGTTTTGGGGGTAGTCCTGACGAAAATGGAGAAACTACACTTGATGCCATGATAATGGATGGGTATTGACACCAAATTAATTGAACTAACATAACCAACCAACGCTATCATTCTGAGGACATAATTTGAATTTTCATAGTGAAAGACATGCAGTTGGAGCAGTAGGGTGTTTGCGGCGTGTGAAAAATGCGGTGGGTGTGGCTCGAAAAGTGTTGGAACACACCTCTCACACACTTCTTGTGGGCGAATTAGCGACCCAATTCGCCTTGAGTATGGGATTTCCTGAAGAAAATTTGACCACTCCAGACTCTTTGGAAATGCACGATAGTTGGGAAAGGAATAATTGTCAGCCAAATTTTTGGAGAAATGTGAATCCTGATCCCACTCAATCTTGCGGACCTTACACTCCAAAAACCATGACAAAAGATCAATCCAAGACGATGGTACAAGTTCCTCCTAGGGTTATTGACCAATGGAATCACGACACTATTGGAATCGTTGCCATTGATTCACTTGGGCGAGTAGCTTCTGCCACGTCTTCAAATGGAGCTAGAAATAAAATTCCAGGGTACTCCTAACATACTCTACAAATGCAAAACAAAACTTGTGAAATACTTTAAATAACATTTAGACGTGTTGGGGATGCTCCAATTGTTGGAGCAGGAAGTTACGTGGATAAGGACATTGGCGGAGCTGCAGCTACTGGAGATGGGGATATTATGGTTCGATTTCTTCCAAGGTATGCAGTACAGAATTGAAATGAATCTAGTAGCGAATATTCTTATGACATAAATTTTCAACAGTTTACTTGCTGTGGAGAAAATGGGAATGGGACTGAGTCCAACGGAAGCCGCAGAAGAAGCGATACAGAAAATTGCCCGATTTTATCCAACTTTTAGTGGGGCTCTTGTGGCTGTTAATTTGCGTGGCGAATATGGTGCCGCATGTCACGGAATCGCAACTGGGTTTCCATACTGCGTTAGTCCAGAAGCCGGAAGTAATGGTACCATTATACTACATGCGAACTGCACCTCCACCTCTACATCTCCTGCAAATAGGGTAATCCTACCTAGGGTTTTATTGGGCTGGGTTTTTTGGGTTTTAATTGGTTGTAAATGAATAAAACCCAATGGGTTTTACTATGAGTATTATTAGGGTTTTATTTGTGTTTTAATGGGTTTTAATTGAATTTTGCTCTACAACTGCATATTAAAAGTTCAAAACACCTCTCGTCGTACGTTAGACGAAGTTGTTTCACTGGAGCTAAGCAGTTTATTTCATTAATATCGTAATATTTGAAAACCCGGAACAAATCAAAAATGGACAACATCTCTTACCATCCAGTGCTACAAAAAATTAATTTCGGAACCGATACAATTTCTAATATGGATGGAGGATTTGTATATAATTGGAATTGGATTTGTAATAGTTGCAAAATTTGTTTGTTGAGTTTATTACTTAGAATTTATTAAAACCCAAAACTCATTAAAACCCATTAAAACTCCCGAGTTGTTATTTTTTTTATGAAAACCCTAGGTTTTTCCGAACCCTGCGGCTGCAAATCCATCTCTTTTGTAAAAAAAATGAGTTGCACTTAAACTTATTCCATGGAATAAAAAAAACAAAAAAAAATTTGCACATAAAAATAATGTTTGACTTTGAATACTTTATTCGTTTGTTAAGAGAGCTATTGTAGCTGTATGTTGCTTGCTGGCTGAACGCAATGTTCAGTACGCATTGACACAAAGGCAAAACATAGAGACGACGCTGACAGATTATTGTTACAGACATTTACAAGTTATTGTTGTGTGTCTAGTCATAATTGATAAAAATTTTGTAGACTGACTTCTTTTGTTCCAAGCTGCTACTGCTGTTTATGCTTCTATGAAACGTTACGTTTATTCGGACTGTGAAATTAATACCGTGCGAGAGTAAATAAGTGAGTACATGAATATCGAGGTGGTAGTTGCAAGTAACTAGTGGCATAAGTGACCAAGCGGTCGTAAGTCTCGTACTGTGCCACAAATAACTTACACATAATGTGTGTCTAAATTAAGTAACGGCTTGTTGATTACATTGTTGCTTTCGTGCATATGGCGCAGACAATTTGACGTGTTATGTGAATTTATAAACTAGGACAGCGAATGTATTATTACACTGTGGTAGATGTCTTAATCTCTTTCTTGACTACGTAAAAGTGATACTTATTACCAAAAAGACCCCATATTACTGCTACATTTTCTACTAGGATGTTGAATGGAATTGTTAAGAGAGCGCCGATGAGAACGAGGAGTGAGCGACCCAGACCCATTCGATGGAGGGAAAACGACTTGATCACTCCGAAAATGTACATGTAGATGTTCATGGCGCCGATGAAGGCACATAAAAAGTTGATGATTGCAGGACAAGGGATGGGGGCCATGACGGCGAGAATAATGTTGGATGTACTCAGAGGGAGGGTGACCCATGAGTAGAGCGAAATGGCTAGGAATATCTTTTTCTTCCAATCAATTGCTCCAGAATGCACAACCAGGTAGATTCCCTGCATAATACGATAACAAAGGTTAGATTTTGAAATCAAACACACAAGTATGTATCGTTGCCAAAGCAAGTATTATATAATAATGTATGCTTTTACAAACCTGCATCCATCGTTTTCTTTGCTGAAGAAAGTCCCACATAGTAAACGGCGATTTTTCCCACATCTCACCCTCAATAAAATTGAATGTATACCCTTCTGAATATGCCTTCATGCCAAAAAAACAGTCCTCGGCAACCGATCCATCCGGTCCATTGTCAAAACCAATTTTGCGCTCAGCGCCAGCCTATAAATGTAAATAATGAAAATAAAATCTCCATTTTTTTTTTACTCCATTCATACAATGTTACAATAACACAAGAAATCATTGGGAATATCTAATTAAATTATCCCATATTTAGCTACCTGAGTCACAACGTAAGACCCTTTCCATGAGAAGTATGGCTTATTGAATAATTTGAATTGGGCCCGAAGTTTTCCCATGTCGTCTGCAACTCGAAAACTATCCGCCAAGGTAGTGAACCAGTTCACAACCTAAATGACACAAAAAATACAAAATTAGTTTGTTTACTAGAACCAATCACAACCATACTTAGTCACGTTATAGCTTAACTGACCTGATCATTTGCATAAGTGATGACACCTTGTCCGAATTGATGCTTGCCATCAAAAACAAAATTTAGGATACCCCTGATGGCGTTGTCAGTAAGGATAGTTTCCTCGTCTAAATGAACAATCCAATCGGAATCGGCCAATATGTTAACCTCCTGCTCCAAACAGTATTGGAGGGCCCTTGCTTTGAACAAAGCACCAGATTTTGTGACATACGAAGGGGGCACCACTACCTCCCTCACTCGACTGTATTCGCTCAGCCCTGGAATCTTTTTGTCTGTGACCACCTCCACGATGAAATTCTCCAGTCCCACATCCAAACATAAATTGAGATTCCGTGTTACATTTTTCTTTACGAGGTCCGGATAGTCCCCCCGAGTGACAACGCGGATGCAGATAAAAGGCGCAAGAAGTGGCGATCCTTTGAGTAATGTTTTTTCCGGAAACGCATTGAAGAGAAGAAGACCCATTGCATTGAATATGACTTGTGGCAGTGCTAGGAATGTAAGGAATCGTAAGGAATAGAGTACAATGGTCCAAAATACTCCATACGTCGCCCAAGGATCTGGTGGTTCTGCAGACTCTGATTCATTCCCCCACAGTGATAATCCCCCAGTTGCAATCTCAAATCCACCAATTAATCCTGTGAGAAGACAGCAATGGACAAAATGTTTCGTTCCACTCGACCACATCCTTGTTCTGCGACAAATTAAGAGAAAAACAAAATATTAATGTAAATTCCACAAAAGTTAAGAAATTTTGAAGTATCAAAAGAACAATAAGGCTAACGGTTCTAATCCTAACAAGGGACACTCACGACCTGTCGTTTGAGTCCAGGGTACCCACTATGTTTTTTTAGAATCTACTAGGACCCCTGATGAAGGATTCATTCATATTTCCGTGTAAAACTCATATTTGGCCCAATGGCGTGGCGCTAAACTTAAAAATTTGCATTTTCGACCAATTTCAAACCCTCATAACTTTTGCAGTTTATGTCGGATTTTTAAAATTTTATGCTTAAAATGATCAGAAAAGTCGAAATTTTAGAGAAAAAAATAAAAATAAAAATAAAAAAATTTTAATTTTTGAGATATTTTTAGCATTTTTTCGACGAACCCGAAATTTCGAAATTTTGAGAAAAGTTAAAAGCGATAATTTTAGAAAAAATTTCATAGAATACGAAAGTTGAACTCCTTGTCATGATTTTTGCCAAAAATTTTGGAAATCCGCCCCGGATTTCAAAAGTTATGGCGGTTTTAAAATGAAAAACCATCAAATTTGGCGAATTTGGCGCCACGCCATGGCGCCAAATATGAGTTTTACACGGAAATATGAATGAATCCTTCATCAGGGGTCCTAGTAGATTCTAAAAAACATAGTGGGTACCCTGGACTCAAACGACAGGTCGTGAGTGTCCCTTGTAAGTATTAGTTAGTATGCATCAATGCAGAAGGGAAAGAGAGGGAGAGAGAGAGAAAATCGATAGCTTTCACAACGACCTCATTCAGAAATCGATTTCCGAAGTTATTCAATCAGAGAACCATTTATTACGTACTAACCATGTATATACGTACAGAATTTGCCTATTCTTCAAGGACATGTTAGCAGTCGTTATTGTCATTCAAAGTGCATGCCATACTTACTAATCAACCAACTCGAAATGTTAAACTGTCTGAGTCAACAGCATATAAAGTTTAATGGTAAAACATGAAATGAGAAAAGGAGGTGATTCCCAAAACAGCACACGAATAATATTAAAATGGTGAAATATTTACAAATAAGCTAACCTTAACTAAACTAGGACTATTAACCACATAACGAGTGTTGGTTGATTTCGAAACACAACAAACTTCAAAATAAAGAACTATCGTCAACTTACTGTCCTTCTGGTACGACAGCTCAAGTATGTCACTAATAATATTATTATTCGTAATAATTTTCTGAAACTGTGTACACCGGCCCACTTTTTATGTTATGAATCTAGTATTTATCTATTTTCTACTAATACTCAAAATGTAATACTGACGGTGGCAGTTTAAGGAGTGTATCGTAGTAAAAAATGTATGCATTAACTATTGATCCAATCCAGCCACCTGAGTGAACTAAATATTAATGAAACTGCCTCCTTCTTTAATATTATATTAACTACTACCACCACAAATATGTAAGTAAGTACAATCCAATGGCCTGGAATGGATGAGTCGCTCACCACGATGATGTACTGCACTAAATACTTTTTTGGACTCTCCTCCTCTTCACCACATTATTAGAGTTGACGATCCTTTTATCTCGGTGCAAAATTGGGGTTATTATGATCAGGCTGGATAAGTGATGGAGTCAAAAATTTGCTGCATTAGTCACCAAAATGTGTTCCCTCCAACGAGTTCTCTGGATCTAAGGATAAATTTTACTATCGGTGAAGGTAATGCTTGATGATTTGATATGAAATTATTGTGCACTAGAATTTAAATTGGGACAGTTGAAATAGATTAAAAACAAATGAGGAGGACTGGACAGGAGCAAGTTTCTTTGCCTGACTCACTTTCCTTCTCGTCCAAATACTAGTAAGCAAGCATCACCACCAGACAAGACCAGCGAGCGAGTAGTAAATGACCCCACCCCGGTTCAGTATTCGCTCCCGATGAAGAAGAAACCATCCGCTACCCGCTTTTTCATGTTCGATGCCTACCCGACTTTCACCAGACTTTCACCCGCAAGGAAGTAATTCGGTGGTGGTGGTCATGTCATCCTAGAACCAGCATGTGTAGTAAAAGTATGCGTGTGCAAGTAGACGGCCTTGTTTATATCTATGAAAATGTTGTATTAAACGTCAATCAATGACAACCATTCAATGTACTCAATTGCATACTTATTAACTGGCATGAGAGCATGTTGGTATTAGGATTAGAAAATTCATAATTTTGCACAGCAGTACGTGGGTCAAGGTTGCATGCATGCATGCAGGATTCGATTCATGAAGCTTTGCAAATATTCATTCACGCATTTGATTTGATTTTCCACAGGCAGGTAGAATTCTAATAATGTAAGTAAAGTAGGAAATCATGCGATTAATTTTCAGACAAATAATAATCATGCAATTTAAATAGTGGAGCAGAATGTGTTTTGGTTGGTATTTTACGTATCGTATCGTATTATTATGATTTGTTCCTTGTAACTAACTACATAATTGCTACATGACAAATGGATTGAAACTATCACACTATTATTACGAGGTTGTGTATTCTGACCAGCTACACTTAACACTTGTTGTGATTAAATTTCAATTAAAAAGGCTGCAAAGTAGTCAAGAACACAATATTTAATGTACTGGCCTATGGTTGCAAATTACTGCACTTTCATTATCAGGTTAATTGTTCCATAGTCCATGAATTCATCATATCTTTTAAGCTATCATGGTAGGTCTTGTAAAAGAATAATGAGAGTTGACAGACATTACTACTGCGAGGAGTGTAGAGGTTGAGATAACCTGCATATTAGGATGACTCATTATGCATTTCATGGACGCAGAGGAGCAGATCGAGTGACTGAAACATTATCATCATCAAATACCGAGAATTTTATGTTACCACTCGTATAAATAAACTGCTGTTGCTGAATAGGAAAGTTTTGCATGGAAAGTATGGCTACATAATATATATTGTAAATACGTTGACACCGCGTCACGGGTTAAATATAGTTACGTCACATTATACATCGTATTGGGTTTATTCAGTATAGAGATTCCTGAGAGAAGGTGAGTGCAAGTGCACTTAATACATACATATTATATATGTATGCATGTATGTACTCGGAAATTGTGAATTTTTGGCCAGCATTTAAGCGAAGAAGAGAAGAACCAAATAAAAAAAGATAAAGTGGATGAGTAATTATGGAGAATGTGATGCGATGTTACATGACGTAAATCTAAAGGACGAGTTAAACCCAGATTTAGCATTTAGTGAAATTAGTTAATGAGAATAAGTACAATTTTATATCCTTATTATTCTTTTTTTTAGATAAGCGATTGATACTTCCAAAATATATCTAATATTATTGTCGCATTTATAAAATATGCATATAAATCGGAAAGCATGGATTTGTTTATGATATTATCATTAATTTACACTAGGTATCAAAACTATACTATTGCCATATAGTACATACCAGAGGGCAAACATAATTACTTGGAGATTAATTCATATTCATTCCAAAAAGGGCATAAAAAATCTACACGCCTCGAGGAAGTGTCACTTACGATTTAGAATATAAAAACAAATCTAGGATTGATTTTAAAATAGTTCAATTTGAAATTTATAATTTGAAACATGGCGTGTCCGAGATAGTAAATGGCTATGCTATGCGCTTATAAAATTACTAAACTCAAAAGTATTTATGCGGCAGACGCCTTCTATAATATGTATTTATAGAAGGCTTAATTGAAATTTTATTGTTATCGTCTATGTTTCTTCGATTTCTTACGGCTTGTAGAACTGCTTCGTGATCTTCCTCGCTCATGCTTCTTTCTCCTTTAAGTTTAAATACAAAAATATTATTGCAGCACGCCTTTGGATATTTTCAATTATTCTTATACGAAAAGTTTCTGCTAGTTTTAGAAACAAGCTTCAGGCTCACCTTTTCTTTGACGACTTCCGTTTGGTTCGCTTTTTCTTCTTACTGCTAGAATCATCACTACTAAGTATTGAAAGTGAAGATTCTGATGAGCGAGATTGAGATCGAAAAGAACGAGATGTGCTTCTAGATCGAGATCTCCCATCATTTGCCGATCGTTTCTTTGTTCCATTTTTGACCTCTGCGACCTCGGGATTGGTAGAATTAGAACTATGTAATCTCTCATAAGCTTTAATAGATTTGGCCCCATCTTCTTCATCTAATGTGATTGGCGCAGAAGGTAAACAATTCCCATCAGTTTTAATGGCTTCTGTAATAATATAATACAATAATACATAGATCAATCATAAATCATAAAATAAAATCATTGTTACTAATAAATTATTAACCATTTTCGACGTTATTATTAGTTTTTGCGGCTTCTTCACTGGCTTTGGCAGATATCTTTTGTAGAAACAATGCCGCCTTTTGTCGTCTCATTTGTTTTCTTAAACGTTCTGCCTCCTCCTCATTATTTTCAGGTATAGATTTATCATCACGAACAACCGGTAGTAAATTAGTCATTTCCACAATTGAAGAAGTCTTGATGGGGGTTACAGAAGTCTCCATGTGATTAATCGATTCTTCCGAGTTTTTTTGATCAGCAATTGTTGAGCTGTCTTCATCTGACGCCGATAGAGTTGAAGCTTTCCCAATAGAGTTGGCAAACTGAATCTTAAGCTGTAATACAATAATAATAACATTATTCGTGCTGAAGATAATGTGCATGGCTTAAAATTAAATTGAAATCTAGTGTAACAGAACATACAGGCGGTGGGGATTCTTTCTTGGCAAACAGTGCATTTTTCTTCTTAATTAATTCGATTCGGGAAGCCACTTCTGGTGGTATTGATGTGGGACGATTAGAAATACTTTCTATATTGGCAATTGGTATTCCGCTGGAGGATAAAGGTAACTCGACAGACTTTAAGATTATTTTTTTCTGGACAATGGGTTCAGAAACGGTTACTGTAGGTATGGTAGTAAGAGAGGCTTGAGATGTGGAGGGTTCTGACGAGTAGCTCACAAAATTTCGATTAACAACAACGGCTGCACTTTCTGCCTTGAATCGCTCTTTACAGTTCAGATAATACCAGTGGTATTTGTGTGATTGATTTAAAAATACGAATCGGGGATCCCCTTTAGTTCTAGCAAGCTCTTCGAAAGCTGGACCATTCTTGACAACATAGCTTGCCATCTTTTCAATCACTGTCTGGTCACTGGAATTTGGTATCTGACTATCTGGACGAGTTTGAGCAACACTTGGGTCGACGGCTATTGCCGAGTTCATGGAGTACGCGTCTGCAGGATTTACTCCAGAATTTAGAGTGTGGTAGTGTGGATTGACGTACTGCTGGTTATTATATGCACCATTATATGCATCATAACCAGCATAAGGGTTTACGACTGGTGGTGTAGGACTAGAAGTTCCTGTAGATTCTCGAATTTTAGAAACAAGCAATGAGTAGGTCGAATTCTCAGTGTTTGTTCTGAAATTGAGTGAAGGTAAATTGGTTATAGTGTCTACAATTGAACTGCGAAATAGGCTAGGGTGTAAGTATCCGTCGTCGTCGTCGTCGTCCTCATCCTCGTCACCAATTCCTCCTCCGTTATCAGCTGCATTAATTAATTAATCAAAATAAACAACTGAACTGTATCAAATATAATTTCATAAATTTAAGTTTAAATTCTTACTTGAAAGTTTAGATGTAGATTCGGCAGAGGTGTCTGAATCCTCCTCTGGTGTATAAGTATTGTCGCGAATAGCTTGTACCAGATACTTAAAATAGGGATTATATGTGTCCTTATAATCGAGAAAATTAAAATGGGGATTTCCCGACTGTTTAGTTTTCAATATAATTTCCATTTGGCTGCCGTGACCAGCAATAAACTTTGCCGTCTTTTCGATAATAGAATGTAACTTCATTGTTGGGGGCTATACAAAGATGGGGGAAAATTCAAAAGAAAGATATTATTAGTATTTTGAACTCATTTAGTGGAAATTTAATTAATTCCCTGTCTAGTTTTATTCTTACCACAATAACGTTGGGAGGCATCATTAATCCAAAGGGTTTCACATACGGTCGCTCATCATCAGCCTTGTCGACAGTCTGGACCACGAACGTCTGTTCGTTGTTTTTCGTCACCAATGGATCATCATAACAATATCCAACTGCGACGTAGGAATCGTCGCCACCACCACCACCGCTCTCACTGCTCTGATTCATGGAATTTACGTCGAATTGGAACTTGCGAAATTCAACTTCTTGATAGTTGTCATCATCAAATTCAGAATCCTCTCTCAAATCACGATATCTCTCTTTCTCTAAAACACTTTCCAACTCTTGCCGATCACCAGATTCCATGTGATCAACACCATCTGCTAATCCACCACTTGATAAATCAACCAGAGCACCACGTCCATCGTAACGATCGATTTTAACGGAAGGGTCTCCCATCCAAGGAATCAAATGACTTTCTTTATCAATCCACTCAGCCTTCTCATCATCTCTAAACAGTTTGCAGGCATAGCCAAATACAAGAATTTCGTTAGGATCTTCTGCCATGCCTACGTAAAAGTCTCTTCCCCCACCGCCACCCTCACTTTTGGAATACTCCATATCCCCCTCCGTCAGAGGACTTTACTTATTTTCAGTATTTAAATGTATTTTGCAGCTGTACACTCGACAATTATAACCGCAAAAGTATAATAACAAACACTGAAGTCCATCACAATAGTGAGGGCAACAATTTGCATATACCGGGCGAGCATATTACTCAAAGACAGTAGTGAGACTCTTCCTCGATGATATAAATACGTGTATATTTTTTGTAAGTCGGTTTATTAAAATTATGCTGCAATCCATCAACTTTGAAAAGTAGTATTCGTAAACACAAATTTGTGTACTAATCTATTCTTATATATCATATTTAATTTATAGTTAACAAGTATTATTAATAATAATTTACATAACATTATGAATCATAGTGGTACATTAGTCATTAACTAGTAAGACTTCTTTTGGGGATAGTGGATCATATTCTTTAAATGGATGATTACTAGTTTTATAGACTATTAGGGCCGACGGAGGTGGAACTATTACTATGCACTAGACTCAGCATACTTCCGGCTTTTGAGTCATCCTCATGGTAGACTTCCCTTGACGGTTCCGTGAGTGCAAGTGCACTGCAATGAATACAAATGATCAATATATTAATATATTGCAATAAATTAATTAACAAATTATAATAAAGCATGATTATATAATATTATATGATACTGCATTTCACTACCTAAATCCGCGTCGAGTGGACTCCTCATCAAATTGCTCAAGTTCACGCATTTGTCTTTCTTGAAGCAGCCGAATTCTTTCTGCTCTCTCGCTGGCAAATTGCTGAAGCTCTTCTCGCATCTAATGCATTTGCATGTTTCATTATTATTTACATAAATTATTAGATAGCGGAAAAATGACAAAAACTGTTCCAACCTTTTGCTCCAACAATGATCTGCGTATGGAAACACGTTCGGACAGCTCCTTCCTTTCACGGTCTCGCTGCGCTTCGGCCTGCATCTTATTTTTTGATTGATATGCAATCAAAATTTCGAGCTCTCTTTCAAGTTTCTCTTTTAACTGTTGCGCTTCGACTTCTTGCGATTCATCGAGTCGAATCTGATGTTTTTTCATTAAAAATAATAATAACTATGAGTCATTTCCACGGTGTATAAAAGTAACTTGTATTACAAGCAACATATAAACGAACCGATTGTTTTTGAAGCATTTCTGCAATACTTTGCTCGTATTGCTCCCCCAAGAGAGCTAATTTCCGTCGTTGTTCTTCCTTCAATTTCTTAATTACTACCTTTTGCTCTTCTTTCGGCGTTGTTTGAAGTATTTGAATTTTAAGTGCTTTATACTGAACAGTTTGAATTTTACATGTGTCGCGAAACTGCTTTCGGATTTGGACTTCTTTTTGCTTCAGACTTTTTGGTTGCTGCTTCAGCTCTAAAGCGTGCTTCTTTTTTAATTCTACTTCAGCTCGTTTCATGTATTCGTGCTGATTTTGCAGCTCACTATGATGCAACTTTCGAACTTGATCCTCCCTTAGTTGATGCACTGCCCTTTGCTGACTATATTCTAATTCTTGGGTCAGCTCGTGTTGTTTGATCAACACATTATGAGCTTGTTCTAACTGCTGCTGACGTTTATTCAATTCCTGTTTAGGAGCAGACAATTTTTAATCCTTTTAAGCTCAAATATAATTATTAAAGGGTAATTTTGTTATCAATGTTATATACCTCTCGGAGGAGGTCTTGCTCTAATTGATGATAAGCAATCAGCTTTCGTCTCCTAAATTTTCGTACTTCCAAGTCCAAATAGTCTTTTTGATTACGAAGCATTCGTTGTTCCTCTTGCTGTTCTTGGTATTTCAGGTTATCTTTTTGGCTCCTGTACAAGGAAAAAGTACCATTACATAATATTAATATGACTTCTGAATTATACAGAGAAAATTATGTTTCTATGTGAAATTTTACTGCAAGGTGGCTTCACGTTGACGTTTAGGAGTTGACTCATCCTGACTAAGTTCCCTCTTCCAACGTTCCTTATTTTGTTTATACTCTTTCCGCTTGTGTAGCTCAAAACTCTTTCTTTCCTGTTCTTGTCTTGCCGTTATTTCCTTCGTCAATCGTTTCTCTGCGCTACAATTTTGCTTTAGCTGAAAAATTAGAAATCGAGATTCAATTTATATGCATGCATAAATATATATGTATCAGCATAATTAAAAAATAATAATATCATTTAATATGGTCCATTAAAAATTCAAATACCTTTCTATCCAATTCTTGCTGGTGACGTGCTTGCAGTTTTTCCAATTCTTTGGAAAATTGTTGCAAGAGGTTCTCGTATTCACTATCAAGCATTTTCCGATGATTTTCCATCTCTAATCTACACTTTTCCTCCAACTTCAGTAAAGCGCTTTGATGTTCTCTTCTCATTCTCTTGTAGCCACTCATTTGCTCATACATATCCTCTTGCATATGTTCCTTTTGCTGTTTTGTTACAATTGACGTAGTACGTATGGTTGCGAAATTGTTGGGTACTCTTTCCATGGAAGAGGTATACGATGCCTATGTAGTTTATGAATTGTGTTATTTTATCATATTTCTAATAGTCACTAGCTTGTTTGTTATTTTGCTATTAGAATAATAATACTTACATAGGAGGTACGATTCCTGGGGGGTCTTATTGAAATGGGAGAGAAATGATTGGGGTCATCGTGTTCATGCATTATAGGGATGGAATTTGTTGAAGAAGACTGTGAAGATGCAGACACACCAACTGACTGGATACTTTGTTCAGAAGTGATACTGTTGCTTTTACTGCTATCCCCTCCGGGAATATCCTCACTCCCTAAAAACGAGTATTAGAATGCATAAAATTCATTAACATAATTATCATGTCATGCACAATATATAAATAATTGAGTAACATATTGCTGTTGACATACCGTCGCCCTCGCCTAGTTGACTATCAGTTTCACATGAGTCTGCCATTAATATTTTCTTCATTTTTCTATAGTTAAGGTTGTCTAGGTCACGGACAGCAGCCTTCGTACGACTAATCAAATCTGTCAGAACATGACTGGATTTGGGGCGAGTGATGAAGGGATGCATCAACAATTTGTGGGATGCTAGTCTTTCCATTGGGTTCTTTTTGAGACACAATTCTACAAACTTTTTAAATGTGTCTGACCAGTTGGACACAGCAGTTTGCAACATTGGGCTGTCATTCTGTGCAATGTGATACAAGGCACTCATTGCATTCATATTAAAATATGGGGGCTTCCGCTCAGCTAGAAGATAAAAACAAATGCATGTTAATGAGGCACTGACCGACCAACAAAAATTATAATAAACAAAGAAATGATACAACAAATCAAATTACCAAGTTCAATGCAGGTAATTCCCAAGGACCAGACATCTACTTTCCCGTCGTACTGTCCTTCGTCCATTGCCAAAATAACTTCTGGTGCCATCCAATAGCTGAGTTTAAATAGCAAAAAATAAGACAAAATTCAAATATATTAACTTGATTTACTGTGTGCTGTGTATACACAGGCTTACCCTTAGTATGATATCCAATTGTATAACTTATTATTATTTAACAAATACTTACGGCGTCCCAACAAAGCTGTTAGCCGGACATTGAATCGAAGCGGATCCAAAATCTGCCAATTTTACTGTTCCATTTTCGGTCAATAAAATATTTCCAGCCTTAACGTCACGATGAATTCTACCCAAGGCATGAAGGTGGACAAGACCCCGAAGAACTCCCTCACAAATTGCAGAAATCTCATCTTCTTTCAAAGGCCTAAAATCAATAATTCATTGTTATACAAGTAGTTAGTTGTGCATGTTAAATATTTGCTTGTTATAATAGTAATATTGACATTTAAACTTACCTTTTGTGAACTTCGATAATGTCAGACGCTGATCCCAAACAATACTCCATCACCAACTACAAGTGTTAGCAAATGTAAATATAAGTATATGCAGCAAAAAGTACGATGCAAGATAAAAATGTTGAATTAAATTGTACCCATGCGGTGTGTTCCTTGAGGTAGCAGCCTTTGTAATCAATTGTATTTGCATGTTTGAGTTGCCTGAGGAAGCGAATTTCTTTAAGAATATCTTGCCACTTGTCCAACGATTGTTTTCCAGTGTAAGACATCTTTTTAATGGCTACAATCTCTTTGGTCTCCTTATTGCGAGCAAAATAGACAGCACCGAAGGAACCATGACCAATTTCCCGAAGGTCTTCAAATATTTTGTCTGGATCATCACGGACAAATAACTCTGAAATCTCAGGATCCTTCAAACTTCCGGGTCTGTAAATCATCAATTTAGCCGTAATACGTATAATATGTTAAGAGAATGGATGAAAAATAAAATAAACTATCTACTTACATTTGACGGGATTTTCCGGACTTATTAAACATCAGATTTGGGACTCCATTTTGGAGATGGCTGGACTTATCCAGACCACTCATTGCTCGAGACGTCCGAGCCATCACCTCACATTGTTCATTACTATCTAGCATGTTGTCACTGTCACGCCCAAGCCATGTCATTTCCTCCATTCTTCTCCCTAAATTCTTACTAAACAATACACTTTCTTCTGCTTAATTTAACTCACAAATAATTTAAATAGTTTACAAAACCGTTTACACTAATGGCACTTTAGTTATTGTCAATTCAACCTATTTTGAAGACTAAACTTTGATTTCACGCACTCTAATTTTAAGCAATCCTACATGACTGTTGGGGTGCAGGAGATTCATTAACATTGGAGCGAGCAATGTCAACATTTTCGAAGCGCGTGCAGAGTGGTGTGCAGCTGATCAAATTTGCTGTTGAGTTGTTCGGAATTGGAGATTAGAGTGGTGTGCAGCTGATCAAATTTGCTGTTGAGTTGTTCGGAATTGGAGATTAGAGTGGTGTGCAGCTGATCAAATTTGCTGTTGAGTTGTTCGGAATTGGAGATTAGAGTGGTGTGTAGCTTATCAAATTTGCTGTTGAGTTGTTGGAAATTGTCGGTGTGGGTTGTATTTAACTGCTGAACGTTCTTTGTGAGAGTGTCGACTTTCTTCTCAATTTTGAGGAGTGCTGAAAACAATACAATATATATAGTTAATATGGTATTACTATTAGCAGTGACCGCCGCAGAAGCGTGGGACATGTCCTCTCGAAGTCCGTATCATTTGCCCATGTTACATAAATATTAACGTCCCCAGATGTCCCCACAGCTTCCGCGGCCACTGACTATACTTCAATTTACTTGAATCGTCGTTCCAGCACAAAGTGATTGTCAAACTAATAAACCCACTAGAGATTAAACCAAGCAGTATACGAGTACTTATTACAATTTCAGGTTGTAAATCTGATGGTGGTTTTAGTTCAAAATACAAAAACAATAATGTTATGATAAAGGAACATAATATTCCAAAAAATTTGTGGAGTGAGCACGTCATGATGCCAGATAGCTCATGAAACTGAACAATGAACATGACTAAATATTGTACGCTATTATCACTCCGATCTTCATATTTTAGACCTCTAGCAAGTTAATGTACATAATAACATTATTTACATACCTTCATTTCTCTTCCTTCGAGCTGAGAACACCAACCAAATTAGAACACAAATTGCAAATATAATATAACAACTTGCAAATGCTTCAAAGTACTGAATATTTCTACACACGAAATCTTTGCAAATGTGTGTGTTGTTCATTCCGAACAGCTAGGTGTTCAGCTTTGCTTAACGTATTGTTACACATGATAACCAAATAGATGAATTTCGCCCAGGTCAATGGATTTTAAGATATTTTACATGTTTGTAATATTTTTATTTAAAATAATATTGATAAGAAATATTGGATGCACAGCACAGCAGTGGAGACTAGTTAGTAGTGGGTATGGTTTTTGGATTCAGCTCAGTTCTTCTTTTCACTCCATTACTATATAGTAATGGACAGTAGTACTATCCACAACCCACCGTTACGTCACACGGGTTTGGGGAAAGTGGCAAAAGATGTCTCAGTGAACGAGGGAAGTAAGCAACTCTTTTTTACCGAGTGCATGGCGCACAAGTGAAGTTGCCGTTAAAGGCTTTCTACTGACACGTAATAAAAAAATACGATTAAGGTTAAAATAAATTTGCCTTATCATTAGTATTATCCAGTAGTACTGCTAATCTGCGAGTCCAGTCTCGGCATCATCATTGACGACGAGGATAAGAAGACAATGTCGTCGCGTGGAGGGAACAGCGAGAGCCGAGTGTACGTGGGGAATTTGCCCCCCGACATTAGGACCAAGGACATTGAAGACCTCTTCTACAGGTTTGGGAAGATCCTCTATGTCGATCTGAAGAATAGGAGGGGACCTCCGTTTGCTTTTGTGGAATTTGAAGATCATAGGTACGTGCGATACATTATATATCCAATATTATTTAAAATGGTCGCTAATCGCTAGTCTGTTGGTTACTGCGTGACGATGATGTGAAATGGGAATATTTCTATCCAGTTTGTCATCCATATTTGTGAATATTAGTATTTGTTTGATATTAATATTATATTTGTTATGACGTGGAAGCACGTGGTAAAAAACAAGTGTGAAGTGGTGGTATGTTTCATTGTTGTTCTTTGTTGTTATCGTTGCTGTTCACTGTTTTAATTTGTGTAGGGATGCGGAGGACGCTGTGTCGAAACGGGATGGGTATGATTATGATGGATACCGACTACGCGTGGAGTTTCCCAGAGGAGGAAGTCGCAGTGGTGGGGACCGTGGTGGGAGCAGTGGGGGACGTTCATCCTATGGGGATCGTGGTGGTGGGGGTCGAGGCGGCGGCGATCGAGGACGTGGAGCCCCAGCTCGTCGATCACAATATCGTGTTGCAATTTCCGGTACGACGCTAATGAAACTGCTACTGTGGGAAATGATGATGAGGATTAAAGTATATAATAATAAGGGATTGTCTTCCTCCTGTTGTTTAATAACTAAATATTATAATTATAATAATGATAATTCTGTTCTTCCGCACGCTTTCTGCGGATATTTGGTTGGACTAAGATAAGGAAAAGAAGGAAGGATTTGTTGGAGAAAGGAGGAAGCAGGATTATCCGGCATTGCTTCAGATCAGTTCATTAAACATTAAGTGGCAGTTTTTATTTATGGAATGAAGAAGTGGTTGGTTCGTTCCATAAATGTGTTAGGAAGAAAAAAAATTAAATCTGACTATCGTGAAACTGAAACTATGTAGGACTCCCTCCGAGTGGCAGCTGGCAAGACTTGAAGGATCATATGCGAGAAGCTGGGGACGTTTGCTTTGCGGATGCTTACAAGGATGGGACCGGTAAGGAATTTCTTTGCATAGTTGTAGTTGTAGCTTTCTTTCTTACAAAATTCCATCAGAATTAAAGCTAATTCTGGTATAATTATTAGACCACTCGCTCCCCTCATTCATTTCATTTCACCTCCATATAAATTATTTTAAATACAAAAGAGTTCGCTTCAGCCAAAATAATTCCTACCTGTCACACACCAATGTCGACGTTTGCAATAAGAATGAGCAAAATGACAAAAGGTTCGACGAATCTGTAAACAAAAAAAGACAAGTAGGTCAGTGACTCCTACTTACTTTTTCTCCGCGCCACTGCAAGCAGAGTTCAAATGGAAAGACGGTTTTACTCCGAATTTCTCTCTTCTCTTTTCAAAACATCCCTCTCAACTCAAAATTTCAGTCTAGTTTTAATTAATTTTAATTAATTAATTTTCAACCATGGATAAAAAGAGTAGCAAGGCGACTACTTCTCAGGCCAGGCTGGATAGTTTTTTCCCAGTAAATCAACCCACCACCATTAATACTGTCTCGACCCCCATGAAAAGTGTCACACCCTCAACTTCATCCTCATTTCAAGTCCTCCCTTCAGTCGAACGTGAAAATGTGACCCCCAAGTCTCCTGCAGGAAAAAGACAAAGATTGTTGCTGAAGACAGATGAAAGCGTCAAAAAGTTCATCATCCCAGACAATATGAAGCCCAATATGATAATGGGTTATCAAAATGAGAATGGGGAATTTGTGACATTTGAGGAAACAGGTTAGACAACCATCGATATGACTGAGACAGAAAGTAATCAATTATGTTTGAAGAATCCCCCATTGGTTCACAAGACGTTGTTGAAAAGCCAAAACCACCCGCAGTGAAGAAACGCACCGTTCTCGACAGCATAAGGGAGACGCTGATTGAACATTTGGGGTACACGGGGAAGGAGGAAGACTTTGACAAGTCTGATGTGTATCTTAAGTGTATGAGGGAATTGTCTCCTAAATCTAGAACATCCAAATTAAAAAAAAGTGATGGGACGTGGGCTTATTTGATGCACAATAATAAGCCAGTATACATAAAATGGCAACAGGGAGAGTTATTTTTCAACCAAAAAAGCGATTGGAATGGATCGGATAAGAAATGTCGAGTATGTTGGTTAAGTCAAAAGGTAATTAATAAAATTGTGATGATGATTATGAATTGGTATCATGAAATGAAATACCATCTTATACTACTACTACTTTCAGGATAAAAATAATGGATTCTGTAGGACACATTCCAACAAATTACAGGAAGTACTGCTGATAAGGGACACACAGAGTAATACCCCTGTGTATGCAGTATTGCTACCACCATTTAAGGTGTCCAAGTATTACGACGAGTCTATCAACAAATTTCTGATGGGTATAAAAAGTGTTGAGGGCAATGTTTTAATCTCCAAGTACATGAAGAACAATAACGCCAAGTTCAGTATTGCAAAACATTGGTCCGTCCCTACCACTGAAGCTTGCCAAAAATTCAACACAATCTCCGTAATAATTCTCCTAATAACACTTCAAAAATACAGTTTTATATTATTTATAAAAGTATGATAATTACAGATTGCACTTTTTCTTCTCTTCAAATTCCATAACTCCACTGCAGAAGAAAATAAAATAAAACTTCTCATGGGGTGGGTGACCTACAAGGGAAAGAGTGGAGAAGAAGTCATTTGGGATGAAGTCCTGCAGATTTTAAAAGACAACAATATCGTCTTCTCATCTCAGCCTTTGGATTCTCTCTTGGACCGAACCCGTAGTCCTCTCCTCCCATCAAATTTCAATTCTAAGCTCCCCCATACATATGAGGGTCATAACCAAAAGGGGGGATTGTATGACGGGGTGATGTTCTCAAAGAGGAAAAAACATGGACGCAAGGGATCTGTGCAGCATTACTTAACTATCAAAACTGGCCTACGTGACTGTGACAAGAGAACGATAGAGAACATTTTTCAGTGTCAACTGACTGAGAAAGAAGATGCCATCATGAGGACGGTGGAATTTGAGAAGGAGGAAGTTGAAGGCGAAGAGGAGGACGAGGAGGAAGTTGAAGGCGAAGAGGAGGATGAGGAGGAAGTTGAAGGCGAAGAGGAGGAAGTTGAAGGCGACGAGAAATCGGAAATTTGGAAAAAGATGAAATCCAAGGCAGAACAAGTGGAAATGATGGCTCAAATGGCCACCTGTATTGCAACCATGCTCAAGATGACCAACAATTCTCACCCAATCTGTCCCCTCACAAAGAAATTGTACAACTGGGATGGATTTGACATGCAAATTTTTGAGATTTCACTTAAAACTCTTAAAGGTGACAGTGGAACAGAAGAAGAGTCTGAGGATAAGTGGAGGACGTGTAGAGTTCATTTGGGGGATTCATACTTTTAAAAAGTTGTCTCATAGTTAACTTGTCGGCAATTACCCTTGAATGCGCTACCGCCGCGGGTTTGGACTATCTCTAAATATGAGTAGTTCGACCCCCCTATATAGTACATAGTTAACTTTCTAATGTGTTAACACACGTTGTAATTTCTAGTTTATTTGTAGTTTCAAAATAAACAACTCACGCGGTGATCCCTTCTGTTGATAACTGTTGCGGTTTACTTTGCTTAATTTTTCCCATCACACTGTGAAAAACCCGGAAATTGTTAAAACTAATAATTGGGCTTAATTAACGTGTATCTATACTTTTTACTTTGATGTACCTCTAATTTGATAACCAATTCTGGGGCAGGAGTGGTGGAATTTCTGCGACATGAGGATATGAAGTATGCCATTAAAAAGCTGGATGACTCTCGATTTCGCTCTCATGAGGTATGTAGATATTGGTGTGTTGGATAAACAAGTTGTACATAATAATGTAACATGTAACATACATAATAATAATCAGCAGCATGTTGATCATCAAATTATAGACTAAAAATTTGCCGTGATATGCATGTGTGTGAAATAATGAATGTATTTACTTATGTTTAGGGCGAGACAACATACATTCGAGTAAAGGAAGATCGAGGAGGGGCAGCCGGGAGTGGTAGTGGGGATCGATCTCCACGAAGTCGTAGTCGAAGCTACAGCCCTCGTCGTCGATCTCGTAGCGATTCGCGAAGTCGATCACGCTCTCCGTCTTATGACCGTCGTTGAGTAACGAAGGAGGAAATTGAAGATTATTACACATTTAAAACCATCATTATCAAATTCAAAACCTCGATAAAATTATGTTCCAATAAGGACTGAATTTTGTTTTAAATTATGTTTAATACAAACAACAACTAATTGTTTTACTAGTTTCACCTACAAAATGAATGTGTTTTTCATCTTAAAATTTCATTCGTAAGAAATTACATTCCAAACTATCATGATGTTTTCATTTACTAAAATGGTATATATATATATAAGAGTATCTATTATGTAATATCTATCAAATAATACTATGTAACATCAGCTGACCCTCCCTCAATTAAGTGCTCATATATATAGTGTTTCTATATAAAACAACAAATAATATTGACCACCAGTTGGATTTATGCTGTTACAGATGTTAATAAAGAAAATTGCATATAAAACAAAACATTTTTATCACGTTAATGCGTGTTTTGCCATGCCCTGCACAAAATTTCTTAAATATTTATGCAAACAGCCTAGAATTCTAGCAATACTTTAAAACCTATATTTATACAATTTAGACCTTTCTAATTCATAAGGGGGTACAGAAAACCAATACCTCTTACAATGGTCGCCGATTTTGACCAAATTAGTGTCAATCGATCGCGAACTTAATTAATATGAAACTTGCAAAAGATATTATCTGCCATGCTCAGGTTTGATTTACATCCGAATAAGAAAAAAACGCCCAGTAAATTTGGAAAGTGTCAAATTTGTCAACTTTAGGCCGCGTTTTCTTCTCTTTTGATGCAAATATCTCTGCCAAACCTGAGCATTCGCAGATAACGTCTTTTGCAAATTTCATACTAATTACATTTGTTATAGATTGACACTAGTTTGGTCAAGATCTGAAAGCTTAGGTACGCTGGGAGACCTGCACTGGAAGTCAATTCCTACAGAAAGGCATCCTCATTAGCTGGGCATTTACATATGTATAAAGCGACCGGTGCAGCAAAAGTGTGACAACGTGTATACGAACGAGACAAGATTTTAGGAGTCTGAGCAAGTATTATGCAATCTCCTGAACAGATAGTACAAGACCATGTGTGTCAGTGTGTGTACATTGCTTCAAGACAATGTCACTTATTGCATATGTACATTCATTCCCTGAGCCAAAAATACGGAAAGTGGGTGATAAAAATAGTGATGAACTCGAAAAACGTCTCAATGTATTGCCCACCATCCTCCTCTCTTGAATGCAAACTCCAACTCGTAGACGTAGATCTAGATACCAGTGACTGACTTTTACCCTGTGCTACCACATTAATTTTATTAAATCTAGTAATCCTCGTAGCATAGGCCCATCGCCTCAACTTAAATATTTAATTTCATCCGGATTTTCCAACACTTTTCTGACCTAATCATATGCTTTTATGATTTCTATCGAGCTTGAAAAACATTTTACTTCAAAAAGTAATACCCAATCTTGCATATTATTATGGATGGACAATGCCAGGCAATCAGGATGTTGCAACAAGTGGCCCCCTCTAATCCTAAGAATGTACATATGCATTTATGCCTGGATGGTTGGATATATGCAGAGTAATGTTGAGGGGATAGTACGTGTGGCGCAGAGCTGTCGTCGTCGTCGTGGTCGTCGTCGTTTTCTGCTGTTTTATGTTGTATGGAGGTGTGTACCAACATTTTTTCGTGTTTCTCTTAAAAGGCCGACCCCCAAACCCCTGTCTCGATTCGATGCGATCCAAACTCTATTTTTAAAGTGATGTTTAGACTTTTTGCCCCACATCCATCCATGCTATTTTCATGCAGATGAGCTAATACTGCTATATCGTCGTCAGATACTATTAGTAGTGGTGGAGCATCTCTGCCGGCCTCTTGCCCTTCCGTGTTTCAAGAATTTCAGCAGTGCCGGGTTCGTCAGCCTCTTCTCGATCACTTTCTTCTTCACAAATAATCCCCCCCAAAATTTCCCCCATTCGAAGCAGCACTATTCTCATAAATAATTTTGTTTATGTATAATTGTTCTGTTTCTATTTTCCCTGCAGTCCACGCATCACGCAGAACTAAGTTATCTTCGTCTACTTCTAAAGGAGGTTCTGCAGTTTTATTAAAGCTTTTTCAAGCCAACCCAATATCCACGCTGCTGACAGCAAGATACGACGATAATCCAAAAAGAACGACAACGCATACTACTTAAAATCATCTTATTAGTGCCCTCGTCACAAGGGGCACATCTTTTTCCCTTGCTTTCCCCTCTCCACAGAAAAAAAATTTCACTCTCTTCTTGTGTCATCTTCATCAGGATGCTGTATAAAAAATGTCATGAATTTGTGTTGGTGAATTGTTTTATAAAAGTGTCGCAGTGAATGAGTGAGTGAGCCTGTGACTCCATTTTTCATCAACTGTGTTTCTGTGACCAATGTCCAGTGATATGCACAAATAGTGTAATTTCTTGTCAAACAAAAAGTCTCCCATGTTTTTATTACTTCTTGGATTCACTTAGGATTAGTGTCTGTTCAGGTTAGATTCACAATTCTCTTATTATTTTGTATTTATGTATGTACTTGTGGTGAAAGTGGGCTCTGGGTTTATCAAGCATTTGTGATGCAGTAACATTGGTTTGCGGTGGAAAGCGACCTGTCTGAGGCTGAAAAAGCCATGGACTTCTTGAATTTCAATTTAACTTTTAAATTCTTCTAATCATAAGATAACTAGATTGAACTTGGAAATCCGTATAGGTCATTACCTGAAATTTTTGTACATCTTGATAAAGCATATTCAAAATTATTAATGAGATACACGCACACACCATGGCAAATATGTACTATGGTCTTTAATGCATATTAACCAATAATTCTTCTTGTATGAGTACACACCAGGTATGCAACCACCTGAATTTTATACAAGTTGTCATTGCATACGCCCGGAATTAATTTACTATATACACATCATTACAAGAAAAATAGTAGGGATAGTAATTTGCTTTACATTTTTAATTAAATTAGATGCATGGGCACATAAGTTATATGATATAACTTAAAATTAGGACATATGACTTAATTTGTAAGTAGTTACAAGTGAAATGTAATATGTCGACGTATACTTACAAGTCAAGTCAAGTTATTTATACACATGTCCATGGTTGCATCATGTATCTAAGTTATTTCTAATGACGAATGACGCTATATCGACATACGTATTATGAAGCCCATCTGAAGATTCATTAACATATCTATTAGTTTTGATATTATAAACCAAGTGGAAACATTGACATGCTCTATAAATTGGTATAAGATAGCATTTTTAATCAAAGCAAAACATATTATTGTATGCACGTATATATGCAGGGATACATGAAAATGTTGTATTTTGAATGTTTCTTGTTTTATGTACCTTCTTGTTCAACTTGGGCAGTAAAAAATTCACTTCAAATGTGATAACATAGTAAAAACTCCTTTAGGTTAGGTGGGTTTTAAACTGTTGGTTAGTTCACATATGTATTTACAAGAACTCGTTCGTTTCATAATAATTCGGTTGCGCTGACGGATTGATTTGAACTAATTTGGTCTCTCTCGTGCTTCGTGTTAGCCACCTACACACTTAACCGAGCCGAGATTTCCAGATTTGTAGAATTATTTTAGTGATTTCTCAACATCAAGCCTAGTCAACAGACTAAACCAATAAAGTGACGGAATGCGGGGACGCACCACTCCGTTCTTTATGCAAACGAGACGAGGAAGTGCAAAAACAAAACATGATCCACGTAACAATAACAAATGATCGTCTCGAAACGAGTTGAAGCTAAATAGAGAGTGTCAAATGAAGAACCTTTTTTCTTAAACTGTTGTATGCACTTAATAATTTTGCTCACTTTCTGATTACATTTCGACAACTTTGATTTGTGACAGTCAAATAGAATTTAGTAACATTATTTTCATGCATGTTTTAACAATTCGAATGCAACGAAGACATACCTTGGGGGATGAGAATTTTTGCTTGAACCCTTGCAAGAATTTTTTTTAGAAATTTCGTACAATCGGTCTTCTAAAAGGAATTGTTCCTGTTTAGAGTTCAAAAATTGAACAAATCCAAGTCCAAATTGTCCAAAGTAAATGTACGTAAACTTTATATTTACTTAGAGCTAATAATAAACGGTAGACGACGCTTTATTATGACGTTATAACGCCGTTATGGTCATACGTAATGCGTATGCATTTTATTACACGCTATAAAACAATAAGGCTACATTATAAATTATTGCTCGGGCATAATTCTAACTCTAGGTTTAATGTACAAGAGCAATGATCACCCATCAACGTATTTTCATATTTGGACATATCGCTTTATTACGTTATATGCAGCATGATTATTATTGGTCACTCAATTATCTGAATTAAGAAATTCGGTAAAGTACTCATTGCGTTTTTGGGTATAAAATTGCTAAGCAAATATGAGCATGCGAAACTCCAACATGATACCGTCGTACACATGTCATGATAATCTTGCACTGAAATTGCGCGGGTTGCAGATCACCATTTTTCGAGTAGGGTTTCTCCAACGTTCCAACGATCTAAAGCCGACGCGATAACAACATACCAACCAAGAGGTTTCTCATATTGTAGCCTCTCTCGATTTTACGGGCGATGGCGTTAAAAAAGACTATGCTGCCTGGTAAAGCCGAGTAAGGCGACGTGTGATGTGTGTACCAATGTTATTTTTAACTCGTTCATTCCATCCGGGTATTTTCGCTGGCAAAAATTCTTCTCTTGTCAAGTTTGTAAACCCACTAACCCAGAGCTGCTCCAGACCATGCTTATCCTATCACTCATGCATCCATGCAGTGCCGTACGCACTTGCAATGACTGATAATTCATCCAAGTGGTGGTCTGATATCACACAACGGCAGCCTACTGTAGCCCTTGAATTTTTTTGCATGCAAGTTTTTCTTATGTAATAAACAGACGGTTACACTTATCTGCCCGTCAACTCTGTACATTATTAAGTCAAACTTGCATTTCGACTTCTTTTTTTTGGAAACGGCTAAACAATTCGATGTCATAAGAATGTAAAAATTACATAATACCCAAGCTTCCAGAGTACTACATATTTAGCATGAAATATTAATAGGTTACGTACAAGTCAAATGAAAAGACTTTGGGACTTTTTGAGGAAGGGAAACTCCGATATGCATGAATCAGAGACTTAAATGAATGGATTTCTCAAAAAATTAACTGTGTTATCTTTATCTCTCTTGCAGTGTGCTCAAAGGGGATCGGAGGAGGGAGGTTGAGGTGTGAGTGGTCTGGTGGTCAGTAGTGGGGACGCTGTAGGGCGGGGTTTGAGGAAATGGCCGAGTCGGTTCCAGCCTTCACTCAAAAACCCCAACTGCGCCAAGAGGATGATGGGAACCGACTCATCTTCGAGTGTCAACTCGTGGGGGCACCCCAACCGGACATCACCTGGTTCCGTGGGGAAACCGAGTTGAGCGCAGATAAGCGCACTGTGTTCAAGACCTCGAAGATCGCGACCAACAAGTTCCTTGTTGTCTTAGAGCTGGACAATGTGGTCGAATCGGATGCGGGACTTTATCGCGTCAAAGCCAAGAATAAGCTTGGCGAAGTTTTTGCATCAATTAACCTTAATTTTAGCCGTAAGTGATTTTTTTATTATTATTCATTTTTATCCTGTTTCTCCAATCAATTTGACTCGTAATTAGGGATTCGGGACTTCACTTCCGAATAGGGAGGGGTTGTACTTAGAAATAAAATTACTAGTTTGCTATGAAACTGAAAAATATAAGTACGTATAAGTTCTTCAAGGGAGAAAATATTTGAGACATTCTACATGACTTTAGTCTTTTTCTGGACATAGATCAGAACATTATTCAGAACTTTTTGTCATATTCGTAAATACATTATTTCAAAATATCATTGTCCTGTATAACTATTGCAACTTGCAATTTGCAAGTGACTTAGTCAGCTAGGTATACATATCATTATCTCATCCATAGAACTAGAAGGTTTCGTCTTACCAATGTTTTACTTTTATTTTCAGCCGTTGACGAGCCCAAAGAAAAGTAAGTTTTATGCAAAAGTGTTACACGGTATATTTATTGCGATATTGACGCATCAAAATGCCGCATCAACTACCATTTTCAAGCTTATATACGTAATACTAAGAAAGCAATTGCATGTGCAACCATATACATACATATAACCGAGACTAGGCGCAATGTGGTTTGGTTGGGTTGTTTATTGTTTTTATTATAATGTTGCCAAAGCATTTCTCTATGCAAGGATGGCATCAATGGCATGTGGGGAGCAGATTGTGTTTCTCAATGAAATTTTGCACACAGATACCGAATTGTTTCTGCAGGGTGTGCATATGGATACATTGCTCGGCACTCTCGTCGAATATGTAAACTATTTAGCTCCGCTAATATTTCAAATTCAGTCGTCAGCATGGAGGAATATGAAGAATCTGTGAATCTGCTATTTTTTATATTTTCAATACCTACACTACTGCTTTTAATATAACATATTGAAAAAATTCTACAAGTAAATCTGTATATTTCCCTAACATATTTTTAGCAAGATTTTTCCCCGCTACGTACAAATATACACGGCATGCAGTGGAATCACTGCTTGGGGTTTTTTTAGCATCAAATTCCACCCAGCGCTGACCCTCAAAAATCCTGATAAGATGATCTGTTGAGATTTAACTGTGCGAATAGTACCATCTCCTTTTTGATGTAATCTTTCCAATGGTTATAACGATTTTGATTATTTTTTATGATTTTGAGGGTTTGACAGGCATCTGTGAATTTGGCAACCAGCGTGTTGCTGTGTGTGCTTCTGAAGACGTTTCTCCGAAAGGAACGGATGATTTAATGAGAATGAAGACGAAGCTATGAAGAAGAAGTTGGCATGAGGAAAAATGAAATTGCAATGCAGAAGTAGAGCATTGGAAAAGTTCATAATCTTTAAACTCCTCTTTGAACATGCAGACTACGGGAGGAAAGCTGTCCCATATTATCATGTTGCGGGTCGGCATGTGGGAATGAATTCATCATTTATTTCGTGTCATGTGCCAAAAGTGTCAACAGTCATTTTTATAAACAATCAAAAACTCTAAACAAGTTTATGCTCGTATGAAGTAGCCACGTACATAGGCAGCGTCAGTCAAGTCATAATATTCCTTTTTACACAAGTACTCCTCCACAATTAAGAAGAGTACTGCTATAAAATCTCGCAAATGAGATTTTTGCGTAAAAAAAGATATACACGGGGTAATCTATCTCACCAAACAGACAACCACAGATGAGATTCGGTTCAACTTTCTCCTGTCGTTCTCAATATGACATGTGTCCCAAGTCCCATTAATAATAATTTAAGTTTCATCTTAAAGTTTTTGATACCAGATTCATCCCCATCAATGGAATCATGTGTACATATATTACAGGAAATTTGATTATATATATGTATATCTTTACTTAATACACTTAATAATTCACTTAATAATACAATTTACAGGTTTTTTTGTTAACACATTGTGCATGTTAATTCTTTAATTCACTTCCCTATACGCGCATGTGCGTGATGCCACACACCAGATCTGGTAAGATTATCGATAATCTTAAACTTATGCAAAAGTTCTTCCTCCGTTAGTTGGACACACATGTGTACACCATGCAAAAAAATTCTTACTTCACATATGAATGAAAAAAGGATAAGTTTGTAATAAAAAATGGTTTGTAAAATCGGAATCAAGCATATTTAGTTGGAAGTAAAATGGAGTGAAAAGTGGGTGGAGCATTGAACCTCCTCCACTACCGACCGATATACATTCGTAATTTAGTTGAAGTTGACGATGCGGAATGTGGCGGAGGAATGGGATTGTGAATTTGGGTGGGTGGTTGTGATTAGTTAGCGTTGAACTTCCAAATGTACGTATAGTCGTGAGATAACAACATCGCCAATGTCACTTCCGCTGCTGCTCCCACAAACCTGTGCCAATATTGTAATCCCTGCTTGGAAAGAAATATTCGAAATCCTTTGGTCTGACTCATGCAATAACATCACGTGCTTTGCGTGGTATGTCACTGAGAAACATCCTACGAAGCACCGGAAGCACGATTATTATTCACACATGGTGCTTTCTCCATATATTTTTATTATGTATGCAATATGTAGTTAATAACAGTAATATTCTGTATATTATAACTTTAATGGCATGCTAATAGATTATTCCCGCATAATTATCGTCATTGCTTTCACTTTCACTTTCACTTAAGAGAGATGCGATTAAATTAGAAAGAAACCACCCTTTATTAAAAAGTTTGTATGCTTTGTTTGATCTGCTTCATTGCGTAATACAATCGATTAATTTTGATAACTTCAATATATTTTCAGGCAAATTGACGGGGTGGCTCCTAGTTTTGCTCAGAAACCAGTGATTCGTCAAGAAGACGATGGTCGTAGATTACTTTTTGAATGTAAAATAAAGGCAGACCCCAAACCATCAGTTGTGTGGTTTCATGATGGAACACTTGTGGAAAAAAGCAGTAGGCATCGGGTAATTGTTTTATTATTATTATTAATCAGATCTACTCATTAGTATTTATTCCGTAAATAATAAGTTGTATAATAGTACCCACTTTGAAATATTGCATTTTTATATTTTAGTTAATACTAGAAAAAGATGGAGACAAATACGTGGCAGCATTGGAAATCAAAAATGTGGCAGTGGAGGACGCTGGGAAGTACAAAGTCACAGCAAAAAACGAACTGGGCGAAAGTAATGCCACCATCAGTTTAAACTTTGACAGTAAGTGCAACAAATTCACTCTGTTATTAGATATTTATTTTACTTTCTTACATATTTATTATACTCGCAAAGTGTTAGTATAAGCATTACTCACCTTTTTTGAGGAATAGAAAAGTAAGCTAACAATGTCCAAATAATAATTTTTTTACAATTACACTTACATTTTGATTATCGGACTATTTCCCGCCGTTATGTTATTGCAACATCATATTTATAGAAAAATACAATACAACACCAATTTTGCATCATTGCATTCTTGATTTGCGTACCGGTCCAGTAAGCCGACCGTCATTATGCACATGAAAACAAAAGCAGTTTATTATATGTCTGTCCTTGTCCTGCTCAACCATAATCATGTCATGCACACATAGCGGTGTACATTTTTATAATTCGTAATAATACATTCTGTAGCTACAGTACTGTAGATGGATTTTAAGTTTTAGTAGCCGTTTTGTTTACTTGCTAAACAGTAAAACCACACTTTCAACTAATTCAAGCACTAATTGGGAACGGAGAAAATTAAATTGTAGCGCTTTTGTAGTAAATAGTGTAATTTTATTTCTCACAACTAAGGATTTGTGCACATTTTCAACTTTCGACAACTTTGAGTTTTAATTAATTCTTACTCTGGAGAGGAAGAAAATCGACTTTGATTCAACACAAATCGAACCATTGATATGTATAATTGGTTCAATAAATTTTGCGTTTTTTTGCATAAAGTTATTGGTAAATGGTCAAGCTAAATTAGATATTTAACTGTTTTGAGAAATGATGCTATTACTAACCCTTCGGATCGTAGGTTCCTTCCTCAATTTAGGGGACTCGGAAGGGAGCAAACCTGTCAAGCCCAGTTTCACCGAGCGTCCCGTCATTCGTCAAGAAGACTCCGGTTCAGTATTCTTCGAAGTTCGTCTTGCCTGCGAACCGGAGGCTGTGATAACATGGTGAGAATTTCTGCCATCAAGATTGTGATTCATATATTCTATAAGAAAACCTTTGCAAAAACAAATATTTACGATTCGCTGTACAGGTATCACAAAGGCAAAAAAGTGTCCGGAAGTCGATTCAAGTCTACAATTATTCGCGAGTCGAGCACCAGCGTTTATTACTTGTCTCGACTGGAGATTGTTAATTGTGAATCTGTTGACGAAGGAGAATATAAAGCTGTCGCCAAAAATGCTCATGGAGAAGCCAATGCCATTGTCAATCTAAATTTTGAAGGAGGGGGCAAGTTCAAGTACGTTTCACTAATTGTTTCATCATTAGTCGTCTTCCTATCAGTTCAATTACAAATATTGCAAGATACCTACCCAAGTATTTTAACGTAATGTATCATGTGCAGGATTCCTGAGGGGAAGGCCCCTCGTTTTCCAAAGAAGCCCACAATCCAACAAAAGGGAGATTTGCTTGTGATGGAGTGCATATTAGAGGCTCAACCTCTGCCGGAGATAAAATGGTTCCAAGGCACGAAAGAGGTCAACCTCACGGAAAGAATAAAAATGACCAAGAAAGATTTAGGGAAAGATTCGTACCTTCTTAATCTCGAAATATCAAGCCCAACTATTGCGGATGGAGGAAACTGGCGCTGTAACGCTGTAAATGCCTTTGGTGAAAGCAACGCAAATATCTCTCTCAATTTCCAAGGTATCCGCCCTCCCTCACACCACACAAAAAAAACGCCACACCCTCACCCACCGCCAACAGGCTCTCCTCCCAACACCATGTCCTTCGTCCATTTAGTTAGACAATCACTAATTATACTAAAGTTGTTACATCACATTAATTAATATTAACATGTTGTATACACTGTTGTATAGTTAAACTCGTCCGTCCAAGCGTGTGATTGATCAAAAATGTCATTGTCACAAACTTGTTAATAAAAAAACTCAACCGTTAACCATATAATACGATGACCTCCGATTAACTAATGGTCTTGCTTGCGTTGTTACATATAACTTTCCTGTTTAATGAATGTTATTTCCCAGTGTTCTAAACTATGTACAGGACGAGACATACATATGTATATTGTGAGAAGGAGTGAGTTTAAGATATATGAGAGATAAGGGCATGCAATCCTTGGCTTAAATAATTAATCAATCAACGCTAAATCCACGTGATCTATTAAGGAATGAACAACCATGAATTATTTCAAAATTATTTATTATATGCCGAGTCCATGAATTTTGTATTATTGATTGCAAGCGCATCGCTGGCTCATGCTGTGTGCATCTCAAATTTGTGGAATTGTCAGTATTGATTGATTATCAATTAAAAATTGATAATCCAACAAAAAATAAGACACTTACGGCGGGAAAGAGTTCAATCGCGCTTGTATAGTTTAATTAACCCGTGTCAGATTGATTAAATATATATGTGTGTTTTATTCTGGAAATGTAATCACCTAACGTTTTACTTGACCCGATTATGGTACAAAATATGAGTTCTTGTTTTCATAAAGGTGGCGATGAAGGAGGAATCGCACCAACATTTATTGAGAAACCTAAAATCACCCCCAACTCGACCGGTACGATAATCACGATGAGATGCCGGTGTAAGGCGAATCCTACGCCCACCGTGAGTTGGTTTAGAGGCACAACGATAGTTAAAGAGTCCTCCAAAATCAGTATGAGAACCGTGGAGGTAGAAGCGGACGTCTATGATCTCATTTTGGAGATTAAGGTATTTGCATAAATTGAATTTTACGCAAATAATAGTGCCTTATGCAAATGGAGTCATTGTTTGTGTGTGAGCGTAGGAACCAGGCGGTCAGGATGGTGGAACTTATCGGTGCCATGTACAAAATGTTCACGGTGAATCTAATGCCAATCTAAACCTAAATATCGAAGCCGAACCTGAACCCGAAGGGCTGGCACCCACATTCGACGGGAAACCGAAAATAGTGTCAGAGAAAGGTGGAAAGCTCATTGTTATGGAATGCCGGGTGAAAGCGGACCCCAGACCAACATTCATTTGGACGTGTGAAGGTCAAGAAGTTAAATCATCTTCCAAATTTTCCATTTCAATTAAGGAAGAAAGTGGAATTTACATAATACGACTAGAAATCAGCGTAAGTTGTTTGTCAGATACATACGTTGATGATTCTGAGAAAAAGTCTCTGATGAATATTAATGATTTAATTGTCTCAGGATCCACAACCCGAGGACAGTGGGTTGTATAAATGTAATATTCAGAACGAATTTGGAGAAATTAATGCCAATTTGACGTTAAACATTGAAAGTGAGTAACCTTGAAATGACGCACTATGAAATGACATATAATCCAACTGATCCGATCCTCTGAATTTTCATAGTTGCACCCGTGATAAAACTGCAACCCCGAGTTGTACGGGTAGAGAAGACGAAGGTGGTCATAATTGAGACCCATGTCCGATGCGCTGCTCCCCCAGAAGTGCAGTGGTTCAAAGACCAAACAAAGATGAAGGAGGACAGCAGAAAGTCTGTAAATATTCAGCAAGTCTCAAAGGTACGTAAGATTATCTTGAATTATACCACAAAGAGTGGAAAACTTTCCTGATAACACAATAAAATTGCATTTTAGGGCGAATACAAAATCCAACTCGAAATTTCCCAAGCTACCAAAGAAGACAAAGGAGTTTACAAATACGTGGCTAAAAACGAAAAGGGTGAAACGACCTCTCAGACGGTGGAAGTTTCAGAAATCCCTGAAGAAGAGAAACCCAAAGATAAAAAGGCAAAGGGAGAGGCTCCAAAGTTCTCTCAAGGACTCAAATCTAGCGTAAGTAGTTGTCTTGCATGCAAATAATTTTTACTGTGAAAAGATCCCCACACAAAAATATAATTCGAAATACAACTTTACTTAAATTATTACAGACCGTGGAAGAAGGCAAGAGTGCCGAGTTTTACTGTGAACTTTCCAGTGTTGACAAGAAGGCCACAGTGACCTGGACAAAGTATGCACACATTAATTTCATTTAGAAACTTAGTAACTTGGTTCTTTTCTTTACCAATTTTATCCTTCTTGCTAGAAATACGACAATCATCAAAGAAACCAAGGACGTGAAAATCACGTTTGATGGCAAAATCGCCAAACTAGTCATCACATCCTGCACCAAGGAATTGACTGGGACCTATAAAATTGTGGTTAAAAACGAATTTGGGTCCAACGAATCTGAAGCTACGTTGACTGTTCAAGGTTCGAAAGAATAACTTGTGCTCACCTATTCACTTGTCATATATTGTCGAATTTAGTCATGAAAATAATTTGCCTGGCTCTAAATCTAATCTAATTTTGGTTTAAATTTAATTATAGAGAAAAAGAAAGTGGAGGAGAAGAAGGAGGAGAAAAAAGAAGAAAAGAAAGTCGAGGAGAAAAAGGTCGAAGAAAAGAAAGTCGAGGAGAAAAAAGTCGAAGAAAAAAAGGTAGCAGAGAAAAAGGTGGAAGAAAAGAAGGTCGAAGAGAAAAAGGTGGAGGAAAAGAAAGTCGAGGAGAAAAAAGTCGAAGAAAAAAAGGTAGCAGAGAAAAAGGTGGAAGAAAAGAAGGTCGAAGAGAAAAAGGTGGCGGAAAAGAAAGTGGAGGAGAAAAAGGTTGAAGAAAAGAAGGTCGAAGAGAAAAAAGTAGAAGAGAAAAAGGTCGCAGAGAAGAAAGTCGAGGAGAAAAAGGTTGCCGAGAAAAAGGTGGAGGAAAAAAAGGTAAGGAATGACTACTTTATTTTAATTATTTTCGATAGCATATTCTAATTAAGCTCGTCATTATATTATCTATACAACTTTGCACCATTCTAATTACGTCAATTATTTCTGCCGTTGAAAGTATGGACTTTATCGTATTTGGCTTTTGCTGGTGTAGCGTGAGATTTCACAGTTTGGTTTGCGTGTGTGAAATTTTAGCCCAAAGACGAAGAGCCCCAAGTCGAACCCAAGAAGAAACCAGAAGAGCCTCCGTCGCAGGTTTGTTTATTTTCTCATCTCGTTTTGCCTCCAACCGTCATTCCAGTCTGTTATGTTACTGGTTGACACACGTTAGTATTATTGTTATTATTATTGTTTCCTTTTGAAACTGCCTTTGATTTTGTAATGATTTTTTAAAATAACAACTAGTCTAGTTTATAAACCTAAGTACACAAAGCTCGTAACATTCTTGTAGAAGAAAGATGAACTAAAACCAAAGGAAAAGACTCCAGCTCCAAAACCCAAGGAAGAAGAAGAGCCTAAAAAGACCGTCTCTAAACCCAAGGAAGAAGAAGAGCCCAAAAAGACAATTTCAAACCCCAAGGAAGAAGAAGAGGCTAAAAAGACAGTTTCAAAACCCAAGGAAGAAGAGGAAGTTAAGAAAACGGCCGCAAAACCGAAAGAGGTTGACGAGCCTAAAAAGATAGCCCAGCAGAAACCAAAGCAGGAGGAAGAGGAGCCCAAAAAGAAAGAGGTTGAGGCCAAAAAGCCTGAACCTGCAAAGGTAACATTTTGTGTTGTGCGAAACGGTCATTTTTTGTGACTTCAACTCTTAGATGATGATGAGTAGTATGTAACTAAAAAACGGTTTCCCTTGTTTGCATTTTGTTTCACTAAATCCACCTCTCTCTCAGAAGAAAGAGGAAGGTGCAAAAGCCAAAGTAGTGGAAGAGCCCAAGAAGCCAGAACCCAAGGTAAACATTTTGTTGCTGTTATTGCCGTCGTTCCGAGTGAGAGATATACTAAACAGGTGTATACGTATTATCTGATGCACATCACGCCTTACATGACAGATCATAAATATATTTCAAAACATTTGAGTAGGATTTAGAAAAACAGGAGCAATCCAGATTTACAAGAGTAGTCGTGCGGTTTGATTTTATTATCAATCACAATGATTGCATAGAGCGTGCAAAAATTATAAAGATGAAAGGATGATGATGGGGTGATCAGATATATATTATTACGGATGTCTTGATTCTCGCTTGATTAGGTTGGAGAATTGGGTGATTTTGAGTAAACTCAGCAAAGAGAGAGAGAGAGAGAGAGATAGAGAGAGCAATTGAGTGAGTTAGTAAAGTGGCTGCTGAAATATTTTTAGATCTCGAACATTCCTGTTGCACTGCATTTCCTTACCGCATACACACCTCCTCCTCCGTTCGGGAGTCTCGAAATAAAAATAGAGGAACCCACCATCCCATCTTCTCTACCATAAACTCTTTAACGATAAGATATTCGTCGAGCAGGGAGGATAACGCATCAAATGCCGGAGAAAGAGAACGTGCATGTGTATGTATGTATGAGCTGGCTACAAAATACATTAAAAAGTAAACTTACTTACAACCAACCGATTAGCAAAAAAGTAGTGGCAGCAGTATGTAGCAGCAGCAGTAATAGTACATGTTATAATATTATCATGTGCTTGTCTTAGTATCCACTCCACTATTTGTAAAAGAAAGACACAGAGTCTTCTTTTCAAAAGTTAGTCAAAGATCAAAAGATGCAAACGAGAAAATTTAAAGCACCACACATTTTAAATCATGATAGTTTAGTGTACAATTCAGAAAAGTATGCATTTTAGCAAGTCGACTCGCAAATCTTATCTTTCTACTCTTTCTTCCGAGAAACTCAAGACAAAACATCTGAGCAGGACTCCTATTGTCACGTCATGTCAATATTCATGTACCAGTTTTAAACGGTTTTTAAGTGATGGAGGTCTTCGTCATTCCATTTTTTGACAAAGTGATTACATAATGCATAATAGACCAAAGGTGTGTGGGAGTAGATACCAGTTTAGTCTGGGTAATGGTTTAATTGCATCATCGTACTTGCATTTCAATTAATATTAACAGGAAATCAATAATCAATGCAGTGTAACTTAATCGTATGCATATAAATGCATGCATTGTAAATTGCTGGTAAGAAATAATTAGTCGCTACCACCTGAAACAATATTGCGCAATGTCGAAAATATGTATGTATGCATCATCAGGATGGTGCAATGCAAAGTGTCAACTGAGAGTAATGATTTTAGAGTAGATGTATAGTGGTAGTAAAGAGTTTAGTCAACAGTGTGGTGGTGGTGGTGGTGGGAATGAAACAAAATTAGCAAGTTGCGAGCAAATTTGGGCTAAAAATAGAGCTTTAAGTTGTAAGAGATTTGCTTAAGAAGGCCCTTATGAGCTATTTTAGAGACAATCTACATACAATTCCACTACCACAGAGAGTAGTACAACGACGAGTACAATGTATGAGTTCATTTCATCCAAGTGATGTGAACCTGTCTTAACGGCTAAACTCATCGTCAGGTTTAGAAACTTGAAGTGGATTCAGGTTTGACATCTTACTGATCTTTATACACTACTTCAGCATTTCCAGTGGAGAGCGATGATGATATGATGATGGTCCATTTGCTTGACGGAACTTGGCCATGCCCTCTTGACAAATGCTAACACAAATAATTCAGTGTAGTATGACATATGCAATCCATTTCTCTCTCTCTCTCACTCTCTCTCGTCATGATTTCATAAAAGAATTTCTTGTACATATATGTGAAACTAAATGGATTTTATTTCTTTGTGTCTCCGTCTTCGGATGATAAACAATATGGCAAATTACTGAATATTTGCACTCACTTGATGCCATGCATACTAGGAAGATAATCTTAAATATATGAATTTACCTTTTGTCTCTCGTTTGCCTTGTCTTGAGTTGATACTCATTCGCCTACAATTTATGATTTTAAGCCAAAAGAGCCCGAGCCCGAAAAAGTGGAAGAGAAAGAACCAGCCGCCAAGAGAAAGGCCAGTAAACCTGAAATCAAAGAACCTGAAGTGCCCAAAGCTAAAGCAACTAAAGAAAAGGCTGATGCTAAACAGGCTAGCGAGGTAAATTGAGACTGGATAATGAGACCACCATACATGCATACTTACATACGTACACAGTACCGATACACGTATGCATGTATTGGACTTGTCATATTTTGCTTGTCGTTTGTGCATTTACGCATGTCCATCTGTCCTGTTATCAGATCCAGTTTAAAACCCCTGAGCAGCTAGCAGAGGAGGCCAAGGCACAAAAAGAAGAAAAACCCAAGGAGAAAGTAGATTTGAGCATAAAGGTAAGGTTTTAAGACTAATCCATCGCTACGAGTTTTGTGGGACTTGAACTATGCAGCAATGATGTGTGTGTGGATGCACGCATTTTATACCCTGACCTTTCATGATACATAAATCAACAAATTTTTATTAAGATGAGACCATTGGATAAGGTTTGCGTCGATTTTTTGTTTGATGAAATGAAATTTTTAAGAACTGCATTGTGCAATCCCTCGTTACTGCTTGTCCCATGTCCCTCGATTTTGCGTTAATGTGAATTGATAGTTGCCAGAGTTGAGAGAGGCGACCGAGTCTGAGGATTCTCCTGAAATTGATGAGGACGACAGTGACGACAGTGTGATTGATCGACGGCGACGTGTTCCAGAGGTCAAAGTGGATCGACATTCACCCGTACACACACTTTACATTTTTTTAAAAAATATAAGTCAATCAATTGACAATCAATTTTTGATCTTCTTCTTTTTGTCGAATTTTTATATACTTTTATTTTCATTTTATTTTATTTTAAAATAATAATTTTTGCGAAAAATTGAGTTTTTAATAATTTTTAATTTTTAATAATCTGATACACTTATCTAGATTCAGGGTAACATCCAAGTTTAATGCAATTTTAACGTTTTAGCTGTTTTATTAAACTGGACTTTTTATATTTTTTGAAAATCAACATTTCACGACGTACATAAAAAGAAGTTTTAAATTATAAAAATTGTAATCATTGACATAAATTTTTACCTGCAATAATATAACAAATTTATACATACTTATATACATACTTACAATGGAACCTCTTTTCAAGCTATACCGGGATCGAGTAGCGAGTTATGCCAAAAAATCAAACTAAAAATCAGAAGTCACGTGACACTTCTCTTTCCGTTGAATGGCCCCTTTGAAGAAAAATATTGGCGGTTAAGTTCGATTTTTGAGCAAATTTTCTCTTGCTTTTTCCTCCACGGGGCAAAAACCAAGGCGCTCGTGTGAACTTTGACCTCTAATATTTTTCTTCAAAAGGGCCATTCAACGGAAAGATAAGCGTCATGTAACTCCTAATTTTTAGCTTGATTTTTTGACATAACTCGCTAATCGATCCCGGTGTAGCTTGAAAAAAGGTTCCATTGTTAGTAGCTGTCATAACTCTGTAACATGTTAATCAAAGGGTGCTGACAGGTCAACTAACTACTCCTCTAATTCGAATCCTTGTTGGAAGTAATGGTATTTCTTCAAGCAACATGCCGTGCATGCTACATTTTATTGAGTGACGTACATCTTGTGTTATTTTATTTACATTTTTATTCACTAAACTGCGATATTGATGAGCTCTGTTTCGGGCCAATCGTCTAACCAATTCAAGTCAAATTCAATTTAAATTCTGTGATTCTTCGACGAAGAATGTTCGTTGAAAAAATCCTAGTTATTTGACTTGTTCCTCATTTCGTATTACTTCTCATTTCAGAAACCAGAGGACAAAAAGACTGAGGAGAAGGTAACAATCTCATATATCTTGTTCCCTCATTTGTTAGTTTGTTTGTGTATGTATTCGTTCTTGTATGAACTTATATAGCCAGTCAATAATTGCATTCAGGAAACAAGCTGAACTTTTTTCAGCTTCTTTCAAATCATAGCATTGAAATAAATATGCATTATCGTCACGAGAGAGGGGAAATTAGTGGGTACACACAGACGTTGTAGCAGCATTTGTGTATTCTACGGATGGTTGGGAATTTGGGTCGGTTCTCCTTTCATCCACTTGTCTTTTCTCCTCTCTCTCTTACTTTTTATTCTCTTTTCTCGAGATTCATACTGCTGAGGAGACTAATAAATACTTGCGTATGTATAATAAACAGGAACTTGCTTAGGTGCATTCAAGTAACTTTACAGTATAAAGATGTCGTTACGACGATGGGTGTGTATCGTTAGCGTTAGTGTCTCGCAGAATGAGATTAAATACTTTTAATGCATTAATTTAACCAGTTTTATTTATTGGAGGAGACTGGCAAAGAGGTTATCGCTTGAGTAAGCACACCAGAAATAGATTGCTTGGTCGTATTTATTACTTGGATTTGACAATATAAATTGTTTAGGTCACTTTCACAAAGACATCATTGTCAAATACCACAATTAGTTGAATTGCTTCATGACATTTCTTTATTTTGCGTGCTTTTTTTATTGTTAGTCAGTGTTATGTAAATGTTTGTTGCTAAATGTAGTAAGAAATTGTACAAAATTGTAATAATCATTGTCCGGTTGATGGTGTGGTAGAATAAGCATTTCGTAGAATTTTATATTTAACAGTACACATCTTTTTATTATCAGACTTGTTGTTATTTCGTAATTATAATGATAGTTAGTCAGATTATCACTACATGTTTTCATTGATTAGAAAATTTACCTGCTGAATGTTTACGTGTGTAAACAAAAAAGAAAAACAACACGTTTAATACATAGTATTTCTACGACTGTTTGCTAAAATATATTGAGAAAAACCAGAAAGTTTTTTGCAGACACAGCACTGACAGGCAATCTTTGTCCTAAAGTTTTATGTGAACGCAGCTGTAGAGAGTGTTTCAAAATAATTACCTAATTATCGTCTGCGATGGAAAAGATATGGTTTCATTCGCATTAGACTTAATTAGTGGTAAGTAACGGAATCATTTTTCATGGTGCATTTCCAGGTTCAAATTAAATTAAAACAGGTTCATAAAATCATATGTGGAGCAAGGAGATCAAAAATAGCAGCGACCTTGGTGGTTACATTTTATTTTTCTGAAACTCGTGATGAGTGGAGTACATATGCATATGGAATGAGATTCATTCACCAAAAAGTGCAACATGCCGAATGAAGAATACGTACCCGATCCGATTCGCGTGTGGGAGAGTTTGTCTTGTTTCCTTGAAAAATATTTGGAAAATACCACATGAATACTACCACAGCCGAGTGCTTGGAGCTTACTGCAACGCTAACGATGTGAAACTCATAAAATAAGTATTCTCGCGTTGCTCAATCAATTTACATGGACGCATTACTGGCAGTTTAGCAGATTTGTGTGAAACCATTTATTGCAGATAATAAAACATTATTCGAGTCTATGTATTTTTTAAGGAAAGTGTTTGAACGAGTGAGCTAAACATGGGTCAAACCCGACAAGAATAGGCATTAATGCTCCACTGATAGGCGTTAGTTTAACTGGTGAATTTCCGTTCTTGTTGTCATTGATTGACAATTGGAAGCACGATTTCTTTTATCTTAGGGTTAAATAGTAGGAGTAATATTTATTTGAATAGTGCTACAGATTTGACAGATTTGATTGAATAGAATGTTCACACGAAAATAAGACAAGACTTGTTTTGGATCTTGTTGTTGTGCTGATCTCACTTCCGATCTCATGATCCGTTTGAGCGTTGTAGTGTGAATGTGTGAATCGGAAGGGATGATAGCAGTATTTCCCCGGTGAAGAAGAAGTTGGTGGAAAACAGGGCCGGTTAGTTGGTTAATTGTACTAGTGTTTTTTAAAAGAGTGGCTAGTGCCAAGTAAGTTCAGTAGGCTGTTTGTATGTACAATATATCTTGTGTCCTCCTCAGTCAAGAGACTCGTCTGGAACTCATTGCTTACCGTCTTCTTCTTCTCTAACCCAATGTGCTCAGCGATTTGAATGGTTTCATCTTAGCTAAGATAATCAACATTTTTTATTTTAAAATCTCAACTAACTCCGTGCCAGGAAGTTCCTTAATAGTTCTCTCTCTTGGAAGAAGAACAGACCCCCGAAAATCTTTCTCTAGATATATGTATGTATATGCCCTCTGTCTCTCCGGCTTTGGTCGGTCGTATTAATGGTTGGATATTTTCTTAACAAAAACTGACGTTGAGCAAGTAAACCGAAACGTACCACAATATTTCTAGTGTACCGTATCTTTGCGATATGTGGCTTATCTGGCACAGATGGAAATCTAATGCTCAATGTTAACTGTAAATGTTAAGCGATCGAGCTTCTCAGTTCTGCTCGGTTGGGATTGGAAGCAGTGCTTTCGTGGGACGTCTGCGTCTTTTGTTGTCTTTAGAATTAGGGAGAATAAGATACCTTCTTCTGGTGTTAGTCCTAATTGTCCGATTGTTGGGAGGCCATCTTTATCAGGAAAAGTTGCGTCTGCAGTGCTGTGGTTTGGGTGTGGTGAGGAAAACGTGCGGTAATCAAAGGCTTGTGGGTAGCAAAGTTCGCTGTTGTAGGCCCTGGTCAAAGACTAAAGGGAGGAGGAGGAGGGAAAAGTGGTGTTCTATGGTTGGTGGCGTGTCCGTCAGGGAATGTGCCCGCTTTTGCGGGACCCTTAACCCATTTTCACATCACAACAAAGTTACGCTATGGGCTGTGCTACCCCAGGAAAATGGTTCGATAGTAATGTAGTAAAGTAAAATGTGAAAGTGGTTTGACGCACATGCCACATCTTAAAAAGCATTGCTCAACTAGTGATTATTTAGTTTAGAAAAGTAATTCAGAAAATTAAGTGTCTTCGAAAAAAGGAATGAATGTGGTGTTCATTCTTGTTCATCGTTCTTCCGTTTTGTTTACACCTGGTCGTGTGGAAACTTCCTTGTTCATAAAAAATCAATATTAAAGATGCCTCTGGTATGTACCAACACGATCCAATTACATGTACCAAATCCGCGTCATTATTAAATCATGCTCCTATTTAGTTCAGTCTTTGTACATATATGAAAATCCCAAATTTGAATTATTTTCTTCTTTTGTTTCTATTTTTTACTTGTGAAAGTGAAGGTGAAAGAACTAATTGCTGTGGATAATTGATATACAAATAAATATAAAGTCAACTTCGATTTTCAACCACAATTTTCTTGTAGAAATTACCTGGAAAGTTTGATGCGGGGAAAAAAGAACCGCCTAAAATTTCCACTCCCGGAAATAAGGTATTTTAATTTGGTGATTGATATTCCTACAGAGTTTTCTTGCGTTTTTACTACCCTTTTTGTTTGCTTAAAATTATAGCCTTTAAATTACCTTTGTCCCTCTCATTTTATCTCTCCGAATTCATTAATTACAGGGGTCTATTATTTCATAAAACTCTCCAACTAATTGAACTGGCATACAAAATTAGTTTTCAGTTTACGTCCAACATGTACAGTTGTTCTAAAGTGAAAGCGTAATACATAACCAAACCTTATCTGATTGAAAGCCGAGGAGGTTTGACGAAATAAAAAATTCGAATGTCACGACCACATATAAAAATGGAACCATCAAATAAAGCAGAGAAGGAAATGCCACAAAGGAACAGTGGTTTTGATATTCCCCAATTATTCTCAACTATAAATCGAGATCACGATGCAATAAGGCTTGCAACGAAACCTCCACCTCCAAAAAGTGCTGGGCATAAGGTAATTTGGTGTAAGTGGAATGGCTACTGCGTATGCTTTCTAGTAAATGCACGCAAATCCTAAGTGTATTTATGTCAGGCTGGATAATTTCAATTGTTGGGATGACTGAGAAAAAATAATAACAATAATTTCTTTACTCGTGTCAGCGTACTCAAGTGTTTGAGCTAATTGCAAATTACTCCAAGTAAATAAGTAGGTAATTGTGTTAACTCACTTATTCGTTGATGGCCAAAGTATTGTGCTAATATTTACAGGGCAGTACGGATCAGTGACTTTGGTATTCCGTACTGAACGCTGTTTCATGCAAAAGTTTCATGCGAACAAGACAGCAGGCTGGCAACTAGCCAGCAATTATGGCACATCTACGTACATACATCATTATATATCTCAGATTTATAATTTAATTAATTGGGTTGTTAATTTTATATCGTATGTGATAAACGCATAATATTATTATCACTTAAAGTGACGAGGACGTGGTCAAAGATTTGGTTAAAATTTAGCCCAGTGTTATGTACTAGTAATTTTTCGATATATTTAGCTAAGACTTCCAGTTGTAAGTTCCATTTAGGAGACAACCAACACAATACTAATTTATATGTCGATTGATAACTTGAGCTTACAAATTTAAATGACTTAGATTAAGCATATATCTAGCTTGTTGTGGTTCTATGTATGTTTTATGTACGTTCTCCGATTTTTAGACTAGTAGACCCCTTCGCTATCTATGTAGGTGTGCTTAAAAACGCTTCCCATTTCATTTTCCGACCTTCGACTGTCCAAATTATTAATCAGCATGCTTTGTTTATATTGGCCTCTTATCTAACAACATTGTTCTTCAGTGCAACTCAACTTTTAATGACATCGATTGACGATGTTCGAAGATTAATGAATGTTATGTGTGCCACCTGCGTGTACAATTTCTCCAATAGTCATCCTCAGCCATCGTCCAACTTATTATGCATATATTTAAATACGACAACAGCAATGTATGAATGGCTATTAAATAATGGCATCTTTCAATTTTTGTATAATGTAGGACAGGGCAGAATGTTAAGAGCAAGGACAATCTGAATAAGTATGCATGTTCCTTGTCAATGTGGCTTTTTACAGATTGGCTTCATCTTACATACCACATTTTTAAATACTTTAAAATCTCCAATGTTGAAAAACGGTTGACAAATTTGTGAGATTTCTACAAATACAAGTTACCAAAAAGCTGAAGGCATGTTGTGACTTTGAATCATAAAGTAAAAATAGAGATGAGGAGTGATGTATTATGGACAATATCGAAACACAGTAGTGGTGCTTAAATTTGGCAAATGACATGGATTTTGAATGGATTTTCTTATTATTACAAACTGCCAATCTCCGATCAGGATCCGATGACTAATATATATGTAAACACATACCAAAATCTTAACTGTTTGTTCCCCACTTTTCTGGCAAAGGTAACTTGTTAAATCAGATTCGAATTGGCACCCGTTGTGCTGATTGAGCTCAAGTGAACAAAAATAAGTTCCCGTCATCTGTAACTGACAGACGACTTGTAACGTTTCAAATTATTCATTCATTCATAGCGTTCACAAAACATACATAGTTCCTATTTTCACCAGCATTGGATTTGATGCGAGTATGAAAATCCTCTCTGTACTGTGGGCTTATTATTGGAATGCGAATGATGGATGCAGTATTTTTGTCTTTTGTCTCTGCCTTGTTAAACCCCCACAATTTCCACCGAAATATCCACTATTTGTGTATTATCCGCCCAATCCCCAAGAAACAAACCATCTCAACAACCAACATTCCCACTAACATTATATCATTTGAAGATGTTTAAAGTTATGCTTGACACACATTTTATAATTATTGTTATTAATATTATTCTTACTCTGATGTAACTCTAGGCGGCACCTGGGGCTCCTAAACTAGTGGAACCCCCAAAGGTAGTAGTTGACAACAAGGATGCCTCCCGAAAAGGCTCCTTGGCCCCAGGCAGTGGACCATCCTCCCGACGTGGATCTCTCATTCCTCCAGAACCAGAAGGGGGCAGAAGGCCGTCTCTTATCATTACAGATGAGGTAACCTTTGTCCCTCATGCCCTCTTTTTACCAATAAATTATTATTCCAAGAAATTTCTCCTCCTCGTAAATGGTACTTATGATGGGCTATCGGTACCATTGTGTGTTGTCGTCGGAAATTCGTCGACACTTTTATATAATCTAATTTTATAAATTCGACAACGTAAGAAGGAAGTTGTGTAAATCATGACATTTCTCTTCCACTTCCCTTCCCATTTACTACTCCTCATTTCCTTACCAGTAGTCCAATTGAACATATTTTTCAGCTTTTCGCCGTTTGTACCACGTACCAACGTGTGAACGGACGAATGTCCTCGTCAACCAGTTTATCCATGAAAATTCACTACCACCAGATTTACACAACCACAACCATACCATAGTAGTCTTCAGACACTTTACTTATACATCCACAAATTCCAACTGATTTTTGATGGAATTTTCGGAAAATTTGAATTTTTGTGTAGAACAAGCCCTGATTAAAATGAATGGTTGTTAGGAGCATAGGAAACTCCGACCAGGGGAAGTTATGGAGGATAGGAAGGTGAGACTTACTACTGACCACTCAGGGTTCAACGCTATAAACATTATAATATTTGTTGGTCTTGACCTTTCACACTTTGATGACTCTGCTATTTTTGCACCGAATGACTATATTTTTTCACAAGTAACACTGTGCTGCGTTTTGTCTCGCATTTTTTACGTTCGTATCGTTGATTTTTTCATTACAATTTTTATGTCGTATCGTTTTACCCCAAAGTGCACACTCATCTCATCATCTCCGACGTGTGTGTCCTAGAACGACTCTCACTCAATCATATATTTATTAGCTAATTGAGGTTTTTACAGAGGTTTTTACAAATAGCTCCACAGAACAGCTCCTTCTTGCAAATAGTTTTGGGGACGTCATGTTACAAACTTTTGTCTGTCATTACGAACTTTTTTGAGCGCAGGGTGGAAAACTTCGACCTGGTGAGGTTGGTTTCGGGGGACAGGTGAGACTTATAAATCAACTGCGTAAATGAATATATTCTGGCATTATTTTTCATACGAGCCAGGGTTGCCTACGTCAGAAATACATAGGTCGCACTTTTTCTCATACATAATTCATGATAAAGGCTGATGAACAATTTTTATTTCTTTGCTGATATTTTTTAAAGGTATGAAGCAAGTAGAATTTTTGAAGTCTATTAAAAGTTATACTTGAATTCTTGCCTATTTTTTTCTTACTTTGGTTACTTTATGTTAATTTTTATATTCACCATATATACAATTCCTGCATGAGTTCACACACCACCTCCATCGGATTTAACTGCACGAAACAAGATTATTATTCCCTTAAGTTATTTTATGATTGCAACCAATAATTTCCCCATTTTTAGAACCTTCTCCTTTTATCCTAACCTTTCTCCAAGGACAAAAAACTCCCAGACGAACAAAAAAAGCTATAAAGAAAGTGAAATAATTGATGACTAAGACCGACAACGGATGGTATTTTTAATGTTAAAAGTATTCTGAGACAATTAGCTATATTTCTATTAAAATAATGTAAAAATTCGCAAAGTCTTAACGTTTAAATTTATCAAAGTATATATTGGATGATTTTGACAGCATGGTAAAAAGTCAGGCGCCCGACCTGGAGAGATTGGTGGAGAAGGGATCAAAAAAGATGTAAGCGGCCCTTGCAGCCCATTCTCTCCTTTAATTGAATTCATTAATGTATTTTCTCTGTCTGATTCGTGTAGTTATTCAGTTGTCCGGTCTAGTAATTTTTTTATTAAAATATTTTTACATTATAAATGTAGAATGTCCTTGTAAAAAAAAAAGTTTTCAACAGAAAATGAATCTGTCTATGGTTTTTTTACGTATAGTTATTCTAGACACTTTAAATGTTTAAGCAAATGCTTGCAAATGTCGATAGTCTCGCCGTCTAGTCCTCTGAGTCCATCCGTCTAAAATTTTTACCCGTTTGTTTGATTTTTATTTTTATTTTCATGGACTTTAAGTTTTTTTTTAGTTTTAAAATTTTGTGTTGACCTTGAATTTCTACCTGGTTTAAACCCAGGTAAATTTGAGTATATACACATGTACTATTTTGTGTTTTCCGTTGCACGGGCCAACATTTAGACATATTTGACATTTTATACCGTACTTGATGGTATTGAACAAATTTTTTCTCGTTGTAGACTTATTGGTTGGTGCCGTGCTGCGGTTTTATTCTTTTAGTTTGTTGATTTGTATTATTGCTTTTATTGTTTTTCTTTGTTAAATAAAAAAAATGGCATGCTTCACAATCATTGAATTGCCAGGCAAAGTGTATACACAAAAATCATAGAGATTGCTATATGTAAATGGTTATTATGGTCCTCGTCGCATACGATTTATGCAGTAGTAATAATACGTAGTAGTCAGTTTGTAGTAAGCGTTGTAGTTCTTGAAATATGCATGAAGGTCAATAATTTTTTGAAAGTCTGCTGTCACAGGCTATAGACATACAGTGACAAGTTTGTCCCATCAGGGAAATCCCCGGCAAGGAGGATGCCGAATAAATACATATTGTCGGGAAAACCCTGTTATGGTGATCATTTATAGTCTCCATTTTGAAGTAGATATATAGTAGTTCCTTATTCCGGAAGGTTACTAGACCCCCCTGTATTTATTTGCCCCATTTTTTAAAGATTTTTTGTTTAGTTTTACTCTTGATTTTAGAAATTTAGTTTGTTTTGGCTTGTAAATGTTCTATCGTCCTCTTTAAAACTCATTAACCAACTCTGAGCTTTTATTCATTACAACATTCAAGTTTCATAAATGCTGCATGCAAGTGATACAGTATTAATACGACATATATATTTTTTAGCTTTTCATGTTTATGTACGTGCTTGGCTACTCTACTCATTTTGTATTCAAGAAAATGATTTTAAGGACAGTTGACAAATTTTCAAGAGTAAAAAACAGTTTAACTTTAGAATTTTTATAGTCAATAACTATCTCAAAACACTTAAAATCATTTACGTTAATAATGTGAAATAATTTTTTGCATTGTTCACATATGTATACGTGTAAATGTATGTTTAGTGAGTCAATGTCATAAAACAATAACTGGCCTGCTTCATCATATACGTTATTATAGCTCCGTGGCGTAACTTGCAACTCATAACCGCATTATACTATTTAGTGGCTCTGTGTCTGTGGCTCTGGCTCAATGTCATATTTAATATTCTTTTAAAAAGGAAACAAATTTTCAAAAAATATTGGTAACATGATACAGCGTCGACGACCAAGTACTGAACGACGTCCCAGTGTGGCAGACTTGGAAGAGAAAATTGACAAACCATCCACACCTCTGAAGCCTACAGGAGCCGCTGGCCCTCCAGTAATTGTTGTCGATCAAAAGTATACGGCAGTTGAAGGTACAAAGAATATGAAAGAGGGATACATGTCAAAGTTTCAGACTAACATTGTTGACCTATCTGTATTGGCTAATGCTTTGTTGTCAAGCATAATTTTTCATGTGCAAAATCGTTTGCTAATTCGTGATTAACAGACAAGACGGGTTACATCACAGCCCAAGTGGAAGGCAATCCAGTTCCTACGTTCCGTTTTTACAAGGTTTGTACTAAAAGATGATATAATTTTATTGTACTATGGGCCAAGTACTAAATATTTGAGGTATAGGGCATCACTGAAATTATGGATGAAGGCCGTTATCGATTTGTGACTGATGGGGACAATAATATGGTCATTTTGTGCATCCGTAAAGTCAAACCTAATGATGAAGGAAGTTACAAAATTGTGGGTAAGTACAAGTTCAGATAATTCTGTACTGTATTCCCCTTTCCGGATACTATATGCGTTTAAACATATAAAAAATCAGTCTCACGAATCCGTTTGCATGTTAAAAAGAGCATCAAATATGATAAGAAAATTACATTTTCATACGTTTTCAGCCACCAACAAACATGGTGAAGCTGCAGAGGAGTGCGAGCTCCTCGTATCAGGTCAGACTTTATAAATCTCTAATTATAACCGCATCATCATCAACACTGAATGACTTTGTCCATGGTTTAGGTGCCGGAGGTATGGACTTCCGTGCAATGTTGGCCAAGAGAAAGTATGCCAAGTGGGGAAAGCAAGAAGAGAAATTAGAGTATGACCTCAAAGAGACTCCAAAGGATGATAAGCCCAAGCTCAAGCATATCGAGAGGGTGAGTTTTCTATTAATACGCACGGATTTTTTATCTCCGTGGGAAATACTTGCATCTAAATTGAAAAATATTATATTTATATCATATCGCATTAAAGTAATGATGATAATACGACTTTTTGAATATACGTATGTACATACTTCTTCTCTTTCCTGTCTATTTCAACAGCTTTCACTTTCAGTAGTGATGTCCACTTAGACGTCATTTTTATGTATTATTGCGTGTAATTTTTTGTGAAACTATTCTTGTTGTGACCCCGTTGTTTGTCTTACTTAGTCCGATGTATTGAGTTTGTGCATTTTGTTGGTCGTATTAGTTTGTCCAATGTCCCCCTGTTGTCCTCCAGTTGGTGGTCGTGGTATATGTAATTTAGCTGATAAATATTGAGTATGGTGTCTGTAGCCAGGCGATAAAAGCCCTTCACGAAGACCTTCAATGCTGGCGGAAGTGATTCCTGACTGGCCTGACCTGAAACACTTTAGTCATAAGGAGGTTGGAGTCATATGTATTAGACCGATCTTTCTTCTCTCGCACTGTCTCTTTGATTAACTTGACTCTAATAAAACCTTTCCGTGATTGTCTTTTTGAAGTGCGTGCTACTGTTATGCAAACAACAGTGTAGTAGTGGCACAACCTGTGCACGGGTAATGAAATTCCCATCGTGATCAGAAATATCGGCCGATTTTTACTTGGGATCGGAACTTTTTCAATCGCTCCACCCTCCTCACACTTTTGAAGGCGACTCTTTCCGAAAAATTTTGTTTTGAGTCCAAATTGACTAATTATTTTGTCTTTTTTGTTGGAATGGCTGATGATTTTGTGAATGGGCTTTTGACTGTACGTACATCTATACGGGCTTCCCCTTTGGCTTTGCTAAAATTACCCGTGCTTAGGTTGACAAACCACCTGAACAATAAAATCGGTTTGTTAACAATAATGCTACGCTTCAATATTAACTGTAAATGCACGAATTAATTTGTTCACCTAAATTTTTTGATTGTTCTGTTCTGTCCTCTTATTTATTACCATTAAGAAAATTAAAAAAACAACAACTTCTTCTTATGCAACTGTCTTTCTTTCTACTCTTTCATTATATTCCTTTTATATTTTACCTTTCCAGCAAAATGTTGAAAAGGCCAACAATCTTTACATTAAATTTGCCATATATTTATTATGATTTGATAATCTATTTTAGTTCTGTAATTTTATTTCATTATGATCCAAATATTACTACAAGTCTTTATGGCTAATTGCAAATTCATATATAATGACAAACTGACATTACAAATCTAAAATTGTGCATGGGGAATAAACAACTTATGCATTTATATTTGTTTTTCTGCGAGCAGAAGACAGATTCATTCCAAAAACCTTTAGTGGACCAATATTGTAAAGAAGGGAGAGACAAGAAGGTTCAATTTGAGGCAATCTTTTCCAAAGCCAACTGCAAAGTGCGGTGGTTCATCCGAAAAGAGGTAGACAACAAATTATACAAGTTTTACCTGTAAATTTGTCAATCGCAGGTTTCAGAAGCTATTTATTAACCTTAATTCACTTTGTAGGAGTTATTTATGGGAGCAAAATATAAAATGGTCCAGAAAGATGAGACGTATCAACTTATCATTAGTACCCCTAAAATGGATGATATGGGAAGATATACCTGTGAAATTAATGGGATTAAAACTGAAGCGTTTTTGACTGTGGAAGAGGCAGATCCAACATTTACCTTTTTAAGACCATTGAACAAAAAATACGACGGTTATGCGAACCGTGAGGTAGAGATGGAATGTACTGTTAGCAGTGGTCGGGCAATGGTAACGTGGTTCCGAGATGACCAACCTCTAAAGGATGGCGACGAATACGACATTTCTAAAGACATGACTGGAAATTGTCGTCTAATTATTAAGAAAGCAACACTAAAACACTCTGGAAAATACACTTGTAGAATTGATAAGCAAAAGGATGAGACGACCACCCAACTTAACATGTTGGAGTGGCCATTTATATTCACCAAACAATTGATGGGCGTACATGCCACCGAGAAGGATTATGTGTGTATGGAAGTAGAATTGGACGAAGAGGATGGTGAAGTCCAATGGTTTAAGGATGGAGAACCTCTTAAAGCAGACAAGCGGTATGTTTCTCACAATTAATGGCAGTATCCTCAACAAGCCGTATACATGCACATTTATCCATCTTATGTACTTTCAGTGTGCAAATAGTAAAGGATGGGAAAAAAAGAAAACTAATTTTCAAAGATGTAAAAATTACTGACGCTGGAATGATAAAGTGTACGACCAATGCGGACAAAACGGAGGGAGAATTAGCAGTGGAATGTAAGCCTTTATATACATCACTAATTATGAGATACATATGGTATATTAATACATATGTATTGTGCTACAACTTCCGATTCCCATAAACAGATCGAAACGCTTTCAATAAAAAATTGAAAGATACAAACAGTCTTGAGCGTGAGAGAGTGGTTCTTGAAGGTATGAACATACTGATTCTATAATTGTTATTATGGTCATAATTGATTAATCTTCCTCATACCCACATCAAAATCGACGGTTTGACGTGAATATACTCATAAAGAGTATAAAATTGATGATATACATTAGTGGTATTTTTCTAACATTTTCTTGCAGTTGAGCTTCAGGACCAAACTGCCTCTGCGGAATGGACCTTAAACGGCGAACCCATAAAGACAGATGAGAGGTCTTTTATACATTTTTATTCGACTTCTCCTCCTGCGTCTGGTTTGAATGAGAGAAGTAAAGACTGATAATATGCTGTTATTATTACGCAGAGTCGAAATCAAGAATTTGGGCGGAGGTCGACACCAACTGATTTTCAACAAAGCGGAAATTGGTGACTCTGGTGACATCGTTTGTTCATCTGGGAGACTTACTTCCAGTTGCAAATTTACTGTTGGGAAAGGAGAAGAAGCTCCAGTTATCAACATGGAATCAAATAAAGTTGAAGGGCCAATTAGCAAACCATTAGTTTTCCACGTTCCATATACCGGTGAGTATATAAAGTTTCATTTGCAAAATTTGCATGCATGCATAGTTTAAAAGACGCATTTTTAGACGATAATTTAAAAAAATTATGTATTTTGTAGTTCAAGGAACTAGACAATCGCAAGTTGAAGGAAAATTAATCCACAATGGAAAAGTTTTGCAACTAAAAGAGGTAGAAGTTGTCGTCTTGGATGATAGAATTGATTTCAAGTACAAAAAACCGGCGAGGGAACTCAGTGGCAAGTTCACGGTGAAAGTTAGCAATGCCCAAGGCGAGGATACAAAGGAGATTAACATCAACTTTCAAGGTTACCCATTAAACTGATAAACCTACGAAGCACTGAAATGCGTCACACAGCATGTACTAAAATTTAGAATAATTTTTCGCAGACGTACCAACGGCCCCTGCAAGTATGGATGTCAGTGATATTTTCCAGAGTTCTTGCGTCGTATCGTGGAAACCATGCAGTGATGATGGTACGTGGTTCGAAAGACAAAAATCAGTGGGTCTCTCCACTATGACTAATTTATTTCATTTCTGTATTAACTGCCCATGCAGGAGGAAGTCCTTTAGTGCACTACCTCATAGAAAGACAAGACTTAAGCGTCAAAGGAGGATGGCACAGTGTTGCTGAAGTTGCTACAAATCTGAGTACTTATAAAGTCGAAGATCTTGTTCACAAGAAGGAATACAAATTCCGTGTTAAAGCAGTTAACAAATTTGGAGCCGGTATTGAGATCCTATTCAAAAAATTTGTTATACAATTACATTCTCATAATGTGATTGAAAGCCACTTCTTACATTTTGATGGGTTAACTGTGCTTCTAGGTGAACCTGTTACATATTCTAAAACTGTACTGGCAAAGGATCCTTGGGGTGAGATGCATTTACCAAAGGTAATATGTAATATATCATAACTTAACCTGTTTAATTTACAGACGAACCTGGGAAACCCACCGGAGTTGAAGTACATGACTGGGACAAGGATCATGCAGATTTGAAAGTAAGATGGTCATCGGTTTATTCTGATCGCATTTTTACCATGGAGGTATAAACCATACGTAATTATTATTATCATTCCGATTTGATTAGTGGAAGCCCCCTGCCGATGACGGAGGCAGTCCTATAGGTATAATATTGTTACATTGGCTTTATGGAAGCGTTCTTTTAATTAAAACATATTTTACATTACAGTCTCATACGTGATAGAAATGAAGGAAAAGTTTGGAAAAGAGTGGGTGGTGGGAAAAACTATTGAAGGAAACGTTACGAAAGCAACGGTAGACGGTCTTACTGAAGGGAAGCAGTATGAATTCCGTGTTAGGGGTAAGTTTCGACACCCTTTAATAGCAAATAAGTAGTAAGTACATTCAACAACGCATCATAATAAAATATTTCATTTTCTTTATTTCAGCTGTTAATAGAGCTGGACCAGGTTGGTAAAATTAATTTGTGCTAAATCGTCTAGTTTGGTGCAACTACATTTCTTGAACTAAAAATCTAGGTGAACCATCTGATGCGTCTAAACCAATTATTGCCAAGAGTCGATTTGGTATGCATTTTGTTGCAATGCTAAAAAACAGTTCAATAGTCTGACTCTGAATTATTTTGTAATTATATTTTGAAATTATAGTCAAGCCTTACATTGTGGGAGACGGTCTTAAACCTATTGTGGTAAAGAAGGGCCAGATAATCAAGTATGACATCAAATATGAAGGCGAACCAGAACCTGAAGTGTCGTGGACACTCGATGGACGGACAATATCTTTAGCTGATGACAGGTAGTGTATTTAGTAGCGTATTTTCGTGAAAAATATAGCTGGCTGAGATAATTATTAAATTGTTCAATTGTACTGTAGAATCACTGTTGACCAATATGAGAAGAACTCTGTTTTAACTGTTCGACGTGCTGTGAGAGCAGACTCTGGGAAGTACAAGCTCTTACTGACCAATTCCAGTGGAACATGTGAGTCGTTTGCGGAGGTCACTGTTTTAGACAAACCTACTGCACCCCGTGGACCTTTAAAAACGGACGAAGTTCGTTCGGACCACATGGTCATAAGTTGGAAAAAGCCAGAAGATTCAGGAGGAATGCCTATCACGTAATCATTAAGTTATTTAATAGCGATAATAATACAGTGTATCAATACTTATACTTACGTAATTACGAGGCCGGTTTATATGTAAAAAATGTTATTTCTAATCTATTTTTCAGTGGATATGTCATTGAAAAGATGGACATGGACACTGGGCGTTGGGTCCCTGCGGGAGAAGTCGGCCCAAATACCGAAAACTTTAAAGTTGACGGCTTGACCCCTAAAAAGAAGTACAAGTTTAGGGTTAAAGCCGTCAATAAGGAAGGTGAGAATATAGAATATTTAAAATATGTCCATGGATGTAGAATTCCAATTGTGTATTTCAATTTTCAACATAATCAGCTTTTATGATCAGAATATCTGATCATCAGATATTTCTACTGGTTTCGGAGATGATTACTTGATTTTATTTTGAATTTGAGTTTTGATTTTAATTAACTTTTGATGGCATTGTATAGGCGAATCTGAACCCTTGGAAAGTGATGAACCAGTGACGGCTAAAAATCCATACGGTTTGTAGTTACTTTGTAATAATTTTCAAAGGGTACACATTCTTATCTTGTTTTTAAATTCCAGATGAGCCATCTGCTCCTGGCCGCCCAGATATTGATGATTATGACAACAAGAGCGTGACTCTAAAATGGAAAGCGGTAAATAGTGAAACACTACAATTATAACATGGTCGCTTTACATATGTACATGATATATTTCAGCCTGACAATGATGGTGGACGACCTATACGTAAGTTACATTCAACTAAATCAAATTATTAAAAATCAGGAAGCAAAACCTTATTGCAACTTTTATGCAGTTAAATATATCGTGGAAATGAAGGATAAACTTCTTGTGGATTGGCAAGTCGTTACTGAGACTAAAGATGCTGAATGTACAGCCGTGGTCAATGGACTTCGTGAAAAACAGACCTACCAATTCCGCATTGTTGCAGTTAATAAGGCCGGAAAGAGTGAGTAAATATATATTTTGTATGCAACTATTGAACGGTGTTTAATCATTTGTATTAATTTATGGCTCACAGGTCCGCCATCTGAGCCAACTGCAAATCATCTCTGCAAGCATCGCTTCTTAAAACCACAGATTGATAGAAATACATTCAAGACGATAACCATCAAGGCTGGAAGAACTCACAAGTGGGCTGTTGATGTTACTGGAGAACCTGGTGAGCAAGGAAAAAACGAATAAATAAATATGGACAAGTATAATTAATGCTTTGAAAATGTAATTCATTTACAGCACCAGAAACAACGTGGAGTTGGAGGGACGGAATCGCTCTCACGAATTCTGAAAGAATTAATATTGAAAGTCAAGAGTATCACACAGTTTTTACTATTAAAAATTGTCGGCGGTCTGATACCGGAAAGTACACTTTGAAAGCTGAAAACTCATCAGGGATGGACACTGAAACCGTAGAGTTCAATGTCTTATCTAAACCTGGTACACCAAAAGGTCCGCTTAAGGTTACAGATGTTCATAATGAAGGATGCAAACTCAGGTAAGTTTGCATATATTCTGGTGTATACGAGTCTGCTTTTAAGTATTAACAATCCGTGTTGCATAATTATGGTCTATAACCTTTTCATTTTAATAGTTGGGAAAAGCCTGAGGACGATGGTGGATTGCCAATTAAGTAAGCGTCAGTATTTAACCCCATTCAATAAGCTATATGCAATCATATTAATTCCTATTAATCTAAACATAGAGAGTACGAGGTTGAAAAAATGGACATGGCGACTAAAAGATGGGTCCGCGTTGGGAAATGCCCAGGGAACCAGATTCCTCCTACATTCGAGGTCACTGGATTGGTTCCAGGTCAAGAGTACCAGTTCCGCGTAGTTGCTGTCAACGATGAGGGTGACAGCGATCCGTAAGTTTGAAGATTTTTGTATTTTTTTGTATTTTTATTTAAATCCTAAACCCTTCCAGGCCGAGGCCCATAGAGTTACATAATAATAATTTAAGTAATATAAATAAAATTTAAGTTTGAAGATTTCATAACCTTAGCCATACTTACAGATCTGTATTTATTGTTAGTTGGGGGATTTATAGACATTTAATTATTAACATTTAATTTTATATTTTTAGACTAACCACTTCCACAAGTATTATTGCCAAAAATCCATTTGACGAGCCAGGTAAGTTGTACATTCTTCATAATTCTTGCTTCCACGAGTTGTATTATTGCATTTAAATTAATTCTACCTTATTGATTATGGATTATAGGTAAACCAGGAATGCCTGAGATTACCGATTATGACAATGAGAGCGTGGATCTAAAGGTATTTGTATTTTGAATACCTATTTATGATGTATCGATATCTATAATTTACATTTATTTTTCTGCCAATTAGTGGAAAGCACCTACCAACGATGGTTCGTGAACATTTATTATATTTACATAATTTGCTCAGAAATTCCTCTAATTTCTTTGACGTTGTTGATACAGGCGGTGCAAAGATAGAGAAATATATTTTACAAAAGAAGGACAAGTTTAAGCCAGAATGGGAAAATGCTGGTGAAGTTCCTGGAGATCAACTTACTGGAAAAATCAAAGACTTAAAAGAACGGGGCGAATATCAGTTCAGAATTATTGCCGTGAACAAAGCCGGACCCGGGGGTAAGTACAAAAAAATTAAGAATCAGAAAGAACCAACCCAGGTCCAATAATGAAAAATTTAATCCGACCAATCTACATTTTTTGCATGTGACAATTTCAGGCCCGTCTGATCCAACAGCTCCACATATCGCCAAACACAGATCATGTAAGCTAAGACCACCAGTTAAACACCTACAATGTTGCTTTAATTATTTTATTTTGTTTTAGTGAAACCAAGAATTGACCGAACAAATCTAAAGCAGACAACAATTAAAGCAGGAAAACCAGTGCGGTTTGATGTCAATGTAGCAGGCGAACCCCGTAATTTGAATTTTTGTTCCTACTATTTTACTCCACAAATTATTGCATGCACATCATTCCTTGAGGTTGCTATTTTGTGTCACCTTTATTTATTGATTATATATTTATAAATATATTAATTTCAGCTCCAACCATCGTTTGGATGTTAAAGGGGAAAGAGGTAGATTTTGTTAAACAGGGTCATTGATATTTATGGAACACTTTTAATCATATGCAATTTATTAACTTTAAGGTGGACGAGAAAAATGTGGAAATCATTAATGTGGACTACAATACCAAGTTTGACATAAAAGAAGGAAAAAGATTAAACTCTGGAATTTACAAAATCGTGGCAACGAACCAACATGGAAAAGATGAGGCAGAAGTGGAGTTGACTGTACTTGCAGCCCCAGGAAGACCAAAAGGTCCACTGAAGGTTTCGGATGTCACTAAGAATTCTGCAAAGGTTGCTTGGCAGAAACCCGAGGACGATGGTTAGTAATATGCATTAAAATCTTTGCGTGCACGTGCCGTATCCTGAGTAATATTTTTAAAATGAAATATTTGTCTTTTTTCATTATAGGTGGAAAACCACTAACGTAAGCTTTCTCGTATTCTTTCAGAGAGGCGGTATTATTAATGTACCAATCTCTCTTTATAATATCTCAAAAATTTAATTGTTCCTCTTAACTTTACACTACAGAGCATATGTCGTCGAAAAGATGGACATGGCTACTGGACGCTGGGTTCCTGCAGGACGGCTGGGACCTGAGAAAACAGAATTTGAAATCACAGGCTTGTCTGAAGGTCATCAATATCAGTTCCGAGTTAAGGGTGAGTATCATCCCGTTTTATTAACAAATTCGATATAAGTACTTCAATCAGACCCATCTTTTTCCAGCTGTCAATGAGGAAGGAGAGTCAGAACCACTTGAGACTGATGGTGCAACAACAGCTAAGAATCCATTTGACATTCCTGGGAAACCAGGTGTACCAAAGTTTGAAGATTGGGATGTTGACCGTGTTGACTTGTATGATGAATTTACATTTATGATATAACAAAATTATTCTGTCAGACTCAGCAAAATTAATATTGTTTTATTGTATAAAAGATCTTGGGCTGCACCGAAGGATGATGGAGGGGCGCCTGGTAAGATTTATTTTAATGATTCAAAGTCGGGGTTGCTTTTTAATTAATAACATTTAAATTTGTTTTTCAAAAGTGACCAACTATATCATTGAGAAGCAAGGTCCGTATGGAAACACTTGGGAGGAAGTATTGACCACCGAATCGCCAGCTTGCAAAGCCCGTGTCACAGGACTACAAGAGGGCCAAACGTATAAATTCCGTGTGCGTGCAGTTAATAAAGCCGGACCCTCTGAACCCTCCGATGCCACCAAACCTCATGTTGCAAAAGCAAGATTCCTCAAGCCACATATTAATAGAGATAAAATGCAGCCAATTACATTCCGTGCAGGGAATCTTATAAAATTGGATGTTGACGTGAAAGGAGAGCCAGGTAATACATCGAAATATGATGCACAGTAGCCTAGCGTTTAGCATCTAACTCAAAAATGTTTGGTTGTATATTTTAGCACCCAAGCTCACATGGATGCTCAAGGGTCAAAAATTGGATGGAACTTACAACATCAAGATTGAGTACGAAGATTATAATACTCGTCTAAATATGCGTGAAACCTCGAGGGAACTCACGGGGAAATATACACTGATTGCCGAGAATGAAGTTGGTCGTGATGAGGCAACAGTTGAAATTAATATTCTTGACAAACCTGGTAAGCCTGAAGGACCCTTGGATGTTACTGATGTCCACAAAGAGGGCTGCAAGCTCAAGGTAAGTTTATTTCATAGCATAATCTTGTAGTTATTTCATTCACAGCTTTGTTAATCAATCATTTTATCGATGTTTTGTGTATGAATGTTTTAGTGGAACAAGCCGCTCGACGATGGCGGCTTACCAATGTAAGCTTTATGTTTTGAGTAACTAAGTCTCAAAAAATGGCTATTTAATTATTAATTTTCGTACCTTTGCCATTTCAATCAGCAACCAGTACGTGGTAGAGAAAATGGACGCCCTCACAGGCCGGTGGGTTCCTTGTGGGCGTGTTCCTGGGGACGAAACTCAAATGGAGGTGACCGGATTAGAACCTGGACATAAGTACCAATTTAGAGTGAGGGCTGCGAATGAAGAGGGTGAATCGGACAATTTGGAAACAGACACCGCTATATTGGCCAAGGACCCCTTCAATCCACCAGGCCCTCCCGGTACTTACATAGATATTATTTCAGCAATTAAAAGTACTATTTTTTCGATACTCTACTAATATTTTGTGTGTGGGTTTTCAGGTATGCCTGAAGTTGTTGACTGGGATGAAAAGTCTGTAAAATTGTAAGCATTCTTATCGTAAACAGTTAGTAATTATAGTTTACAATTATAGTTTATACTAAAAGTGTTCTCCTTGTTTTACAGAAAGTGGGACAGTCCTGTTCGAGATAACGGAGCACCGTAAGTTTTCATACTACATACATATACAGTCGACATAAATATGTTAAACCACATAACAACAATATCAATATGCCATTTTTCAGAATTACTGGATACATTATAGAAATGGTGGATCAATTTGGAGGAGTTTTTATGAAATGTGGTGAAGTTTCTGGGAATGTTTGTCAAGGAACGGTTAATAAACTAGAAGAGGGTAATAAATACGAGTTCAGAGTGCGAGCAGTTAACAAAGCTGGTCCAGGTTCGTTGCTTTAATTATAATTAATGGTTATAAGTATGCCAAGTTCGTTAATATTTTGAAAGCATATTTATTGAAATTCTTTTAAAAAATTAATAGGTGACCCCTCCGAGTCCTGCAAGCCACACTTGTGCAAAGCCCGCTACCTGAAACCCACAATTATTCGTACAAACTTGCAACCTATCGTTATTCGAGTTGGACAGCAAGTTTTGTTGGACGTTGACATCAAGGGAGAACCACGTGAGTGTCAATATTTCATATGCATGCGCACTATTATATAGTTGGCACTATACAAGTAATTATATGTATGATTATTCTTTAATACAGCTCCAAAAGTAACTTGGTCTCTCAAGGGCAAAGAAGTTGAACAAAATGATCAATTGAAAATTGACAACATCGATTATAACACAAAGTTTGTGATCCTCAAAGGAAAGCGACTTCATACTGGGATATACAAAGTCAAAGCAGTTAATAGCAGTGGTGAGGATGAAGCCGAAGTAGAAATCACTGTTTTAGGAAAGCCATCCAAACCTAAAGGACCACTAGATGTTTCTGATATCACAAAGAATGGATGCAAACTGGTAAGTTTCGCTAGAGTTTTACAACAATTTTAATTTCTCTCGGTGGTTTAAATATGTATAAATACAAATAATTTATTGTATTTTGCAGACCTGGGCTGCCCCCGAAGATGACGGTAAGTTTTAACTATATACCATTGTATTATTTACTCATTTACTATATATTTTCTTTAGAAAGACTAAATTATTTCTAATTTTGCAGGTGGAAGTCCTTTGGAAGGATACGAAATTGAGAAACTCGACCCACTGACAGGAACATGGGTTCCTTGTGGAAAATCTGACAAGCCTGAATTTCAAGTACAAGGTCTGCAAGAGGGCAAGCAATACAAATTCCGTGTGCGTGCAGTAAACAAGGAAGGTGGATCAGACGAGCTTGAGTGCGACAAACCAATTATCGCCAAAAACCCATTCGATGAGCCTGGAAAACCAGGACGTCCAACTCCTACGGATTGGGACAAAGACTTTGTCGACCTTGAGTGGGCGGCACCCAAAGATGATGGAGGTAAGGAGAATTGCATACCTTTATTGCATCCCACAACACGATTATTATTAGTGCATGATAAAGAAGTTTGGGATATTGGCTAAACTCATAATAATTTGGTTTCTTAATTATTATTCAGGATCTCCAATAGAGAAATATATTATTCAAATGCGTGACAAAGATACTCGAAATTGGGTTGACGCTGCCACAGTTCCTGGAGGAAAAACAAATGGAAAAGTTACTGCAGTGCAAGAAGGCCGTGAATATGAATTCCGAGTAATTGCAGTAAACAAAGCCGGCCCTGGTCAGTCCTCTATATTGGTTGACTAATTTTAAAAACAAAACAATTCTAAACTATAACAAACAATGCCATGTTTTTAACTTCAGGTGAACCATCCGACGCGTCAAAGTCTGTGGTCGCAAAACCCAGACATTTGGCTCCGTATATTGATAGAAAGAATTTGGGAAAGAAAAAAATTCGAAGCGGAGAAATGCTCGCTGTTGAGGCAGACGTACGAGGAGAGCCAGGTCTTAATTTTTTAACTGTTGGATTCGGTTGATAAAAGTTCATGCTTAATTATTACTCCTATGTATTTTAGCTCCAACCGTTACTTGGACTTTGAAGGACGCTCCTCTGAAAAATGAGAGAATTAAGATTGAAAATGAACCGTATAAGACGTCGTTTCTACTTACCAAACCCGTACGAGCTGACACTGGAATATACATTGTTACTGCCGTGAATGACTCTGGAAAAGATTCCGTTGAGATGGAAGTAACCGTAGTAGGCCGTAAGCTTTCATCGTACTTGCTGACTAATTGATTATTCAGTTTTGTTCTAACTTCTGGTATACTATGGTTATTAAGTAGCTTCAGCTACTTTATGTGAAGACTTTGTCTGTCTGTCTGTCTGTCTGTCCGTCTGTCTGTCAGCAGGATATCAGGAGAACGGATCGAGATAATCGAAATCGGTTTTCGCCATCATACATAGGACCCCAGGGGGAGGATCCTATCAACTTTTGGGGGCAACCGGACCACACCCCCTTTGGCGACAGGGGGTGTGGTCGGGGCAAAATGAGATTTTTAGTGCAATTTAATCTATAGGTGAAATAGAGTAAAATTATGTGTTCCGGAGTTGTGCCACACCCCCTCGGCGCCAGGGGGTGTGGTTGGGGCAAAATGAGATTTTTAGTGCAATTTAATCTATGGGTAAAATTAGGTGAAATTGAGTGAAATTAAATGAAATTAAGTGAAATTAAGTGAAATTAAGTGCTTCCCCGATTGTGCCACACCCCCTCGGCCCCAGGGGGTGTGGTTGGGGCAAAATGAGATTTTTAGTGCAATTTAATCTATAGGTGAAGTAGAGTAAAATTATGTGTTCCGGAGTTGTGCCACACCCCCTAGGCGCCAGGGGTGTGGTTGGGGCAAAATGAGATTTTTATAAAAAATTAATCTATAGATGAAATAGAGTGAAATTAAGTGTTCCCGAGTTGTTCCACACCCCCTCGTCGCCAGGGGGTGTGGTCGGGGCAAAATGAGATTTTTACAAAAAATTAATCTATAGGTGAAATAGAGTGAAATTAAGTGTTCCCGAGTTGTGGTGGGATCGTTTGGGGTGAAGTACGTCTGAAGCTACTTCCGTATGCGCGTTTGCGACGGTTTATTTTATTCCAGGTCCAAGTAAACCTAAGGGACCACTCAAAGTTGACGATATCAAAGCTGATGGTTGCAAGCTGGTAAGTTTTGAGACCGATCGGAAAATAACTCAATGTCGCTAAAATCATGTCGATCCATCTTTACCTAATTTTAAAGCAAATGTTTAGTATAATTACAATTTGATTTTCTACTACATAAATTCTGTTTTATGTGTATATTCATTATTTTACAGAACTGGCAAAGACCTGATGATGATGGTGGTTAGTACATTTTGACCTAAAATACTTACTGAGTACCCATATACTAAACTCAATCCTGTCTTTTAGGTGACCCCATTGATCACTTTGTTGTGGAGCGCATGGATACTGCAACTGGGAGATGGATCCCCGTGGGGACAAGCAAAACGCCAGAAATGGACGTTACGGGTCTCAATGAAGGGAAAGAATATTTATTCCGTGTCAAGGCAGTTAACTCTGAGGGAGAATCAGAACCACTTGAAACAGAGTCTCCAATTGTGGCGAAAAATCCATTTGACGTTCCCGAACCACCTGGAAAACCAATTGCAAAGGATTGGGATAAACATCATGTCGACCTACAATGGGCTGCGCCTAGCTCTGACAATGGTACACAAAACACAAGAGGTTTGATTTTTATATGGATGTCATTACAATTAAGTCATTGTTACAGGCTCTAATGTGACATCATACATAATTGAGAAGAAGGATGAGTATTCAACAAAATGGCAGAAAGCAGTTGAAATTATTGGCGACAAGTGTGAAGGTCGCGTTCCCGACTTAATCGAAGGAATGAAGTACCAGTTTAGGGTCAAAGCAGTGAACAAGGCTGGAGCAAGTGAGTAAACTTGTTGTTCAATATAATAGCATTGCGCTGATACCTTGTACTTTATGGGGTGGTCAGGCTACTCATTAATAGAGACAATCAGACCAGCGACGGTAGCATTAGAGGCTAATTGCTGACAAATTGTGCTTATACTGCTGAAACTTACAAAAATATTTGTAAATTTTCATAGGTAAACCGTCTGACGCATCTGATCTCATTACTGCAAAATCCAGACGTCTTCCTCCAAAGATTGATCGCTCAACAATGAAAGATTTGACTGTGAAAATTGGTCAACCAATTAAATTTGACATTAAAGTGACAGGTAAACAACCCAAACAACCCAATGTGTAACTAATAATTATATCTGTTAGAAATATTCTTAGTTTAGTGGTATACTTTCATATCACTAGGCGAACCACCTCCAAGCAAAGCATTTTTCCTGGGGGATGAAGAACTCAAGGCTGGAGGAAAAATCACCATTGAAAAGGAAGATTATCGTGTTCGTTTGACCATCACCGGTGCCACTCGTGCTTTATCTGGGAAATTGACATTAAAAGCTGCAAATAGCAATGGCCAAGATGAGCATACCATTAACCTCACGGTATTGAGCAAACCATCCAAACCAAAAGGGCCTTTGGATGTGTCAAATATTCACAAAGAAGGATGTACATTGGCATGGAAGCCACCTGAAGATATGGGTATAATTTGAATAATTTGAATATTTCGTGAAACTTTTTTCGTCTATTAAAGCAAAATTTCATGCATATAAAACTCAGTTTATGACGTCACTAATCAAGGCACTATTTTATAGGAGGGGCAGATCTTGATTACTATGCAATCGAGAAACTCGACCCAGAATCTGGGAGATGGATTCCCTGTGGCAAGTCTACCGAGCCTAAAATGGTGGTTAGCAATTTAGAACCAGGAAAGGAGTACAAATTCAGAGTTTGTGCCGTAAACTGTGAGGGCGAATCTGAACGTAAGAACACGCAGTTATATGATCTATGCACATCAAGTTTCCAAAAAAACTAACTGCTACATAAATCATTTAATAGCATTGGAAACGGATGGATCTATCATAGCTAAAAATCCATTTGATGAACCTGGTAAATTTTCGTCACTTTTTCCTCCACTTTAATAGTGTTTTATTAAAGCATAATTATTTATTTTATTTTGTATTAAGGTGCACCTGGCAATGTGGAAGCAACGGATTGGGATAAGAACTTTGTTGATCTGAAATGGACTGCTCCCACCGATGGTAATCATAAGCATCTACATACCTTATTACTGTCATTAACATATATTTTAACTAACCACTGTGTTTAATTTTAGATGGTGGAAGTCCAATTTCTGGGTATGTATTTTTTAAATGTATTAAATTGTTGTGTAGCATAATATTTTTTATTTCAATAAAATTGGAACAGTTATGTCATTGAGAAGAAGGAACCTGGAGGCAAATGGGTAAAAGCAGCAGACGTCAAGGGCAATGAGACCTCCGCCAAAGTAGACGGACTAGAAGAAGGCCAGACGTACGAGTTCCGTGTGAAAGCAGTAAATGAAGCCGGACCAGGCAAGCTTAAAATTGTTCATTATCATTGGTCTCGAAGGAACTACTTCCTTGAAAGTGACAATTTCTAGCACTTTTGTTTATTTTATTTTTCTTATATAGGGGACCCCTCGAAGCCGTGTCAACCAGTCACTTGCAAACCAAGAAAAATGAAACCAAAGATTGACCGTAGATGCCTTCGAAAAATTCATGTCCGAGAAGGAGAACCATTCATGTGGGATGTTAAAATTTCTGGAGAGCCAGGTAATTTTAAATACACATACATTAAAGAAATATTCCAATGACAGTTATTATTATTTTCACGTTATTACATAAATATTATATAGCTCCAACCGTGACTTGGACCTTAAATGGAAAAATCGTGACGGAAACACCAGACGTCAGGATTGCAAATGTTCCATGCAATAGTAAATTCAACAATGACAGTCCCGAAAGAAAACATTCCGGTACCTACAAAATAGTAGCCTCAAATAAGTGGGGTGAGGATGAAGCAGAAGTGGAAGTCCTCGTTGTTAGTAAGACTTGAATGAATTTTTTTTTCTCTTCCACAATTTACTGCAAAAACGTGTCCCCTGCTTTATATAATTAATTTCCTTTTTCACTAGGCCGGCCTGGAAAACCTGAAGGGCCTTTAGACGTCTCTGATATTCGCAAAGACGGTTGCAAACTTAAGGTGCTTATTTTTCATTTTTACAACAAAATAGTTACCACGTATTAATAATAAATGGTATCTTTTCATTACGCAAACAGTGGAAGCCCCCTAAAGGTACGTCCGTCATTTTAAGTATAATCTTATACTATACCTTAAATAACTAAGCACAAGCAAAATGCATGCGTAATTACTTGACAAATAACATTAAACTGATATTTTCTGTTTTAATAGATGATGGAGGAAGTAAGCACATTTTATTTTATTTTATTTTATATGCAATACAGTTAATACCCACCATACTAATTATTGTTTGCCCATTCGCAGTTCCAATTGAGGCGTTTGTGGTGGAGAAATTCGACCCAGAAACAGGAATTTGGATTCCTTGTGGTAAATCGAAAGATCCAGAAATGGAAGTGGAAGGCCTTGTTCCTGGTCACGAGTATTCATTCCGAGTAAAAGCAGTGAATAAAGAGGGGGAGTCGATACCGCTGGAAACCCTAGCTCCGATTATTGCTAAAGATCCATTCTCAGCTACAGAGAAACCAGGGACTCCCGAAGCAGTGGACTGGTCTGCAAACCACGTAGAACTTGTAAGTTAAGAGAAAGCAATTTTTATTATCCATGGGAAATGTGGAAACTAATTTATTATTATTTTTAAGAAATGGGAGCCACCCATTGACTGCAATGGTGCTCCAGTGTGAGTATTTTGAAGCTTTTTTTACTACATAGAGTTTAACATGTTAAAAGACTAATCTAATTGTTCTTCATTGCTTATTATCCACACAGTGAGTCATATATTGTGGAAAAGAAAGACAAGTACAGTGGGCTGTGGGAGAAAGCGTTGGAAACACCGGGCCCAGACTGCAAAACAATTGTGCGAGGACTGATTGAAGGACAGCAATATCAATTCCGAGTTGTTGCTGTTAACAAGGCCGGACCAAGTATATTGACGATTAATTATTCTTTTTATATTGAATATTTCTTAATATTACCTATAACTTCAGGTGAACCCTCTGATGGTAGCAAGCCAATTACAGCTAAAGCCAGATTCCTTGCGCCAAGAATTGACAGAAAAAATCTGCGCGATATTACTCTAAGCGCAGGATCCACTCTTAAATTTGACGTTGACGTAACAGGTAAAAATCGATTAAATACTTACTATTTAAAACTAATGGCAGTTATCTTAAACATATAAACGACTAAATAACATGTTCACCATCTATTATTTAGGTGAACCACCTCCACAGATTGTGTGGAGTGTTGATGGACAAACATTAAAAGACGGAAGAAATGTGACTCTTGATAACGTGGATTACCACACCAAGCTTATCGTTCGCCCAGTCCAGAGAGGAGATTCAGGCGAATACACGATAACTGCCACTAACTCCTCTGGAAAAGACAGCGTGACCGTAAGAGTCACGGTTACTGACAAGCCCTCCAAGCCTGAAGGCCCATTAGACATTTCAAATGTACATAAAAATGGATGTAAACTAAAATGGAAGAAACCAAAGGATACGGGTAAGATCAATTTAATATTCACTCTAAATTATCCCATTACTACCGTTATGTTTTTGTTCTGTTGGTTCACTTTTAAATTTAAATTTGTATATTAGGAGGAGAGGACTTGGAGTATTATGAGGTACCATCTAACCCAATTTTCCAATTAATCACGAAATATAGAAATGCGAAATTAATTATTTAAAAAATTAAATAGGTGGAAAAGCTTGATCCAGAGACCGGATTATGGGTTCCAGCCGGACGATCTACCGAACCGGAAATGAATGTTACAGGCCTCACTCCTGGTCAGGAGTATAAATTCCGAGTAAAAGCAGTGAATAAAGAGGGCGAATCTGAACGTTAGTTGCTATTATTTATTAAATGTTCTAGTTGTATGCATTGTATTGTATTAAATTGTTAAATTTTCCATCATTTTTTAGCATTGACGGGTGATCAAAGTATTATTGCCAAGAATCCGTTTGACGAGCCTGGTAATTTCTTACAGCTCTTTGCGTATCTTTACACATTACTGTCTTTCTCAAGTGATATCATTTAGTTACGCTTCTCATTTGTTTCTTGCAGGGAAACCAGGAAATCTCAAAGCTACTGATTGGGACAAGGACCATGTAGACCTAAGGTACGGTTAAATTATAAGGTTAAATACATACTCGAAAATAAACTAACGAAATTGTTTTCTTAAAAATATATAGCTGGACTCCGCCAAAGGATGATGGTGGTGCTCCAATTACTGCGTATATAATAGAAAAGAAGGACAAGTTTGGAGGCTGGGAGAAAGCATTGGAGGTTCCAGGAGGCAGCACCACTGCCACCGTTCCTGATTTGACAGAAGGACATGCATACGAATTCCGCGTCCGAGCAGTGAATAAGGCCGGCCCTGGTGACGAATCTGACTCTGTCGGTCCTATTGTCGCAAAGGCCAGAAATTTAGCTCCAAAGATTGATAGAACAAACCTCATTCCAATCAAAATCAAGGCAGGTGCAAATTTCTTATACGACGTAAAAGTCACTGGAGAACCAGGTACGGACTTTCTTTTCTTATATATACACACAATTTAATTTGTGTTATTGTAATTTATGATTACGATTTTTAAATATATTTTGACCACATTCTAATTGAACGTATTTTTACGATTACAGCTCCGGAATTAAAATGGACTCTCAAAGGAAAGGACGTGAAACCATCTGACAAGACCAAGATTACTAATGTCGACTACAATACAAAGTTAAGTGTTCGTGGAGCCACACGAGCAGAATCGGGTGTATATACCCTTACTGCATCAAACGTTAATGGAACAGATATTGCTGAAGTGGAAGTCATTGTAATGGATAAACCAAGTCCGCCAAATGGTCCCCTCAAGGTCCAGAATGTTCATGCTGAGGGTGCAACCCTTAGTTGGTTGCCCCCTACGGACGATGGTGGTTAGTTAATACAGATATTGGGAAAATAATTTGCTACTACAATTAAGAGTTGCATTAAAATACTTTTGATTACTTTCAGGGGCACCTATTGAGAAATACATTATAGAAAAGCAAGACGAAGCAACAGGGCGATGGGTTCCAGCCGGCGAGACTGATGGTCCAAATACGAACTTGGCTATAGATGGATTAACACCAGGACACAAATATAAATTTAGGGTTAAAGGTGAGTATCATCCAGTGTTATTAACAAGTCAGATAATAAATACATTCAATCAGTTAAGAGTAACGCTAGTCTCCCAATTAATTCCATTCATTTCTTCTTTTTTCAGCTGTCAACAAACACGGAACATCCGATCCTTTGACAACTTCTCAGGCCATTGAAGCAAAGAATCCATTCGATAATCCAGGGGCCCCTAAAAATCCAGAGATCATAGATTATGACAAAGACTTTGTGGAGCTTAAGTGTAAGTTATTTTTTTATTACATAAAATATACAGTTTTTGGAGAAACAATTATTAATGTGCTATTAATTATATTGAACTTTAGGGGACAAACCTGACACTGACGGGGGTGAGTACAATTCGTTTTTTTGTCATACATACTCTACTACTTAGTTGGCAGAGCTGATTGTATTTATGTTTTCATAGGCTCGCCTCTGGTTGGATACATCATTGAAAAGAAGGACAAATTTAATCCTAATTGGGAAAAGTGTGCTGAAGTGGAAGGAAATGTGACCTCTGGCAAAGTACCTGATCTCATTGAGGGCAACACCTACGAATTCCGAATCCGAGCAGTGAACAAAGGAGGTAAATATCAACATAGTTTTTTTAAAATTATTAATCATATCTGCATTCTGAGAAATTTCAATAATGAATGCAGGTGCGGGTGAACCTTCTGATTCCACAAAACCACACGTTGCGCGCCCAAAGAATTTGGCACCTAAGATTGACCGAAATGCTCTCACCAACATTAAGATCCGAGCAGGTCAAAACTTTGAGTTCGATGTACCTGTTTCTGGAGAACCACGTAAGTTAATCACGTTATTTATTGATTTGTACGACCTCGATACAATAAAGAATATTATCATATCCACAAATATTAACAAAATCACTAAAGTAAGTAACTGGTCGTTTTACTGGGACACTTAACTAGTATCGTCCTGTTTTTTGTTAACAAAGATTTGATAAAACGTGATATTACTTGTTATCGTGTGTTCTAATAAATTGTGTGATTACTAAAACAGCATCAAGCCTCGTACATGCACCTATATACTGATCTTATGAGGCTTTAACAACGTAAGTTCGTGACTACCATTAACAAAATTGGATGTAATTTAAAATATATCAAATTATTGTGTTGTTTTATTATTTTTGTACATCGTATTAGCATAAAATCATCCATTGAAAATTTCCAGTGCCCGTGCAACTAATATTTAACTTGCATTAATTTCTAGCTCCAAGCAAAGAATGGACACTTGGTGGGAATCAAGTTCTTCCATCGGAAAATGTCAAAATCACTAATGAGGATTACAATACAAAAGTTAAAGTTGTCAATGCTCAACGAGGGGACAGTGGGACGTATACGTTGACAGTAAAAAATAGGAATGGAACGGACAGTGCTACCGTTACTGTAACTGTTTTAGACATTCCTTTGCCCCCAGAAGGCCCTCTTACTCCGAGCAATATCACAAAGAGTGGATGCAGCTTGAGGTGAGTTTCATTAACATAGTTTTTTGGTAATCTTACTTAAATATATATTTCAATTCCTACTTTTTTGTATTCAAAATGTGTAGCTGGAAACCTCCCCTCGACGATGGTGGGAGTGAAATTACATCATACATTGTGGAAAAAATGGATATGGAAAATATGCGCTGGGTTCCTTGTGGAGAAAGTGCAGGGACATCACTGCGCGTTGACCACCTGATTGAAGGTCATGACTACAAATTCCGAGTGAAAGGTATCATCCCGATTTACGTATTAGCAAATCAGATAATAAGTGCATTCAATCAATTAAACAACGCATCGTTGTTAAAACTAAATCATTGAAACGAGCAAGAGTAACGCGCTGATCTCCCGATTAATTCCATTCATTTTTCTTTTTCTCAGCCGTGAACCGACAAGGAGAATCTCAACCCCTCACCGGCACATCTCCAATCACTGCCAAGGACCCCTATTCCAAACCAGATAAACCTGGAGTTCCTGATGTGGTGGACTGGGACCGTGATCATGTTGATTTAGTACGATTTTTACTCATTACTATTTGGTTTTGTTATATATGAAAATATACATACATATGCATATGAAAACTAATGTTATTTTGTGAATGTAAAGGAATGGGCGCCTCCTAAAAAAGGTTAGTTAGTTTTTTATTTGTAATTCATAAAGGAAATGCAGTATTAAATAATTACTTTATAAATAATCCAACAATTTTTTGTATATATTGTAGATGGTGGAACAGGAATTGAGAAATACATTATTGAAAAGCGACCAAAGTTTGGACAATGGGAAAAGGCAACAGAAGTCTCTGGAAAAACCCCCAAATGTACCGTACCAAACTTAACAGAAGGGCAGGAATATGAATTCCGTGTCATTGCAGTAAACAAAGCCGGGCCAAGTATGTCTTCATTTATTTATGCAATTTAAACAATCCAAATACTTGCTGCGATACTTTACTGAAATGTGCTATTTACTTTTTTAGGTGACCCATCAGATGCATCAAAATCAGTTATTGCAAAGCCTCGTTACTTGGGACCACAAATAGATCGAAACTTCCTCGAGGACCTTGTTGTTCGTGCAGGCCAAAAGATTAGCTACAATGTTCCTATTTCTGGTTCTCCACCCCCTAAAGCGTAAGTTTTTTGGTTCATCCTCGTTGCTCTTCCTCTTTAGACTAAAATGTCGTCGCTTCAAATTTTGAGGAAATATTGATATATTTCAGTACTTGGAGCATTGAGGGGAAAGTTGTGGCCAGCAGTGACAGGGTGGATGTGACCACCAGTTCCACTGAGGCCTCCTTGGATATCCCAAGTTCATTACGAAGCGATACTGGTCGATACACCTTGACATTAGAAAATAATCTTGGATCAGTGTCGGCGTCTGCAAATGTTACCGTTGTGGATAGACCAACCGCACCTGAGGGACCACTTATGGTTGGAGATGTCACAAAGGAAAGCTGTCGCCTGTATGCGGTTTTGCATTTTTTAAAAATATATTTTCTGGAAATTTCGTCAGTTAGTTAATGACAATATTTTTAACACGTACGTCTAATATTATTTCACGGCAGATCCTGGCAGCCACCTCGCGACGATGGTGGATCCCCAGTGTATGTTCTTATACTACCAAAAAACACTTGGTCCTTGAATCATAAATAATAAGTTAATGCTTATATTTGACAAATAGGACTCACTACGTTATAGAGAAAATGGACACTTCCCGTGGAACTTGGATCGATGCTGGTATCGCCAACACTTGCACAGCAGAGGTCACCAAGCTTGTTCATAAGAAAGAGTACTTGTTCCGTGTCCGTGCAGTTAACAACATCGGAGAATCAAATGGTAAACATAATAATTATATTTCTTATCTACTGGAATATATGAATTTAAATAAAACGTAAAATTATAGACCTTGCAACGGATAAGGGAACCATTGCAAAGAACCAATTCGATGAACCTGATGCTCCTGGTCGTCCAAAAATAACTGACTGGGATAGAAACAGGGTGGATCTGGGTAAAAATTAAGACAAAATAGATGTATAATATTGCAAAACTTACATGTATGTTTAATACGTTTTCATACAGAATGGAAGCCACCACGTAGTGATAATGGATGTGAGTAGTTTTATTTATGTGCTACGAAATAATTTCATTCAAATAATTCCCACAAAAATAAACACGGTCAATTTTATTTTTAGCCAAAATTACTGGATACATAATTCAAAAGAAGGAAAAAGGCAGTCCTTTCTGGATGAACGCAGCTCAGTCACCAGGCGATCAAACTCATGTTAGTTTTGTAAAAAAAAATATTTTTGCCATTATTAAATTGTTTATATAAATTAACGAATAATCATCTTATGAGATTATAAATGTATATATTATAGGCAACAGTTGGAGATTTAACGGAAGGACAAGAATATGAGTTTAGAATAATTGCTGTGAATGCAGCAGGCCAATCAGAACCGTCGGAACCGTCGGATCTCGTGAAAACGGGACCACGACGCCTACCACCTAAAATCACAAGTCCTTTACATGACATTAAAATTAAGGCTGGACAAATCTTCCATGTTGACATTAATTACGAGGGAGCCCCTGATCCGGAAGTGGTATGGAAAGCTAATGGGAAGGAAGTAAAGACTGATGAAAGGACAACCGTGAGCGCGATCTCTAACCACACTGTTGTTCACACCGTGAGTACGAAGCGTGGAGACTCTGGAGAGTACGTTTTGCGTATTAAAAATGAATATGGAGCTGACGAAGGATCTTTCAAACTCACCGTGTTGGATCGTAAGATATTCACCTTATTTACTACCCATATTCTATCTTTTTTTATTTGAACCACAATTTGTGGTGTTTAGTTTAAAGTGGTATTTTATCCAGTCATGTAATTGTACGATCATTTTTCTCAAGGTCCAAGTCCACCTGAAGGGCCATTGGTGTATGAAGAGGTGACAGCGCAAAGTGTCACGCTTTCCTGGTCCAATCCTCGTGACAATGGAGGTATGTAGGTTGACATCAAATTTTTGTGTAAACTCTGGATGATGAAAAATTTAGTTAGAGGAATTGCGGATAATGAAGTATTGAAATATTAAATTAGGTTCGGAAATTACCAACTTTGTAATCGAGAAGCGAGATCTCACTCATGGAGGCGGATGGGTTCCAGCCGTTAACCATGTTGATCCAAGGAATCTGCATGCCGTGGTGCCACGATTGACTGAAGGCACCCAGTATGAATTCCGAGTGATGGGTGAGTATCATTAACAAACGAGATAATAAGTACATTCAATCATTTCAATAACACATTGTTAAATTAATTCTTAGCTGAGAACCTTCAGGGTCGCTCTGATCCTTTGGCAACTGCCAAACCGATTATTGCCAAAAACCAGTTCGATGTACCCGGAAAACCAGGTGAAATTATAGCTATTTATGAATAACGATTATAATGCAATTTCTTCTTTAAACTAGTATTTAAACCAGTACTTTAAAACATAATCTCTCACAGGAACACCTGAGGTTATGGACACCGATAGAGACCATATCAAGTTCAGGTGGTCCGCACCTATCTCCAATGGGGGTCAGAAAAATAATTAACTATTTACTGCATTAATTTATAATATTACATTTTTGCAATGATTGTCAACTTGTATTTAAATGATATAGGTTCTAATATTATCGGGTACGAGGTTGAACGTAGAGACATAAAGAACCCGAGGTGGGTCAAGATCACAAAGGAGCCTTGGAGGTTCACAGAATATAACGACGAAAAGGTCACAGATGGTCATCAATATGAGTATAGAGTTACTGCTGTCAACGCTGCTGGACCTGGTACTGATTACTTTTATTTTTATAATTGATGAGATGAAATTATTGTAGGACAGTAACCAACTGGGCCTAAACTAATTACCCTTAAATTTCTTAGGTAAACCATCGGACCCGTCCAAGACCTTTACTGCCAGACCTATGCGTGAACCACCAAAGCTGTTCTTGGATGGTCTCCTTGGAAAGCGAATTAAAGTTAGAGCTGGCGAACCAATCAATATTGACATTCCACTTTCGGGAGCACCAATCCCAGAAATTAAATGGACAAAGGACGGAAAATCTTTACCCAAAAGCAATAGAGTATCCGTGAGTATTGCTACGTATTTGCTATTTATTGTATCAGGCTAATGTTTGTAACTAAATTTATAACTAATTTCAGAGTGATACAAACAGTGCTGGAACAAAGTTGCATGTATCTGTATCAGAACGTGGTGACTCTGGAAAATATACAATTACTGCTACCAATGATTTTGGAACAGACAAGGCAGACATTGAGGTTATAGTGGTTGATAAGCCTGGTCCCCCAGGAGGTCCACTAATACCGTCCATGATCAATGGAGACGCAATAACGCTGACGTGGCGCCCATGCGCTGACGACGGAGGTCTGTTCACGCCAATTTATTATTCATAGTTACTTGTTTATGTATTGTTAGAGTTATTAAATAAACAAAATTACTGTAACATACATTGTCTACTTGCAGGCACGGAAATTTCAAATTATGTCATTGAACGGTGTGAGTATGGCAAAGACGATTGGAAATCGTGTCCAGGTTTTTGCCCAAAAGAAGAATTTACAGTCAAGGGGCTAGAGGAGGGGAAGAAATATGTGTTCCGTGTCCGAGCTGAAAATTTGTATGGACTCTCGGAACCTTTAGAAAGCGCACCAATCGTTGCAAAATCACCATTTGATCCTCCGGGCGCTCCTGATCCACCGCAAATTTTGTCGTACGGCCCAACATCAGCGTCCTTACAATGGACTCCACCTTCTCATCCTGGGGGTAAACCAGGTAAGTTTATATTCTATTATGGAGTCATCTACTTAGCTGGAACTATAAACTATGACTAAATAATTTTTCTGTGCCTTGTTTATCCAAAAGTGAGCGGGTATTACATCGAAAAGCGTGACCGTAGTGGAGACTGGGTCAGGGTCAATAATTTCCCAACACCTAATTTGAGCATGACCGTACAAGGTCTCCACGAGGGAATGAAGTATGACTTTAGAGTAATTGCAGTGAATGACGCCGGACCTGGTAAAAAATTTGCACCCTATTTATTGTATCTGTATGATTTCTCTATGGTATATTGATACATCTATGTATAACTTATTTGTGTTAAAGGTGAACCCTCCAGGCCTTCCCAACAAATAATTGCTGGAGTTCAAAAGTTTGTTCCAGATGCTCCAGATCAACCCAAACCTGACCGAGTTACCAAGGATAGCATTACTATAAGCTGGAAACCTGGAGCTTCGGATGGTGGTGCCCGATTAAGAGGATACATTGTACAAAAGAAGGCGAAGAGTGGAGGTGATTGGGAAGAAGTGAATGATTATCCACACCCCACAACGTCCATGACAATTGGTGGCCTCAATCTCAAAGAAGTAAGTTTTTTTTATTGATATCTATTACAGCGAAATCTCAGTGACAAAAAAATAATAGCGAAGCTTAAGGTATTTGATCATAAAAGTAAATAATAAGGATAAATTATAAAAATTTGTTGAGACTTCCGGTGCCATTCTGTGGAAAGTATTCAAACCCGCCGATCTCTCGCATGAGAATTGCCTCATGGTGTAATCGTACACGATCAGTCGGGAACTGTCCGTCCAAAATAGTGATCCTACGATCTTCACGGTCATGGTAGAACCCCCAATGCACGAATGCATCTCGGATTAGTTGATGAGGGTCAGGTGCGCCATGGTTAATCATCGCATGTAGATAGTTGGGCAGACCAGGATCACCACCGTAGCGTTCGTTGTTCCACTCGTCCACCAATTTCTTACAGTGGCCGCCAAGGCGTTCATGAAAGTTTCGATCCTATGTGAAAAGTACATCTGTTAAAAACTATTGGCATACCTAGAAACGTAATGTTTGTACTGACCTTTCTGTGGGTCGTCCCAACATAGGCCGTCCAATTCCCTTCATCAATGCACGCTTGACAATGGACAAGATAAACCACGTTGTTGCAGTTGCACTTAAATCTCTTCTGAAGGTGGACAACTTGATTTGGAGTTGGTCCGAACCGAACTGATGGAGACTGTGTAATGCAGGGGCCGGTCACGGTGCAATGTGCTTCACGACATTTGTACGTTCCGGGTCCTAGAAAGCCTCGTGCGGCATTCCAGTTGATTTTTTCAATCAATTCTATCAAACATTAAGCCGAATATGATGTTATTATTTATATTACAAACATTTGCATACTGGTTAGCATATAAAGTTTACCTGCATTAGTCAATTTTGTCCCCTCATGAGAAACTCTTAGCAGAGAGACGGCATTTTCATATGCCAACAAAATGTCATCATTTTTGGTGATTGTTATTCCGTTCGCATTGTCACCTACAGCCCTGATCTTTTTGAAATCTCCTCCGTAGATCATACGTAACAAAAGTTGCTTTGTATTTGCTATCTCTCCATGATTCCTGGTGCAATCCAGCGTTACAGTCTGCGCATTACTTCGCATAAAGTCAATAAAGTCTCTTCCTACAGGTGTGCCCGGGAACTTTCGTTGACCTTTGACTTGTGCAAAATCTGACGGAACATGTCTGACCCAAGGGCCTGAAATTCGATAAATGTTTTACTTTAGATTTTCGTGTACTGTCAACGTTATGCACAGAAATCATTCAATTAAAGTTGAAATAAAATGTACCTATTTTTAACTCCGGAAAAAGTGGCAAGCCGAGATCGTCCCATTCCCAAACATTTTGAATTTCCGGAATCAACGGAACACGAACTCTGGGGTCACGTTTTAAAATAGCTGTGAAATCGCTAATGTCGTTGATAATTCCTTCCAAACGTTGAAAATTAGACATTTTTTTTGCAACGGCAACACTCTTAGCACAAATTGAAATGACGATTGCTTATGCGAGTGGTTGTGGTGGCGGTGATTCACTAACTTACAAGTCTTCTTTACGAAGTTAGAAAACGAAAGAAAAGAGGCCATACATATAATGATTTTTTTTCTCAATTTTTCTTTTAGTTACTCAAGGAAGGAGAGGAGTATGCATTCCGTGTGTTTGGTGTCAATGAGATTGGCAGAAGTCAGCCTAGTAGACCAAGTAATAATATTTTGGTTGAAGAGCAACCCAACAAGCCTAAGCTGGACCTTGGTGGCCTTCGTGATATCACGGTCAGAGCGGGAGAAGACTTCTCAATTTCCATACCATTTATTGCATTCCCAAAACCAACTGCGACATGGTACGCCAATGATCGCCTTCTGGACGACTCAGACTCCAGAATTTTCCTTCAAACTGGAGATGACTATGCCAGTATTGTTGTCAAAAACTCTAAACGTACTGACGCAGGAAGTTATAAGATTCAAGTCAAGAATCCTTGTGGCTTCGATACAGGCTCATTAAATGTAAGAGTTTTAGATAGACCTTCTCCTCCAGAAAACCTTAGAGCAGAGGAATTTGCTGGAGAATGTCTCACACTCAGGTAAATAATTATTTGCACATTTTAAAAAATAATGAACTAATTAATAGTCTTAATAATTTGAAATTTATATTTATATTCGCTAGTTGGTATCCTCCACGAGACAATGGTGGTATGTTGATGATTTATTTATTTATTGTAGTCTCACATAGAATTAAATATGCAAATATTCAATGTGTTTTATATATGCTAACAGGGTCTGACATCACCAACTATGTCGTGGAAAGGCGTGAAGCTAAAACTACGACATGGACCAAGGTGTCCTCATACGTAACGTCGACATACTGTCGCATCCGAAATTTGACTGTTGGAAGAGACTATGAATTTAGAGTTATGGCCGAGAATCAGTACGGTACTTCTGACCCGGCTGAAACCACAGAACCTATCAAGGCTAAACATCCATTTGACGTTCCTGGTAATTGTTGTTTTATACAAATGCATACATATATGAGTATATGTACATGTATCTCTCTTACATGTTATATATTTTTTAAATCGCAAGGTCCACCTGGAACACCGAGGTCTGTTGAAACCACGGAAGATTCGATCACACTTTCATGTATGTTGTTGCCTGTCCTTATCTTTATAGATTTCAATCAGTTGGGTGCTGTTATGGTATATTTTCGTTTTTATTTCTGTCAACAGGGACTAAACCCAGAAACGACGGTGGTTCTGTTATTCGAGGATATGTAATTGAAAAGAGATTAAAAGGCGAAGATGTGTGGACCAAGGCGTCCCATCAAATCATTCCAGGTTAGCTTTGTATTTATTTCTTGTTATAAACTAAAACATCAAATGAAAACTTGAAAACATGAGATCATTGACTTTTAACATATATTCATTTCCAGACCTGTCGTACAGAGTCACAAATTTACAAGATGGGAAAGAATACGAGTTCCGTGTGGCAGCCATTAATGCTGCTGGTCAAGGGGCTTGGAGTTCGGGTTCAGATTATATTATGTGCCAACCACCTCCAAGTGCTCCCAAGATTACCAGCGATCTCAGCATCCGAGGTATGTATGATCTCCCAAATGGAGAAAAAGTGAATGACCGAGCATTGACCCGACACCATTAATAACATGCAATCCTTTTATATTTCAACAGACATGACTGTTATTGCTGGAGAGGAATTTACTATCACTGTTCCATTTACTGGATACCCTGTCCCGAAGGTTACATGGACGGTTAATGCAGAAGAAACGTTCTCTGATGACCGAATCAAGTTTGAAACTAAACCTGGATATACAAAATACATTAATAAATGTTCAAGACGTTCCGACTCTGGAAAGTACACTATTCAATTGGTCAACAGCGAAGGGTCAGACACAGCCTCATGTCGAGTTCAGGTTGTTGGGTTGCCGGGTCCGCCGGTTGGCCCAATCGACATTTCCGACATTACTCCAGAGACTTGCGCATTAAGGTTTGTAATAACTATACATTTAATTTGGTTAACCAATTAATTGTAAAATTCATAATGAAAACGTCCGTTTTATTATTCTGTATGGTAGCTGGAAGCCACCACTCGACGATGGAGGTATGTTGACCAAATATTAAATCTACATATGCTTATGATGAATCACAGTGAAACTGGACTTGTATAATTGACTTTATTTTTTGTATATCGAAACAGGAAGTCAAATTACAAACTACATCGTGGAACGATTGGACACATTCAGTGGATCTTGGACGAAGGTCAGCAGCTTTGTCCGTGGTTGTAATTACGATGTGATTGGCTTGGAACCAAACAAAAAGTACAGTTTCCGTATCCGAGCTGAGAACCAGTACGGAATCAGTCAACCCTTGGAGTCTGATCAACCTATTACTGCCAAGTTCCCCTTCACTGTCCCAGATCCTCCAGGTAAAATACAAAAATGTTCTACTTTGTGCTTCACGTCATGAACAGAGTTTGGTTTAACATTCTTCTAATACCCTCCTAGGTCAACCCCGAGTTATCGACTGGGATGCCAGTTCTGCCACCATTACCTGGGACCGATCTCCTCGAGATAACGGAAGTATGTTTTTTTACGCCTTCGTTTTTCCCTCATCTGCATTGCATCATAGTCTGTATTTTGATTAAAAACCCACTTTGTTTTGATTTGTACAGGCAAAATCCAAGGCTATAAAGTGGAATATAGAGATATTGCTGAAGATCAAAACTGGAAAATGGCAAATGACTATCTGGTCAAGGATACGACATATGTTGTTCATAATTTAATACAAGGTCACGAGTATGAATTCAGAATAAGAGCAAAGAATGCTGCAGGATTCAGTAAACCTTCCCTCCCATCAAGTCATTTTAAGATGAAAGGCAAATTCGGTGTCCCCAGCCCACCAGGTTCACCCCAGATAACCAAGGTCGGAAGGGGATATGCAAACTGTTGTTGGACCCTGCCTCGAAGCGATGGCGGTGCGTACAAATGCCATATCATTGATAATAAAGCCATTGAAGAGATACAGATGTAATCAACAAATAATTCATGATTTTAATCTTTTCTGCTTGTTTAGGAAGCCGAATTACAGGATATATCGTTGAAAGACGCGAGGTTGGCGCAGGTCTCTGGATGAGATGTAATGAGTACAACGTCACAGACCTGAATATGACAATTTCTGGACTTACGGACGGACGAGAGTACGAGTTTAGGGTTTTCGCTGTCAACGCTGCAGGAAAATCTGAACCTGCAAACTGTGATGGACCAGTTAAAATCCAAGAAGTTGCCGGAGGACAAAGTCCCGAGTTTATCAAGAGACTTATAAACACATCCATTCCACGTGGCAAGCAATTGGTCCTGGAATGTGAAGCTACTGGAATTCCTGCACCGACTCCAAGATGGCTTAGAAATGGAAGAGAGATTCAAACATCTGTCCGTATCAAACAAGAAGTTGAGGGAGGAGTGTTCCGCCTGACAATTACTGACATGCAAGATGGTGACGATGGAGATTATACTTGCCAAGCACACAATGCAGTTGGCAATTGTTCTACAAACGCACGAATTCGAATTGGCGCACCTCCCAGAATTGATAGATGTCCAAACGAATTGTACCTACCAGAGGGAGAAAATACGAAAATCAAAATTGTTTACACTGGAGATCAACCAATGGACCTTATTATCACTAAAGATGGAGTAGAAATAAAAGAAAACAACAGAATCAAAGTCACAATATTTGACGACTACTTTGTCATCTTTATCAAAGAACTAAGCAAAGATGACGCTGGAAGTTATACACTCACACTCAGAAACGAGAGCGGATCTGCATCAGCCAATTTCCAAATTTATATCACCGGTCTTCCTGGCCCCCCAATCGGCCCCTTGGATGTTTCTGACATTAGCAAGCACATGTGCACCTTGAAATGTAAGCACTTACGAAATTTACGTATGAGTATATTTGTATACTCATACGGAAACATATCAAAGGAATAATGCTAACATTCTTGTATTATTTGTAGGGAAAATCCCAAGCTATGACGGTGGGAGAAAAATTACTCATTATGTCGTAGAACGTAGGGATGTTTCTAGTCAGCACTGGATCCAGGTTGCATCACAAGTCAAATCAACAACATTCACAGTTCAAGGATTGACAGAAGGGCAAGAATATCTATTCCGTGTCATGGCCTGTAATGAAAATGGCATGGGACCTCCATTGCAAGGAATTAATCCAATCAAAGCAAAGGCTCCTTTCGATACTCCTTCCGCGCCTGGAGCTCCTGATATTAAAGAAGTGGGTGGTGATTTTGTTCACCTAAATTGGGAGAAACCTACCTCAGATGGTGGAAGTCGAATTTTGGGATACTGGGTGGACAAGCGAGAAGTTGGTACCGTGGCGTGGCAACGGGTCAACATTTCCATTTGCTTACCAAACCAGATGAACGTGAGCAACTTGGTGGAAGGCCGCAGCTACGAGTTCCGTGTGATTGCAGAGAACGCTGCAGGCTCATCACCTCCCTCGCCTTCTTCTGCATGTGTCAAAGTTACCGATCCTAATGCAGCAGTTGCCCCTGAAATTGTGATGCCGCTTAAAAACGCCATGGCCACAGAAGGAAAGAATGCTCAATTCCAATGCAAGATTACTGGCCAACCTCGACCTCATGTTACCTGGTACAAGGGCGCAAGGGAAATATCACATGGAGGCAAATACCACATGAGCCAAGATGGTGAAACCTATACCCTCACCGTCTATGACGTGTTTGGAGAGGATGCGGACGAATATGTGTGTCGAGCTATTAACAAAGCTGGTGCAAAATCTACCAGGGCTGAGCTTGTAATTATGATGCCTCCAAAACTTCATGTACCTCCAAGATTCCGTGATACAGCGTACTTTGATAAGGTATGAGTCTTATCTTTCTCAGTCAAATTTATTCAACGTATAAGTCATAAAAAGAGTATGAAAATATACAGTTCTATGCACTCACAAATTATTTAGTATATCTTATTCAAGTTGCCAGAATGTGTAGCAGGTTTTCGATGTTTTAATATCATTGATTTTCTTTGATAAGGGCGAGAACGTGGTAATTAAAATTCCATTCACCGGTGTTCCCAAGCCTAAAATAACATGGAGCAAGGAAGGCGAAAAGATTGAGTCTGGTGGTCATTTCCATGTTGAGGTTAAAGAAAGACACGCCGTCCTGACAATCACAGACTCTAGCCAAATCGACAACGGCCCCTATTCCATATTAGCTGAAAATGATCTCGGAATGGATTCTGCTATACTCAAAATCCAGATTAGCGATCGTCCTGACCCTCCTCGTCATGTGATAGTAGAAAGTATAGGAACCGACACGTTAGTTCTGACTTGGTCTCCACCTAGATGGGATGGAGGGTGAGTTAATTAATTAATACCCTCGTCAGATTATAGCAAATACTATGGTTTCGATATATTATTATATACTCTCTTACTCTATTGTCCAACAGATCAGCTATTACGAATTATTTAGTAGAGAAACGAGAGCACCCAATGACCTCATGGATCCGAGTTGGGTTTACAAGACTGACTACTATCCAAGTGACTGCTCTGAGTCCAGGTCACGACTACGAATTCCGCGTTTACGCTGAGAATGTCTATGGCCGAAGTGATGCTTCGGACACCACAAACATAGTGCGAACCAAAGACTTGACCAAGAAGGTGCAGAAGAAGAAAGAGTATGAAGTGGATGCGTCTGGCAAGAAAATCCGAGGCCGCAGTGACGAGAAGCCCAAAGACTATGACCAATACGTGTTCTCAATTTATTCCAAATACGTTCCTCAGCCTGTAGAAATCAAGACTTCCAGTGTGTACGACGACTACGACATATTGGAAGAAATCGGCACTGGAGCTTTTGGTGTTGTACACCGTTGTCGTGAGAGAAAGACGTAGGCCGCCCGATTAATTAAAATCTTGCACCGACTGGTGTATTTCATGTGTTCTTTATGTAGAAACTATTAATGTTAATATTTTTACTTTTCAGTGGTCATATTTTTGCTGCAAAGTTCATTCCTGGTAAGTGTTGTTTTAAATCATGTTGGAAAATATACTTTGTAAAATATAAAATTATGGCATCTGTTGACACGCATTTTCCTCTTATTTTTGCAGTATCCCACTCCTTAGAAAAGGAATTAATTAGAAGAGAAATCGATATTATGAATCAATTACATCATCCAAAACTCATTAATCTACATGATGCGTTTGAGGATGACGATGAAATGGTCTTAATTTATGAATTGTAAGTTTTATTTTTTCTAAGTTTATCGGTTCTAAAGAACATTTTTTTACTAAGTTGTTATAATTATTACTTTTAGCCTTTCTGGTGGAGAACTATTTGAAAGAATAACTGCGGAGGGATACCAAATGTCCGAAGCGGAAGTTATCAATTACATGAGACAAATCTGTGAAGGCGTCAAGCATATGCATGAACGAAATATTATCCACTTAGGTTTTGAAATATCTATATATTTATATGTACCTAAACTTGCGGTCTACTTGTACAAGTAGCTCCATATTATTCATTTCATAATGTATTTTACATGCATGTTTTTGATTTGCAGACATTAAGCCCGAAAATATTATGTGCCAGACAAAATCCAGCACAAATGTCAAATTGATTGACTTTGGACTTGCCACAAGACTAGACCCTAATGAAGTGGTCAAGATCTCAACTGGTACGGCTGAGTTTGCCGCACCTGAAATTGTCGAGAGAGAACCAGGTAATTAGGGCGAAAGCTTTGTCTACGATGCAGACTTTGGTAGAACTGTTAACTTGTCCTCATTTTTTTCATAATAAATTGCTAATTTATTATTTACCTAGAAGAAATACTCTTGTCATCTTTAACAAATTAGTTAAAATTTCAGTTGGATTTTACACTGACATGTGGGCCGTTGGTGTTCTTGCTTATGTTTTGTAAGTGCTTTAATTTTAAAACCCAATTATTAAGTCCCCCAAAGAGCACGAGTTGATGTTTCAAACCCAACTTGGGCCAAGAAGCTAATTAACGATTGAATAAATAACGTCCTAAATAAATAGGTTGAGTGGTTTGTCACCATTTGCTGGAGAAAATGACATTGATACCTTGAAGAATGTGAAAGCTTGCGACTGGGACTTTGATGAGGAGGCATTTGCTGGTTTGAAAAAAATATATATTATGGATGGATATATGTATATATTAACTATACGATAATGTCACCCTCCTTTCTAGATGTTTCTGACGAAGGCAAAGACTTTATTCGCCACCTTCTTATTAAGAACAAAGAGTAAGTTCACAATAGTTTTGGATTGTATTTAGGAGCCATTAATATCACGGCCATTTATTTATTACTCATTACTAAATAGGAAAAGGATGACATCACATGAATGTTTGCAACATTCGTGGCTAACTGGTGATCATTCCGGCCGAGTGCAACCCATTGATAACTCTAGATTTGTGGCGTTACGAGATAAAATCCGAGCTAAATATCCATTCTGGGACGACTGTATTCTTCCTCTTGGCCATCTCGCTGAATATTCATCCCTTAGAAAACTTCAAATTGAGAAATACAGAATACATGACGCATACTTTGGTAAAGTTTTATTTCCCATTTAGCAAATTTGTCGAGCTTGAGATTAAAAAAGGGCCATGAATGAATACTAATAATTTTGAGCATTTTGCAGATCGTAGACAAGCAGCTCCAAGATTTGTGATCAGGCCAAGAAGCACATTTACATACGTGAGTCTCTTTCTGACTAATATGCTTAATCATATGTGTTGTTCAAAAATAGGACAAACTTGATGTTTTAAAGTGTAAAGAATAAAATAGTAACGGTTCTTTTTGTTTTCTCACAGGAGGGTCAAAGTGCAAAATTCACATGCAGAGTAATTGCAATTGCCACACCCACACTCACTTGGTATCACAACAACTCCGAGTTGAGGCAAAGCGTAAAGTTCATGAAACGCTATCAAGGAGAAGATTATACTTTCATTATCAATCGCGTAAAACTGGAAGATAGAGGGGAATTTGTAATTAGAGCCGAGAACCATTATGGATTCAGAGAAGAAATTGTTTTCCTCAATGTGCAACGTAAGTGATTTTGATGTCTTTACAGATATTTATAAATGTATCACGTTATACGTACGCTGCATACATGGCACAGACAATTTATGGTAAAAGTCATGGCCTGTTTCTAGCTGTCCCAAAAGAAATTCCAGCATACAGGCCAGATACTGCCCCAGTACGACGACGCCAACCACTGGTTCGACCATTTTGGCAAGAAGAGCGAGATTCCGCTCCTTGCTTTACGTTCCACTTGCGACCTCGTGTCGTACAATTCCATCATCCAGCATGCAAATTGCTGTGTTGCTTGAGTGGAAAACCAACCCCAACTGTAAGTTATATTGCCCAATGTTGATAATTATTAGATTAGGTGCTAATTATTAATTTGCAGCGGGTGTTAAAAATTTTTTCCTCGATATCTTCAATTTAGGTAAAATGGTTCAAAGGAACCAGGGAATTGAGCAAGAATGACTACACCATGACACATGCTGATGGTGTGGTAACACTGGAAATTTTGGATTGCAAACCCGACGACTCTGGAAAGTACCGCTGCGTTGCAACAAACCCTCTTGGAAGTGACGAAACTGTTTGTGTAGTCATTGTAGAAGGTGAAGGATGGCATTCTTATACCTAAAAATTCACTTATTACTATCAACCTGCAATGTTACACTTTTTTACAACTTTAAGTGTTCTGATATTTTCTCTACATGCATTTCCTTTACATTTAAATTAATCAGTGCTACCGAAATTAAGCTACAAAACTGTACATACCGTATTGAATAATTTTGTCGTTATCTGGTCACATTGACAGTTATTTTGCCAATGATATCCTAACAACAACAGCAGTCCTCTGTTCATCCCATAGCTTTTTAGCTTTTTATCGTTGTGAAATGCTCCTGATTGATTGCTTTTCCTTCATTTGTTGTCCCATTGCAAAAGTTTATTTTGAAGCTTCCTTGCTCAGACCAGAGAATATTTTGCTCCAATACTGCCAAAGACCCCACTTTAATTCCTTATTATTACTATGAAAGTTTTCCCCGACCCACTTTCCAAGATGTATTTATTGCCCTTGTTGCCTCCATTAGTGCCTGCCTGCTTCCAATCAATTTTCACTCCGACCACTTTTGAAACTTTCGTAACGACAACGAAAAGCTAAAATACTCGATACTGTTAAATGTTTACTTTACGATACGAATATTTACGATTTACATCTATAAACTGACGTACAATGATAAAATCTATGCTATGCTATTTTAAAATCTTGAAATGAAACTTCAAAATGCTAAACGCTGCTTTGTTCATAATTTTCTAATGCACATATTCCCCATCATATTGCATAATATCCTATATCTAAATAGCTACTTAGTTTTACAGACATTACCGTGCTTCCCGACTTTCCCGAGCCGCTCGCTCCCCCCAAAAAAGCCAGTATTTGACAATTGTTAGCGTGAGATGTAGTAGATATGACCGTAAATCTTGAAACACGGACCACGTATGATTTTGCTTTTCAAACCCCCTTCTGTTTTCAATAATCACACATCCTTTTATAAACTGCACTTTGATTTGTAATATTTTTGGCTGCCTATTTGTGTGGGGGCTTTTATTTTGATGATGCCAGTACTTTGTTTTGAAAATGAATGCTATTTTTGTGGTATAATTTTTTTCACTATACAATGTGATGCTGAACTTTCGCTAGTTTTCTCTTTCAGTTTTTGTTAGCACTCGATAGTTTAAGAATCCAGTAGTAGTCCGAATCATAGTGGCATGAACCACTTTAAAAAAGAGTGGTTGTGGTCATGTGAAAGTTGCGGAGATTGCTTTCACTCCCTCGCTGTCTATCTGGACATCGTTCTCGATCCCTGGAGGTCTTCCCGGATTGGACGTTAAACGCAGGATATCGACGAAGATCAGTGTGGGTGTTGATTGGCTTTCTCTTCCATGTTGATACCTCTCTTTGCCATATTGCCACACCTTTGTTCAACACAAGACCACCGCATCATCGGACATTTGCACATTCCTGTCGCATAGTTTAGATTAAATTAGGTTGCAGTCACTGACTGTCACTCAATTAATTTCTAGGGGACTCATCCACTCCTGAACAACACCAGCTTGCCCATAATTTACTTCACTCTGGAGGTAACTTTCTCTTTTTGTGTGTAGTTTATGTATTTTCTCACGTATTGCTTTCACCCTTTGCATCATCGTTTTCCGCTTTTGCATCTTTAAGCATGAGCTTTTTTGTAATGCTGGAATGTTATCTGCTTCAAAATTTGAGTAGTAGTACAAAATCCAAGTAGATCTTTATTGTTTTTAACACTACTGAGTTTGTTAAGTCCTTGTACAAATCAAGGGTTTGTAACGCGAGAAAAGAGAAAGGTGACGTGGTGAATTTATGATGATTAAAAAATAGGTTTGAATAGTTTTACATTTTCAAAAACTTTTTTTTAGATTTTCGCCGGGTTAAATTATTACATGCTAAATAGAAAGTTATTTAGATGGTTTTCCAAAAGCGTGATGATTTTTCGTGGTCAAGACTAGCGATTAGTACTGCCATCATTTTTTGCAGATCTTTATTATGTGACATACTTTTTAAATTTGCTCTCATAAGTTTTGATTTTTGCTCCAATCCATCCCACACTGATGGAATTTTTCGTTGATTTACCATGATGGATTTTTAATATCCAAGATAATGATTTTTTGGGACTTAAATGTTGTTTTTGAATTGACTACAGACCGTAGATACATGCCCGAGACGCCCGCACGACCAAAAGAAGTAGCGAAACCGGTGGCTGACACAAGATCCTCTGGAGCCACTTATGGAAACCAGAAAGTTAGTATTGTTTTACCACTACTATTTTTGTAAAGGTACCGAGTAAGACAACAGATTCTTTAACTTTACATATTTATGCAGGCTGCTGCAACGATTGGAATCTCCACTCCCGCTGTAAACGGTATCAAAAGTTCAGCCCCATCTACACCGAGTAGGACTGCAAAACCTTATGGAAAAACATTGGACGCAACCGGAAGTCCTTCCAGGTCGAGGTCCACCACACAAGAACTTAACTGTAAGCGTAATTATCATCATGTGTTTTTCAAATAAGAAGGCGATTGCAGAAAATACGTACATACTAATTTTACACCTTTGAATATTAATACGTAGTGCCTACCGATAGCGGAATGTCCGCTCCTGGGGTATCCAAAGCTATGCCAGCTAGTTTGTCAGTAAAAGACGGAGAAGCTCTTGCGATCACTTGCGAATTTAGTGGAGACCCTGAGCCACAAGTTAGTTGGACCAGAAACGGAGAACCCCTCGTGTCCTCAGAAGCAGTGGCATTAAAGTATAGAAATCGTGTCGCGACCCTTACCATTCCCGAAGTGTTCCCTGAAGATGAAGGGACTTACGTTTGTAAAGCTACAAACTCTGTTGGAAAAATTGAATCCAGTTGTTCCCTTAAAGTCCTTCGTAAGTTGTATTATCTTACATAATTGTAATTATGATATTACACTTATCCAAATATTAATATTTAAAACTAAATTGGTTGGTTGGTTATGTAGCCATGGAAGGAGGTAAAAGAGCAGGCAAGGGTTCAACAGACAATGCACCCGTAATTGTTGGTCACCTTCAATCAGCCATAGTTCCGGATGCCACCCCTGTTAATTTAAGTTGCCGAATAATCGGTAAGTTTCCTCAAGGAGTGATCCATAAATGATGTCACAGAAGAGGGGAAGGGGGGGGTAACTGTTGGCGTGACAGCTCCATTTGCTTCACAATTCCATTTCACAATTCACAATTCCATTTGCTCCATTTGCTTAATCCGTAACAAATTGAAGGATGAGGGGGTAAAAGTGAACATTTTTCGTGACATGAATTATGGATTACCCAAATATTTATTTATTTGAGTATTTAAGTATATTATTCTCTTTTTTAATAAAAGTTTCCTCGTAGTATAAATTTACAAGACGCAAAGTATAACATAAGCTTTAATCTTGTATGCTTTACAGGAACTGATAAATTTGACGTAGTATGGTTACATAATGACAAAGAAATCAAACCCAGCAAAGACTTCCAATACGAATCGTCTGGAGAAAATAGAATTCTTAGGATTTCCGAAATATTCCCTGAAGACTCGGGTACCTACACGTGCGAAGCTTTCAACGACGGTACTATTCTTGATTCATTTGTGCTGCCTATCATTTGTTGTTACCAATTATAAAATAACTAAATTGTTTTATTGTGGTTGGCGCAGCTGGAGAAGCATTTAGTTCTTGTACATTAATCGTTGTTGGTTAGTACTTCAAAAAATTTTGCTTCATTATAATTACTGTTGTTTGCCTCATAAATACTGTGTTAATTATGTCTATAGTTCCTAACGAAGAACAAAAGAGCATATCTTTCAAGACATTCCCAAAATCTGCAACAGTCAAAGAAGGAGAAAGTGTAACATTTTCTTGTGAGGTAGAGAAAGCTCCTCAATCAGGTAAGAGAGTTTACCACTTCTTCTTAAAGTCTCCATACTTCACACAACTCTTAAATAACATTTGTATTTAATTTTGGTTCCTCCAGTGGAATGGTCCAAGGACGGTAAACCATTGTCAGAAACAGCAAAAGTGCACATTCAAGCCCCCGGAAAAACAAAGTTCCAACTCGAAATCTCGAATTGTGCAGCGAGTGACATGGGACAATACTCAGTGAAAGTGGAAGGAAAGAAAGGAGTGTCAATTGCATCATTTGCCAACAATGTAGTTCCATCCAGCACACCCTTATCATAAACCCAACATGAGCGTAAAGGTTTGCGCTATGCCTCTGTCTAGTCACTATGATGTAAATAATCTAGTCACTTCAAATTGGTACTCGTGACATTAAGAAACTGTAGGTTAAAAACGACTTGGTATTACAATGGTGGTGCATGCGGAGAAGAGGAATGAGTGTTTTTTTGACCAGAAGTGATACATGAGTTTATTCCATTTCCTGTGGAATTGATGATTGAGAAGAGCGTTTATACGTATGCATACCAGTTAACTTGCTTGGTTGGTTTCTTAAAGAGAGCGAATGTTATGTTTATTATTATTTTACGCTAAATGTTTTGTCAACGCACTATAGTTACGATACGTTTAGTGTTTACACCACTCCTCCCACCACAGTAAATGTATTTCCACCGCCGTCCTGCCACGTCCAACATATCGACCAACAACAACGCCCGAGACACTGGTGTCCAATAAATAAATGTCCATTAACTACTGCTACTCACTGCCTTCTTCGTAAAATGCTTATAAAAATGTACTCTCACTTACGTACCATGCAACAGAAGAGTTCACGTATTTGTACCATATTTTAGTAACATATTTTGACAACAAAACCAAAAATGTCCAATATTCTACTACTACAATACTGCAACACACACGTCTGTCTTCCATTGGAACTGATAATAATGAGCAAAACTAGGGGTCTTCGCGTCTACGACTTAATTTTCTTATCATCGTTGTGACTGTAAATATGCTAACATAAGTAAATTTAGGATACATACAACGGCACAATCTACTATTTTAGGATTAGATCTTGCCAAATCAGAGTCAAATAAACGCAGCAGTGTTATGAACTCAATAACAATTGACAAATTACTTCCTTACGTAGTCACTATGATTTAGCACCGTCCAAAAATAATCAATCGGTCATCAATTTCTGCAAACACTATTGACTGCTCGATGCACAAAATGAAATCCTACATTTAAGCTACAAGTAATTACCTAGTGTAAGATAATATTTACCTGAATTTTGTGAACTTTATTCTCGGTAAATAAACAAGGGTTAAGAATTTATTTTTTCTTTGCTTTTGACTCCAATTCATTTTTACTAGTAACATGCTTAATCCTAAATTTCTGCATCATCTCCTCGGTGCAGCTCTCACAATGCATACTAATTCTAAATATGACAAGTTATTGTGCAAGTCTTTCCTGTCGATTAACGACAGCAATATTTTTAATACGCGATCGTTGGTCTGGTATTCCAACTATTCTACATACATTAAAGTCAATCTTCATACGTTGATATTGAGGAATGCACGCAGTAGTGGTAATATCAGTACAGATGTACATATTTAGTAGTGAAATGACACGATCCAAAATGAAGCTAAGACTGAAGAGTGCTTCTTTGGTACTTGGAAGCATGGAAAAACATGACGATAACACGGGATACAACTCTTGAACCCCAGTTTAGCTTAATGGTAGCAGTAGTACAAACAATTGTCATTTCCTTTACAATACCATCATGAGATGTACGTAATTAATGGTTCAATTCTCACATATAATAATAACAGCTATACATACATACGTATGCATAAACGATCTATCATGATTGATTCCAACTGGGCATAACCAAATGTGACTTTGAAGTGGCAACGACTATACTACGACGAGATTATTCAAGAAATATCTCTGATTTAACACTAAACTTGGTGATTCATCGTTTATTTGTACAGTTCGGCTGCTGCGCTTTTTCTCTTATCCTTTCCTCCTTACTTACTCTTCCTCCTTATCATTCTTGAGATGCTAGAAAGACCAGTGTGAGAACATTCTTGGGCGCATTTTGTGTCGTTCAGTTCATGAGTATCAAAAGGAGATCGTTCTCCGCATGAATTATAAAACTTTATAATTAATAGGAAACATGGACAAGCGTGGCTTGGCCGTGAGTGTAATCATCATTATTTGGGTATTTCTCCCATCTACTCATCAATACAAAAGTGGGTGTATAAATTTATGTTTTTTGAAGAATTTGGTTGCTAAACTTTCAAAAATATTGCATAAACTGTAATTTCTCAAAGCTAAATTTTTGCAGAAGGTCACGGTTCCGGATTTATGTTTAAGTACGAGCCGAATTATCGTGAGCGTCGCGAAGCAGAAGGGACTCTTGTCGATCACATCAAAAGCGTGATAAACCACTACAAACGGGAAGAAGCGGCCGGACTCCCATTCATTAAGGATCCTCTCCCAATTAACTCGTTTCATCAAAAGTTTTCTGGAATGACAATGAAATTTCAGGACTCGCAAGTTTATGGCTTCAGTCGGTTCAAAGTGGAGAAATTGAATGCAGATTTGGCCGAGTTGAAGGTATGCGTACAGAATGAGAGGAAATGTATGTAGTAGAATAAAATATTTATCCTTGTCCTTCCTTTTTGCTCTTGCTTTTTGACACACTTTTTGTCAGTGGTATGAATTGCCTTGAAGCTGGATTGTTTTCGCAGGTCAACATGAAACTGACAATTGATGAGCTGGTGGTACGAGGCAGGTATGATGTCCAAGTATCGAAATTATTCATACCTTTTGTATTGTGCGTGGGGTACTGTGTCCACAAATCTCCTTCTGACTCTATGTCAATAAGGAAATGTACCTCTGCCAGTGTTTGATTTGATTTCTTGCACTGCACTGCAAGAAATGCGAGAAATAAGCCCAATTTAGGAGACTCGCCCTTTGTACAAATTGTTCTACACTTGGTTATCGGGATTGTCCGCTAGGTTTTCCTTATTTCTTGCATTTCTTGCACCACTGCAAGAACTTATGCCTGCAAAACAAGATTTTCTTGCAGTCATTTCTTGCAAGGGTTTTTTTTCATGGTAAACACTGACCTCCGTGCAGAAAATGAAATTTTACACACACAAATAAATATGTACATTGCACAGGTACTTGTTGTCAGCCTGGATTTCCAAGACCCAAGGGGATTACAACATGACTGTTTTCAATGCCCAACTTGACGTTGACGCCGAATTGATGGTTGACGAGCTAGGCTACCTTCAAGTCAGCAAAATGGAGACGGATATTGTATTCGGAGATTTGAAAATCTACTTTGAGAATTTAGGATTTCTGGGGAAAATGTTTCAAGTAAATAAATTCCATAAATTTCACTTTATGATTAGTATAAATAAATGGCAAGTATATTCTTATATTTGTATATTATGCACATTTACATATTTTGAAAGGGAATAGTGAACAAAGTTGGCGTCTTCATATTCGAAACAATGAAGCCCACAATCTGGAATGAGGTAGAAGCAAAACTAACTGAAGTCATGAACAGCGAATCAAGAGACATTCCACATCAATTCCCAACTTCCATCAACCCCGTTGACCAAATTTTAGCTCATGTGAGGTACGCTAAAAATGAATACAGAAAAAACAATTAATTCGCAAACCTTGTAAAAATACAAGTCAAATTGGGCCATCATCACTAATATTTTGCATCTAATTAGAAAATTAATCAAAGAGCGAAACCTGGACCCTGTTCCCCTTGCTGATTACTCTACCCAAAGTTCAAAATGGTCAAACTTTGAGTTGTACAATGGATACTTGTACGGCCTCTCCTCAATTCGACGCACGGGACCAATGCTACTCGGGTTTGAAAGCAACACCATTCACATGACTGTTCATTTGGGCGTGAATAATTTAAGAGGTAGCAAGAAAACAAATAAAATGTTTTACTGCAAATACTTTCGTGATGACATTATTGTGATCAAGGCCAAAAAGTGTAACCATAATTTCTTGGTAGGGACGTATGAATGGGGTTGGACAGCCATGCGAGGGGTATTAGGACGAAGGGGTCAACTTACATTTAATCTTGACTTTGTCAATGTCGAAATTCGGCTGCAGCAGTCTGCAAACTTGGACAAAAAGCCAATCGTCGACTCCGTCAATGTAACCCTGGGACCAACACAACTTACTTCTGATGGCATTGGCGCTGTCGATTACGTCTTGGAAATGATTTTCAATGTGGTTCCGGTAAGTTTGCAATCCACAAATTTTGACTTGGAAAATGATCTTGTGGTCAACAGGGAATTAGACAAGCTGAGAAATTTTAATAAATTTAAACATTGCAGAACATGTTCCGGCAACGAATTGCTGATGCTGCCGAGTATCCATTAAGCCAAGCTTTGGAGGACGAACTCCAAAAAATCAATATTGAGTCCTTCATTGATGAAAATATGTAACGAGAAAAAGTCGAATCAACATCAAAATTATTGTTTGTTGTTTCTTTTCGCATATTTCAAATCGAGCATCTATATTCGCAAATACATATTGTTGTCATACATATCTTTAATTATAATTTCCAAATAAATAGACTGTCTGTTTAACAAAATTCATTCCATTTGAGAAAATGCCTATTGGTTTAGTTTTAAATTTCGAATATATATGAAAAACAAAACTCTGGGAACTCTGTGGTGTCGGATGCATATATTAAATACATACTTATGTAATAATAAAGAATTCCAAGTAATTGATGCGTTAAGATCTTTAGGTTGCTAGAAATATCCAAAATATATGATGCCTACCCCAGTTCAGAGGAGGTTATCTCAACGTGAATATAGCTATGCGAATATCTACCCTTACCATAGAATGACATTTCCTGGAAAAAAGTCTTTATTGCTCGCTTGTATTTACTTGCTATGAGCGACCAGAGTTCAGTCTTGGGGGGATCGTAGTAAATATTTAGTACATACACAAATACGAGGGAGTATCAATAATTTTAATCTAAAAGGAAGCAGATATTATTTGGAATGCATGCACAAATCCAATTTTGGTTTGAAGTTGCTAAACAAACAACTGAAAGTTATAAAGCAGTCTTTCTACACAATCAACTTTTATTGGGCAGTCGGGTTTGGTATGAGGACAAAATTGACAAGGAATGTCTGCCTGTGCTTTTTCATTACACACTGCGATATTTTCCTTCGGGGTTTGAAGTCCTTGCAGGTGTATGTACTTTAACATTACTTACTTTTTCCGGACCAATTCGTGGCAGATTTTGTAGACATCATATATTTAAATCATCTTTTTTTCATGGCTTAATAGATTTAGGGAATTGCAACCCTTTATTTCACGTTCATATCAAAACATACAGACGGACATTTCTCGTACACTAAAAATCCTACAAAATATTTAAATCAACTCTTTTAAATCTTTTTCTGAATATCTTGCAGATATTCGATCAAAATTTAAAAGTATTAATTTGTTGTATTTATAAGATCATTATAATGATTGTCCGTCTACTAGTTCATTTCCGTCTTCAATTAAAGATTTAGGTCAGAAAGCTTTTAGAGCAAATTGTATCAACATATTTTAGTATAGATCATAGATCAGTAGTAAATCCTTATCATAAAATTTTTAGGCAATTCATTTTGATTTGCACTAGATCATTATATCATATTCCTCATGGGTAATAATTGACATAAAAATAACAACTTATCGTTAGATAACTCTTTTGCTGGTTTAATTTGTCAGCAATTTGAAAGTCGAATGTTGAGATTATTTATTTTTCTCCATGTTCAAAGAGAATCCACATTTATTAGTGAGATCAACCACAGTTCGACTGCCCATACAGCTCATAAACAAGCAACAAGTATGTGGTTTTCTCCACCCCTATCATTACAGTGTAGGATCAGTATTAAAATCGGTGTATTCAACCCGACAATATCTTGCATCACTTATAAACATGACACGGATCGTTTTACGGGCATCTTCTTGTGTCTTGTGGATTTTTTGCCTCAGTGCTCAAGGCATCACTCACAAATCTTCAAGTCAATTCGCCCCTTTCACGTTGTGATAAGGTTTGATATGGCACCTGCCTTTTCCTCTTGACAGACAAGCGTCTCATATTTCTTCGTCTTCCTTCCACACACAATAACCAGCTGTCCAGCCAGCCAGCCACGGAAATATGGTGGACACAACGTACATACGATTTTATCCGTACACGTTTCTTCTTACGAGTACACACGGCATCTTTAAAAGTCTGCAAGACGTGTGTGGTACACATTGCGTTATCGGACACACGCACCTGTAGAATCTCATCCAGCACGCCCGATGCAAGTACAACGGGACACAAGAAAGTCAATTGGTGATGAATATTGGAACACTTTTGATCAGAATACTGAATATCTTGTGTGCATATGCTGCGTCATTAATTATTCAAATATGCTATGAGAAAGTTTGAATTTTATTGGCAACAGCAACAACTACATGAAATCTTCAAAATTACATTTTGAGTGAATATATATGTAAACAATGAAGCAAAATTGAAACACTTTGTTGTAGTTTGAATGGAGAACCTATGTTTCATTTAAATGGAGATTTATTAATGCCTAATGCAAAATTTGGTGCTGCAAAATGAGAATCGTCTCACATTTCTCTGCATCTCTCGAATAGTTAGACTTGCGTCAAGGGAACCGTAGGGAGACACCTTAATTGGACCCCAACTGGAGAAGAAGCCGTGTAGTTTCATTCTATTCGATGGACATTCTATCTGAGCAGGTGCATCATGACGGAGGTGATATCGAATGTGCATCCGTCCATGAAGAATGGCAATTACACCTGAAAGGCATTGTTCAACTTGCTACAAAACATTATTGAAATTCAATCTGTGCAATGAAATGAGATCCTCCAGTCTTGAAATTTATGCTATATTAAATTTTTTCGTGATCAATATAAACTTGACATGAAGTTTTACATATGTATGTACATTGATAAAATTCTCATAATTTTCAAAAAATGATGAGGGGTTGGATACCCAAAAGACTACGAATCTCTCCATCCTAGCGATGCACCTCAGGTCATCATCTTATTCCATATCAATACAATAACTCGTAAATAAGTGGACTTTATTATGTAATTGCTGTAAAGAGTCTTAATAATTTTACACAATTTAGTCTGCAACCGCAACCACTACACGAATCGCTTCTCATCAGGTTTTGACCAGACTGACTGACATGATGATCATGATGACCATGATCATGAATGGGTCTGGCCAACTCATCAATATTCAACGATTTAAACTCATTCTTCTTCTCCATCGTCGAGTGAGGCAGGATGAGAGCGAATTATTATCAGCTCTCTCACATCATACATTTCCCATCAATTTCTTGCATTTTAATGAAAAATTTGTAACCAACTTGGAAGCAGGGCTGGATATCCGGTACATGATCCAAACCATAGGCCTGATGATGATAAAAGTTAAAAGCATCTTTCTGTTTCCACGTCACAGGTGGAAAATGGCTCACAAAGACAAAAGCAGTGCAGTGCAATGCTTGTGCATACATATGCTCCGTAAAATAATAATGATGCAGCTTCGGAGCAAAAGACTGTTGTAAAGAGTGAATGAGCAAATGGTTTAAAACAGAGAAGAAAGAACAGAACAACCAGAGACGTCCAGGTCGTTGCATTTATTTGAGATGCAGGCCAACCAAGTCACTCATTCTGTTGCATGCATGCATAGCTTATCTCTCTCCCACCTGAACCAGTTGGTTTGCTTCCTCTAATCTCCAGCATGAAGCTAAATTACTGAGTCTGAGATAGTCCTAAAAAGTAGAAAAACCAAACCAAACGTCTGGTATTTAGTTTGTGGGATGGTACTCCTCACATTATAAATACTCTGAATGTATGTACGTATCCAGTGTTTGTTCTCAATGATGTCGACTTGACTCGTATTGTTTTGACTGGCCTATATATAAATGCGTGCATTGGGCACTTTTGTAGTAATATGTTCATACATACAGGTTACATCACATTGATGCTTCTTTTTTAAGCCATTGTTTTTTATAGGTTTACAAATAAACTCTTTATCACCGTTCCTTCTGTTTCTATTTTTTAATGCGTTCTCTCTCAAATCATGGTGTGTGAACGGTTAAAACTACTTTTCACACATTTTATAAAATTGCAATTTCCATTGCAACCATCAAATTATGGTTCAAATTTTATCGTCGTATTCTTTATTGGTGATAAATTTTGTCTGAAAATAAAGTCCAATTTAAGAGGTGTCGGAATTAAATTAAAAAAATGATCCGTGAAAATGCAATGACATTTGAATCAAGTCTTGAATAATAATCTTTAGTTTCCAATTTGTAATTTTTGACTGAAACGATTACCATTTGAAAAGAATGATAATAATACTTCACCACGTGTGATGAGTTGACTTTGCTATTGTTCCCGAATGGACAACTCCAAGTTTTTTTCCTCGTTGTAAGACTAGAGTATTTTGATGCCTATTGTCCACTTCCCATCTGTATTTAAATTGTTTCGTCCGTGTGGTTGATAATGTTCAGACGTACATCAGGCATACACAATTCAATCCTTCGATAAATTATCTAGAAGGAGTGATTGCATTTAAAAATTAAGCCCTCAAGAATCAATTTAGATGCACCGGAGATTGTGCATCTTCCTCCGTAGAAATGTTATACTTCTCCCATAGCAAAAATATTTTTGTGAATCATGTAAAGAGGTTGTATCTAATTGCAAAATTCACTCTGTTGTGTATCATTTGTTGGTTGTTGAAATTCCAGTCGTGAAAATCTAGTCAAACAAATGAACGTTAAAGAATGAAGGCTTCTACATATTTAATTTACATGTTCACCTAACACTTGCCTTTATTTTCTACATAAATAGAGGTTTCATTTAACAAACTCTGCATGTCTGCACTGGATCAGTTTCCAGCCGACATAAAATCCATGCTCTTATTGCGCTGTAGTGTACACTTTGACTAATGCTATGTAAAGTCGAATTTGAAACTTGTATGAATTACTGCGTAGGAAATCAGACGAAGAAACCCGTCAAACAATTAAGGAAAGTAGCATAAATTACGTGAGTGTATCATACAGAAATATAAAAAAAAGAATGGATGTTGTAACGCCAAGTTTGAAACTTGAAGTATAAATCTAATCATACGAATCAAAGATTAATAGTTACACAAGTATTTTAGCAAATACTTATTTACTTTGAAGCATTAGTAGATAATTCTGATCGACGAAAACCAGACGCACAGAGCACACGTGAACTTATGAGAATGTGGCTAAATCGTCTTAATTTTTGTGTGTCATAAAGATAAGCGATTTCAATCAGTGTGCCGGTGTGTAAAAAAGAAACTAAAATTAAAAAGCTATAGGTTACCAGGCAAGGATTTAATTTATAAACCGTTTGTTGCATCAGTGACACATGTAATGAAACACGGACAGACAACAACAAACGTATGCATCTCAGCAGTCAGTTGGTTCCGACGATGCGATGCATGCGAGATGCATCTCTCTCGAGGAACAACAATCCACTTGATTCACTTTATTTGCTGCAAGTCTCTTGGACATAAAAAACGGATTCTTTCGCTTTTACAGTCGCATGCATAAGTGGCAGACAATGAACGAATGTAAAGCGAACCGCTCCACACACAGCAACCAAATCAAGCGCATTTCATTCGCATTTCGAACCTTGATTTGAAAGTGGTCATTCATGAAAAATGACTTAAACCACAAGCAATAAATGATTTTGATCACTTTCAACTTTAGGGTTTTTCATTTCGATATAGTTTTCATTTCATGCAAAATTGTGAAAAGTATTGTACACCGTGAAACATGTGTGGATCACTTGTTTGCGTCGCACTTAACTTGGGACTCTGAGATACTGTTGAGGTCAGGTTTATTAGGTGCTGGAGCAAGTTATCTGAAGATGGATGAAGTCGAAAGTAAAGTGGAAAAGTGCATCGGGATACAGGAACAACCTTCCCGAGGAGAAATAAGTGGAGAGGGAAGGGTGTATTATTATCACATCCATGCATGTGTGGTTCTCGTCATTATCCGATTTTCCAGCAGAAGAGGAAGAAGAACAAAATGAGACCAGGACATTCACGCCTCACATGACGATCCCAACTATAAGCAAACTATGGCAGAAATCCGTACAATGTGCAACACTTTCTCTCCTAACTTACCTTCCGGAAGTAGAACGACATTTTCAAAATTATTGTTTCCTAGTCAAACCTTTCCATAAACAGCTTAAAAAAGAGTTATGGAGCAAAATTCTCATATATAACATTGTTTTCTTTTTCCAAAATTCTGACTCAAAACCAAAACTTCTCCCACAAATTCTCACACATTTTCGACATTCGTGCTGAACCACCTGGACAAGCCCCGACATTATTTAAAGGACTTTTATCTCCTCTCGCCCATTTGTGCATCTCTCGCCTGTTCTAAGAGGGAGTACTTGGAGGAAGGTGATGCAGAGTTACTCAATGATGATCACCTAAGAGAGATAGGATTCGTCTTATAATAAAAGAAGAAGAAACCAAATGCAATACCGCCTTCAACATTGGGTGAGCATCTTCTTCTTCTCATCTCCACGTACGTCCGTCCACTACCAACCACGTACGTACAGGTAAGCCAACTAACGTAATACCAAGTTAAGCCTTTCTTAGCTACCCATCCATCTATCTTTTGCTTATTGCTTATGTGTGTGTGATGAGTGAGACTCTTTCGCTTCCTCCATTGAAAATTAGGTCAGTAGTATATAATGTCAGGGAGAAAGGGAAATGCTGGCATTGACATTGTGACCACGACCACGGTGTTGCCGACGACAACGTTGCTGGTTATTTCGTGATTTTTTAACATTATCGCCCACCCCCACACACACAAACCACTCACTGCACTCACCGTCCCTTGGGTGGGAGTTGGAGCGAGTTAAGAAAAAAAAAACTCGGCAGTTTGAGGTTTGGGTTCCTCAACCGTCTTGAAGTCTTCAGTTTGTGTTTCAAAGCTCTGAATGGTGCTACGAAGAAGAAGTCTCCAGTTGAATAATAATAAAACCCAAGTCTCAGCAGAGTTATTAGTTTCCGACTTGGGTATTTTTGGGCTTTTTCCCTTTTTCTTTGTGAAAAGGTGAATTAGAGAGACAAAGTGAGGAACGTAATTGGGACTCATTGTTACCGGCTTTATTAGAGTAATTGAGAAATCATAAAGCAATTAATAGTGCTGTTCTCTTCCCCCGGTGTCCTGCTGAGCCTTTGAGTTTCAGGAAATTATCAGATCCAGTTGTTGAGACTTTTCGTCGTCTCATAAACATTCTCCACTCACAAAAGTTGTGTTTCTCTCGGTTACATTCTTCCTCTTCCTTGTGCCCCCAGAATAGAACGCGTTGAGAGAGAATTCGTAGGAGAGAGGTGTGGACATTGGATTGACTAGCATTATCCTGGAGTGGATGATCACAATGGATTGGAAAGTGGTGAGTTTGCCTCCTTTTTTGTTTTTTTTACAAGTGTCGACAATTCTCGGGACAAAATGCAATAAAGCAGCCGGTTCTTCTACTACTCCTCCCAAGAGTGTGGGAAAGTTATTTATTTGAGAGGTTGCTGAGGAGCATCATAATTTGTTGGGGAAACGCATGAAATGAATCTTTTGGCTTTTAGAGAAAGGAATCCGGGGTTTATTGAAAGATTTGTTTTGGAAGAATTCACTTTCTCATATTCTCCTAAAGTGTTTCCAGCCAGCCTTACGCACGTAGATGCACGTTCCGCACATATTTTCGAGAAATTTATTCCTTCCCCTTTTGTGTTCCAAGTTGTGAACAATCTGTTGGATTAAATAAGCTGCACAAATTTCGTACACATGTATAGATTTCCTTCACTTATTGTTTCTCGTAGAAGCAAAAACTTTTGTGAGGCGTAAAAACAATCCAATTTTCATCTTAATTTCCTTCCCCTTATTTAATGTCTCATTCATTCATACATTTCCACTCTTGTTGTTGATTTATCGGAATTCATTTCATGACTTGGTCATGATTTCTTTTTCGTGTCGATCAATTCACTAGAATAAATCGCCCATTGTACACCCACGGCAATAAGTGTCAATTAGGAGGGCTTCTGGTCTGCCTTATGAGCAGCAGCAGACCAAGGGAAAACTTATTTATGCGTACATAGTGGACATTAGGTGACTGGTTAATCTTTTCATCCTTGTGTGGCAGGCAGTAAGCTTTAAAAGTAAAATGCAAATAAATGGAATTTTTTTAAGTTCATTAGAACACCGACGACATGTCAGTCCTCGCACATACTTGGAGATATGTATGCAGTGATGAGATTCAGAGAAATAGAAAGCACGCAAATGTGACTCATTTATGAATTATGCATTGCACTTGGTTCATCTCATCGTTCCGTATAGTTCATTGCTCGTAACACTTAAAAGCAAATCGTCGTTTACACACTGATACATAAAAATTTTCAGATTTTAAAATTTACTCTTTCCCATCGCACCACCTCGAATATAAAAGTAATAAATGGTATGAATTTCGAAAAAAAGGTTAATCAACAACGGCAAAATATGTACTCATATGCCAAACGAATAGAATGATGATGATGATGACGATGATGATAAAAGGTCCATTTTATAAGATAGCATATAAGCTGCAACTTCATTCAGAATGAGAAGAAGGCACAAAACACTCATCGTCCGTCCGTCTGAATCTGAATCTTTAAAATTATCTATACCTGCCAAGTTGACATGTTGATGATTCCCAGCCCAGGTAAAAATAAACAGGACATTCCTATTGCCGATAGTGTGAAAATAATGCGAAACAGAAGTTGAAATGGAGTGAGGATTTTTATTATTCTTTAAAAATTTGCATTGTGTCAGAAAGGGTGACAAGAGTGGAGCCTCTCATTGATGGGAGTAAACTGAGCATCATCTTAAATGGGGTAGGGAAACGTGTAATTTAGTCACATTACTAGAGAATCCTTGTCACATCGGAGTCATAAAGTGAATTAACAATGGTCCCTCTATGTTTGCACAGCAGACACGCCACAAAGATCATTGTTCACATTCGAAATATGATTAGATGCAGCCCTTTTCTGGTCTCTCTCTCTCTGCAAATATTCTATTTTTACTCCAATATTCTTCACGCTGTACAACTTTCTCTCTCCGCCGATTTTCCTCCACGTATGTATGATGACGATCATCATTATCATCCTCACAACGGAGGGACAATAAAGTCCAACATGTTATTTATTGTCACATATCAACATTCCCATTCCTCCATTGTTGATTTTTAACCAGGGCACAAAGTGATTTCCATGTTTAATATATTATTACCCGACTCAGACGTCCGTGACTGCACGTCCTGAAATTTATATTTTTATACACACACACACCTAAAAATGATATGCACTATTGTACATATGTTTCCACCAGCTTACAGCCTCTTCTACTCCGACAGCAAGTAAAATTCAATTCAACTTGAGCCAAAGCCACACGTGCTCCACATAAATACATTTAAAAGCGGACAGGTATGCAAGCAACCCAAACCGAGATAAAAGTCGATTTATTGCAGCACATTATAAAATTAAAGCCGTTTATTCAGAAAAAGGCAGTTAGTTGCTCACGGGTAATTTATTAAGGGGAGTAGTTTGATGGGGCTGAGATTGATTCGATGACTTGATGAGCGGAAATGCAGTTTACTTACATCCATGAATATTTATTATTGACGGTTAGCAGTTTTATCGTTATTAAGTGTAAATGTTGAAGAAAGGAAAACTTGGGAAGAGAGAGAGAGAGGAGGAATCGTGTTTGTTATCATTAAGAAAAGCGGCTTCTCTTTCACAGGACTCACCCAATTCCCTGTTTTTTATTATGTAACAAGTTGATTGTCAATATCAGAGCTGCAACAGAAACTTGCCACAAGGCGAAGGAAGAAGAAGAAGACAGGACTTAAAACTTGTTTCGCAACTTTTCCTTCATTGAGAAGCATGCCATGCATCACACACACACCATTCTCTCACTCTTTCTGCCGTATAGCTGCCTTTCTTCCCTGGACAAAAGGCTATAACTTTTTTTTCTCGGCTAACTCAATCACTTTGTTGCCTTATTTCGTCCTGTTCTCTCCTTGCGTTGGGTGAAGTATGTACACATGCAGGAGGAGAAATTATCCTAGATATTTCCATCGTCATTAACAAAGGAGCGAGGAATAAGAGATATTTAGGTTTGACTGTATGGTCAACCAACAGGCATCGTATTGTGTCATGGAGGTTTGATTAATAGATTTTTTCAGAGAGAGAAAGAGGTCTCCTTCACATGTACATATTTCTTTTGGCTCTTTTATGCACTTATCAATCAATGGACAGCTATGAGGCATCGGGCTTAAAATTATGGCCCAAAAGGCTAAAATATTGATTCGATCTTGCCATTTGTAAAATGCCATTCCTCATAAAATGTCTGGCTGGCGTGGTGGTAGGACAAATTTTTATGAGATACGTGCCTATCTAACGAAGTAAACCACACAGCAATCAAAGGAAATGACGACGACGACGAGGAGAAGGAGGAGGAGGATGGGAAACAATGTTTGGTTGAGATTCCAGCCAGATTTTTCTTTCTCCTTGTGCATACATATTCCTCCTCCGTGATACTGCTGTGCAATTATTTGGATCGAAGGGAACCAGTTTCCCTACACAACAACTCGTTCCTACATAGTTTGTTTTCATTCTTGGTTTACATTTCTTTGAGTAAAAAGTGGAATATAAATCGTCCGACAAAACAAAATGTTCAGCCAACATTCAAAATAGCCAAGGTTTTACGCATAAATTATCCTATGCCGAACAACGAGCAAAGAATTTATTCGAAACACAATACGCACTCGTATGTATCCCAGTCTGGGCATGAGGTATGGCATGACAGCCACCAGGTAGAGGAGGAATAGTGAGACTCTGGCATGATGTTTATGATCACAGCAATTTACTTCTCTCCCAGGAGAATGCTTATCTATCCCTCATCAGCAATCTCTGGAACTCGTCCGAGCAACGATCCTCATGGAATATCCACATCTGATCAATTTTCATACCAATTCCGCAGCACCCAAATTATTGATTTTATCGCAATCAACCATTATCTAGTGCATTGTAATTTTCTGACTTATTCCAGATTGCACTTTCAGACCAACTCAGAGAGAGCAACTTCACTCTGTGCTACAATTAAATGCAGTTTGACTCGAGTTTTTCTTATAGATTTATGGCAATTTATACAACTTTGGTACTACGAGATGAGTCTCCTCGTATATAATTTCGGCTTAAAAATGATAAGACCTTGTGTCAATAAAAAACCCTTGTTCTTATGAGAAAGGCTGAAATAAGTTATGCATGAGATTTGTAAATATGATGATAAAATCCTCAATAATCATCTCTGAGAAAATTAAAATCCTTCTTATTTATGATTAGTCAGTTGGAAAATTATATGAACTATTTAGAAAAGTACGAGGCTAAAATATGCATGAATAACAATTAAGCCCACAGAGTTGATAGTTCCAGATACCAAAGTCATTTATTGACATGTCACAATGACATTGAATTTTCCCCATCTCCTTAAGCTAGAAATATACCACCACTAATAATAATAATTAATGACAAGAGGTAGATTGCATTTCCTTGTGCAATGTACGATTGCGTCGGCCGGCTAAAAATTGTGGCTGAGTTGTCGTAGGTATAGACAAACAATTATAGATTTGGAAGAGTAAGAAGAGGACGACAACGAGGAAAATGAACGTCCATATGCGCATAAATACATATGCACGGTATAAAAATATATATCGTATACCGGGTTCATTTTTCATTTAGAGGAAGAAACAAAGAAAAGCTGAGGTTAATTTGAAATGAAGCTCAGACAATGAGTTTGTGTCATCAATCATCAAAATAGGCTCTCAAGACTGGGGCTTGATGACTTCATGAGAGACTGGCTCATCTCATCCTCAGTTATTAAAAGTGAGCTCAGAAATGTCTCTATTAGATGATGGCCGGGCAGTATTAGCGTATATCTAGTAGAGAAAAGTGGGTCGTGAATTGGTGTTGTTCCGATTTGTCAGGTGCAATTTGCAAGGACTGAGAGTTTGCCAAAATATAAATGCCATTGCAGAAGCAGCAACGACTGCATAAACACACAATATGTATGTGCATATGCTCATTTTAAGCTTATTCTGCCTGCACCACGCGAAGACGAGGTGTAATCCTCATTCGACACTACGAAAGGAACATCAAATAAAAATAAGAGTTATACTTGATGATCTTCTTAAGCTCTGAGCAAAGTTTGCATCCAAACTCTAATTCAATTGAAGAGGAGACGACGGTATTTAGCGTCTGCACACGCAACGACGGTCATCGCCTTTCTGTGATGTAGTGTAGTGCCATCACGGTGAGGAGGATGACGATGCGAGGAGGATTAGCAAAATTGACCAACTCATTAGAACATCCC